GCTTAGTGCAACTGAAAGTGCACGGTTAAGTCTTGAGTAATGCAATCAAAACTCTTTACTCCGTACATTTGGGCTTTCTGGGTAGCGCCAAGAGTTGCTTTGTCACGTGATAGAGCTTATCTACCACCGTACCAACATTGATATAGTAAAACCTTTTGGTCGCTCTTCAAGCGATTAGTGGTTGCCGTGTCCATGGTGGTGGTGGTGATTATGATGATGTTGATGGCGATAATGATGATTCTCCTCGTTATCGCCCGGCAGGTCGTTGATATTGTCATGGTGGTGTTCATCTGGTGCGACAGCGGCGACCACATTGACAGCACTGTCCTGAAATCCCCTTGCCTTCAAACCCGGCCATCCGTACGGTACACCACCCTCCATGACAGCGCCAGTCATCTTTGGCATCATCGCCGCCGTCGCCCCTGTCGCTGTACGTTTCACCCTAGCGACCGGGTCGTTCTCGAAGGGCGTCACGATATTGGCAGGAGGCTGCTCCGCCCCGTTCACACAATACGCTACACCGAGAAGGAGATTCGAGCAGTCGGCTTTCAGATCCGGATTCCAGAACTGCAGCTGGCCTATCGTGATACTATACATGTTGGTGATCTTGTCGCAGTAATCACCAGATTGAACCGTGTAGTATCTGATTTTGTGGATTTATTAGTGAAAGTGCAAAAAAAGTAAGTTAGTCTGACGGATTAAAGTGGTGAGTCAGGAGCTAAGGACAAGCTTACTCATAACAACTGGCTGTTGTGCCTGGCGGAGTAGATGCTGGTGGATTGACGACGGTGGAGGTGGCTGTCTGGTTCCAATTCTCGGTCGGCTGGACACAGTAATAGAATCCTGTTAGGAGATTGGTGCAGCTGGAGTCGACTTCGGGGTTTATGGCAATGAAAAGACCTAACGTGATTGCATTGTTAAGGGCGATGAGCTGACAGTAGTCACCCTATGGTACACAAGTTTTAGTAGAGCGTCAATACAGAGGGGCCTTAGTTTCAATGGAACAACATACTGACTGGACCTGATAGTACTTTGAGCAGCTCCGTGTAGTTCCACTCGCAACAGGGACTGGGCGAGCTACTGTAGTGGTGCCGTAGACCGCCGTTTGAGTGACAGTGGCACCAGGTATTGTGGTCAGTGATTGATGTCCTCCAGGAGGGCTGACACAAATGTTCTCGCCCGAGCGTAGATTGGTACAGTAGTTGTCCAGCGCGGGATTCCACGCCACAAGCTGCTGGAAGGTTACCAAAGCTTGCCTCGCCACCCCGTCACAAGTATCTCCAGCCTGGACCTTGTATGTGGTACAGCTTGGAGGAAGGCAAATCGTCTAAAGTGGTTTCAGTATGCTAAAAGAGAGGATTAGGACAAAGTACGTACTGCTCCTCTCAGCAGGTTACTGCAATCGCGATAAAGGCTGTTGACGGCAATCAAGGTTCCAGTCGCCACGTTTGACTTCTCAGCAATGACTTGGCAATTATCACCTGGGACCACGTTATAAGTATTACCGGACAGGCAAAGACGGGAACGACCAGATCCAGGGGAAGCAAAACCCCCTGGTGTGGTGACGTTGGTCTCCAAGAGTGGGACATCAACTGGAAATGAGAGTCCGCAAGTTGTCTGGATAGATGTCCAAACCGCAGCCAAAGTATCGTCGTAGTTGGAGTAAGGTGTGCTTTGTATGGCGCGGAACAGCGACACGACACAGTTCGAGCACAGCTGGTCGGTAGGCAAGTCGGTTCCATCGCTGTCTGTAGTAGAGCCGCTGAAAAACGTAGTAAGAACGTCTTGAAAGTGGTTTTGTTAGCGAAAGGGCGGAATATGGTACGTGAGCCAACATACCAACACAATATGCGCCCGTCTGCGAGTCTTTCAAGCAGATCTGGTTCCACGCCGCTGAGGCTGAGTCTCCCCAATATGTGGCTGGATATCCTGGTAGAGGCTGTGGGTCTCCTGCACACGCTTGCTTCACCGTGGATCGATAAGTTTCTAAATCGTTACCGCACCTTGTATCGCAGAACTGATCTTGAATGGTCTGGTTGCCGCCACCCATCGAGCCCCAGAAGTCCTCGGTCATGACTTGACGAAGAGAAGGATCGCATGCAAGTGATGCCTGCATGGCGGTAGCACATCCATCCGATATACTCGCTACCTGTCCTCTGAAGTCGGTATTATTGAAAAAGTACTATCATAGCTTTAGTGATTGATAAGCAGTGGCAGTCACTTCCCTCAGCTACCTAGCAGAGAGGAAGACAAAGGATCCTCACGCTTTCGGCAGTGACTCGTGTTATCAAAAACGCTCCAGCCAGCCCACGGTATAAGAACTGGAAACGACGCATCTTTGCGTGATGACTCTCAAGGAGGAGGTGGAAAGGTGCGGTAAGGGTAGGAGAGCTCCAAATAAAGGACAAGAAGAAATCACGGACAGACATCCATTGCCGAATCGTCCTTCTTGTCGTCTTTCTTGTTCTCCTTCTTTCGTCTCCATCTCCCTTGAAGGTTCAATCTCCGACCTCTGAGAAGCTAACGATGTAATGGGCCTGACAGAGATGTGATATGTACGAGTAGGGACAAACGGCAGGGTGACAGGGTGGGCTGCAACAACTCATTACAGTACCGCCCGGAAGGCTGAAGCTCATGCACAAGGGGGCAACGAGTTGTCGAACTCCACCTCCAAGCACCTTTAAGCACAGTTTTTAATCTCCCGAGAATCCTACCCTAGAATGAATACTCACTAGTCTCATATTGAGCAGGTACCCCTTGGAGCAATACTTACTACGGCGGACTATTACGTGCTAGAGCCCAAATCAAATTTTTCGGAAATCGGAAATCGGAAATCAGAATCCAGAATCCAGAATCCAGAACTCCGTACATCAGACCTCGCTGCCACCACCTTCCTATCGCTATCTACATCTTCGTACGACAATTCTAATCTAGTCTCCGTTTTGAATTGCATCAAAGTCGTCATCATCTGCACCATCTCCTCCTAAATCCATTCTTTGTACAGCCCCTTCCTCTAAAGGCTGCCAGTCTAATGCTCCTGTAGGCTTTACTAACAATCTTAATTCTGGCTTATTTTTATTTATAATGTGATTATTAAGAGCTATACAAAGCTATAGATAGATTATATAATATAATATAATAAATTTAGAGGCTTTACTGACAATCCCAATTCTGGCTCATTTCCATTTGTGATGTGATTATCAAGAGCTGTACGAAGCTGTAGATAGATCGTACGATGTGGTGCAGTAGGTTCAGAGCTAGATTGTGCAAGATCAAATCCCAATTGTTGTAACTGATTTTGACACCATATATGAGTGATAGAGGGTAGATATTCATTCATATCTAATATATTAGTTCAAGATCTCTTCGTACGGAAGATAAAATAACTCACCCCAATCTTGTACATCCTTCTGTAATGTCTCCAGTGTTTGAGCATGTACACGAATACCATAGTTCTTTATATCCTCTGGTGGATGATGATAAAGAACGTACGGCTTGCCAGCAACAGCATTCGGACGATTAGGTTGTTTTCGAATTCGATGTGTATTCCAAGTTCGTACGAAGCTCTGCATCTCGGTACGAAGAAGAGGAATGTAGACAGCAAGAAGAGCAATCTGATCAGCAAGAACATTTGATTTGAATAGTCCTTCATTTTGCAATACCCCAAAGTAGTTCTGTACGAGAGTTAATAAATATAAAGATTTTTCGTACGAAGACATACCCTCCATCGAAAGAGAAGACCTTTTGTCAACTGATTCCACCAAGATTCAATTCGTTGATTTGTTGTACTGGTTCCGTACAGATAACAATCTTGAAATTGAAGATCTGATTCTGTCGCACGTTGTAGTTGATGATGTGCAGAAGCCAACAAGACAGTCTCGCCACCATGATCAGATCGTACGAAGTATGGATGCTGTCCAAGAAGCTCAACAGTATCCAGATATTGACGAAGTACACTGACTGCCGTACGAGCAGAGATGCCAACATAAATCCAAATGATGTAACGTGAGTAAGCATCGATAGCTGCATATACTTCAACTCCGTACGGAGCAAGCTTGAGATAACCATCAAGAGACCAAACATGATTGGGTCCTGGTACAATGTATTCTCCTCGATGTCTTTGCATATCTCGCGTACGCCGCTCAATAGCATCAGGAACCAGCGTACGATAGATAGTGAATAATCGATCTCGAGCAATGTGAACTTCAAGTTGTTGAAAGTGAGCATACAAAAGTCCACGACCGTATCCTTCAATGACTCCCTTTTGCAACTCATCAGTCAACTTTTCAAGAGCCAATTCAGCTGATTCTTCTCGTTCTTCCTCCGTACGAAGACGTCTTTTGAGTCCTATATCTCTCCGTATCCGTACAAGACCACTCAATCCAATTGAATATTCTTCCAATTCAAGTGTACGAAGAATTTGAGGATCTGTCAATCCACAAAAGAACAGAGTAGAAATTCGATTTCGAAGATCAGAATTATCAACTGTTGAAGTTCGTACGACAATATTCCAGGCTTTCAAACGTCGTTTCAGCGTATTATTACCGACAGTGAGTTCGTACGTGGTATGCAGATATCTGCGTATATCTGCAAATGATTTTTGATTTGAGAGAAGATGAAGAATCTCTTCTTTGTACGAATCAAGATTGACAATTACACGAGGCATCTTGACTTGAATCAAAATAAAAAAGAAAAGTGAATGTACGAAAATAATAAATACAAAAAGGCGGTGAGTATTTTTTTCCGCACATTGAAATTTGATCTTTTTTTATTAATATTTCGTACGATCAATCAAAATGACAGAAAGAAGACCAGATTGGTCAGCTTTTTGCGGACAAGATGGAAAAAGACATACTTTGTATGAAGATCTCAAAGCATGTCCTTCCTGTGGAGCATTTAATCCCAAATTCGTACGAAAGGAAGAGTTCTCAAAGAAGGAGGAGATTATTGTCATAGAGGATTCTCCTCATTCGAAAGCCGATAATCCTCAGTCTAAAGCTATTGCAATTGGACAGTCGTCTTTCGTACGAAACTCTGAGAGATTCGCAACCTATCAACAAAAATCAGCTTCCGAGTCTGTACGACAGAATTCAATGCAGAACGTACGAAACAAAAGTTCCAGTCGATCACAAGCAAAACTTACGGAAAGCATTCGTACAAATGTACATATCTGGATTCGACGATATCAGATCATTTCAGATGAAGATTTTGAGATGGAAAAACAAACCGATTTTCATTCGTACGAGAAGTTTACAGTACCATTGAAGAATGCAGCAATTGAGAGCTTGCAAGACTTTATAGATAATCATCTTCTTCGTCAATCTCTTCGCTGGAAAAATCTTCTCAAGAAAGAAGATGATCGTATATATCTTGCAGTAACAGCCACCGTACGAGAAGGTCCAACAAATCTCCCAATGAGCGCGAATGAGATTCGTACGATCAAGGAACTTATTGATCAGTACTTTCCCAACAAAGATCGTATGATGCATGTTATTCTTGATCGAAAAGACTCTCGAGTAACTACATACGAGGATGACAATGCTCTTCCCAATTTTCCTTCACTTCAAACGGTCAAGAAAGAGTCGTACGACAAGTCAAAATCTTCCATCAAACAAGAACACATCAAACAAGAACGCAAACCCATCAAGCTGAAATTCAAACGACCTCCCTCGGATTCGTACGAAACCCCTACTTCCACTCGAGTCAAAGATCTTTCTCCCGTACGAGCCGAGAAAGACTCTCCTCTTCGTTTCTCTTGCTCCCCTCTTTCATCTCCTGATTCGACGATATCCGTATTCATACGAACAGATAAGCTAATATCTGGTGAGGAGTCATCGTACAGAGGTCAGAATAGGACTGGTAATGAGATTGAAGATGGGGATATTGATGATGGCATTAAAGACACTCCCTTGGCATGTCGTACGAGAGGGAAAACTGCTGGTGCTGGTGGCAAAGGTAAAGGAAAAGCTCGTGCATAAGAAGGAAGAGGATGGGATAGCAAGAAGATATCTCGTACGGTCTTAGCTTCAACAGTTTTGGATTCAGAATGTGGATTCAACTCCCTTCTGTGAGATTAGCTTCGTACGATGATAGTGGGTCAAAATGGGATAGTATATGAGATGCCTATTCATGCGGATGCCTATTCATGCGAATGCCTATTCATGCAACCTATTGTCAGTGAATTTCGTACATGAGTAAATTTGATGCCAAGACTTCACGAGAATCGCCACATACAAAAGGTCAGCTTCATCTCACTTCTCTCTCCAACTTTATCACCGCAATAGCAAGTACGTACAATACCTATCTCTTCCTGCTCTTCGTACGAGTCTGACAGTAACAGTAACAGCAACAGCAACAGCAACAGCAACAGCAACATCGTACGAAGTTTTTTTCACATCTCATTCTCATTTTCACTGACTTCTCTCTTAGAATAACTATCACCACCACCACCTCCCCCTCTCCCATCATGTGAGTGCATCATATCAGAAAGATCATATCGTACGAGAGAGACTGATAGCTCATAGGGCTCTTGTTTTATACAACGCCGTCGCCGCCGCCGCCAATGCCGCCGCTGCTGCCCCTCAGGGCCAATTAATGCAGAATTCAGTTCTGCCTATTGGTGGTCAGGAACTGGCCCCCCTCGTACATAGCCTGCAGGGTCGTGATGTGTTGGCCCTGCCTGGGGGTCCTGTTACGTTTCGTGTGGGACGTATCAGGCCTGAGCAGGTGCTTACACACCGGCCATCGTACATAAATGGCCTTCTCATACAATCTCGTGGCTTCGTACAGAATCCTTCCTGTACGAGGTGTCAAAGGGGACTTGGCGTGTTTCCGGAGTGTCGTCGCGTACTAGGACACTTCGGTGGCTGCTGTGGCAATTGCAAGTGGCCTGAGGCTGCTCCTCACTGTCAGTTCCCGACAGTGATTGATTTAGATTCGGGGGAGTCTGACGACGACCCTAATGACGATGAAGATTGACTTGTTCTAGTTTCGAGCCATTGCAATATAGATTCAACTCCCTTCTATAAGATTAGCTTCATACAATAATAGTAGGTCAAAATAGGATAGTATATAAGATGCCTATTCATGCGAATGCCTATTCATGCAACCTATTGTCAGTGAGTTTTGTATATAAGTAAATTTGATACCAAGACTTCACAAGAATCGCCACATACAAAAGGTCAGCTTCATCTTACTTCTCTCTCCAACTTTATCACCGCAACAACAAGTACGTATAATACCTATCTCTTCCTGCTCTTCGTACGAGTCTAACAGTAACAATAACAGCAATAGCAACAGTAACATCATACGAAGTTTTTTTCACATCTTATTCTCATTTCACTAACTTCTCTCTTAGAATAACTATCACCACCACCACCTCCCCCCCCTCCTATCATATAAGTACATCATATCAGAAAGATCATATCATACGAGAGAGACTAATAACTCATAAGGCTCTTGTTTTATATAACGCCGTCGCCACTGCCACTAACACCGCTGCTGCTGCCCCCTAGGGCCAATTAATACAGAATTCAGTTCTGCCTATTAGTAGTCAGGAACTAGCCCCCCTCGTACATAGCCTACAGAGTCGTAATATATTAGCCCTGCCTAGGGGTCCTGTTACGTTTCGTATAGGACGTATCAGGCCTGAGCAGGTGCTTACATACCGGCCATCATACATAAATGGCCTTCTTATACAATCTCGTAGCTTCGTACAGAATCCTCTCTGTATAAGGTATCAAAGAAGACTTAGCATGTTTCCGGAGTGTCATCACATACTAGAACACTTCAGCAGCTGCTATAGCAATTACAAGTAGCCTAAGGCTGCTCCTCACTATCAGTTCCCGACAGTAATTGATTTAGATTCGGGGGAGTCTGACAACGACCCTAATGACAGGAGTGTCGTCGCGTACTAGGACACTTCGGTGGCTGCTGTGGCAATTGCAAGTGGCCTGAGGCTGCTCCTCACTGTCAGTTCCCGACAGTGATTGATTTAGATTCGGGGGAGTCTGACGACGACCCTAATGACGATGAAGATGTGAAGCCTGCCGTACGACGGCAAGATCTCTCACGGGCTATCGAGGGGCCTGGGGTGGCGGCAGATCATACTATTGTGATAGAATAGGGTACGTACGAAGCTTTCTTATTCTTATTACATGCATTCAGCGTTCAGCACCAGCACTGCCTAGTCGTACGGGATGTGTACAACACTCAGACGATGAGCTTGCACTTCTACACAGTGTCTGAGACTAGTAGCCGCAAGGTGAAGCAAAGTGAGCTCGTACATAGCAATCAGATAGCATCTCCTACGAAATGTGTTATTATAGAGTTCTGGATTCTGGATTCTGATTTCTGATTTCTGATTTCCGATTTCCGAAAAATTTGATTTGGGCTCTAGCACGTAATAGTCCGCCGTAGACGTGCACTGCCACGACGTCCTCCTGCAGCAACCGTAGGCCTACGTTGGTGGCTCAGACTACTGCTCAGCCCCCTCCGCCATGGTTGGAAATGGACGACGCGCTTGGAAAGGAGAACGTGGCTGAGCCTTCACACATCGCAGGGGGGTCTAGAACTCGAGTCGCGGGTTTTTAGGATTCTCTTGAAGCTGTATGCTGTTTTGTAAAATCTTGAATCTCTGGTCGATATCTGAAGTGAACATGGCCGAGGCCGTAGGGTTTGTTCTTGCTGTGGTGCCCATGATAATAAGTGCCTGTGAACACTATGGCGAAGCAGCTCGTGGCATTCAGCGGTACCGGCATGCGAACAAGGGAGCAGAAGACTTGATAATGATGCTCGAGATACAAGAGGCAATCTTTCGATCGGCGAACATAAGACTTCTTGCTTCCTGCGTCGGCAGGGATGAAGCACACTTGATGTTGGGCGACTTCAATCATCCAGGCTGGAAAGAAAGCGGGCTGATTGCTGACTATCGGGCGAGACTGGGAGAATCGCAGCATGCTTTCACCCACTCGATCAAGCTCATCAACGAACATTTGGCAAATTTGCGCTTGACGATCGATGGCTTTGACAAGCACAGTGATGTCAATGAACAAGTCTGACTGACCAGAATTCTGGTACATGAAGTTCTGTAACTGACTCGAGTTGACCATAGGATGCTCACGCTCACCATCGCAAGCTTTCATTCAAGAAGAGGATCAGGCTAGCTTTCTCACAGTCTGGCATCGAACAGTCCTTGGAAAGCTTGATGAAAAAGACTCAGAACTTTTCGACCTTGATAGCCCAAACAGAACCGTCGCAATCAAGAACCTCGGAGACCAAAATTACTCTCTCGACAAGAAGAGAAATTGCCAAATTTGCCAGGATCAAAGACGCAGCTAGCAATTTGTATCAAACCCTGGGATACGCCTGTACGAAGCATACAAGTCACCAAGCTCAACTAAGCCTCGAACCATCCTGCAAAGTTCAGGAATCAACCCGCACAGACCCTCTACAAGTGCGCTTCACTATGGCATTTAGCCATTTGACCTTACAACCCCAAGCCACAGCGTCGGATTTATCTAAGCCCTCAGCCTGGCTTACGATCGAGTCAAGTGTAAGCGGTATGATACAGTCAGAAGCTGATAATGTGACCCTTCAGCACATGCAAGTTAGCGCAAAGAGGACGCGAGATAGTGAGGATGACGAGTCTCTTAACGCTTCGACAGCACAGGCAACGTCCCTACAAAAAAAGGCGGTCCGGTTCCAGTGTGCTCAGGCAGTGGCCGTACCAGTGGTGCCTGCGGAAGAACCAATTTTACCAAACTTATGCACAAACGAGAATTTCTGCCTGCAGCTTCGCAACTTCATCAATCAGGCTAGTCCCAGCACCAAAGCCGTGGGCTATCTAGGCCATCAAGGATCACAGAGGCATCTGATATATGTCGACGCAAAGTCACAGCGAGTCACCCAAGGCAAAGGCACGAGCCTGCTCAGATCTCTCCGCCAACTCCTCCAAAGCACCAACAACGCAGGCCCTAGCATTCCCATCCTCCTACACTACGAACGCCTCCGCCTAGCGCACCTGTTGTCGATTGCAGTCCTCCAATTCCGCTCGACGCCCTGGCTAGCCAATTCCTGGAACAGCAACGAAATCCTCGTTTCCACACACGAATCCTCCTCTACCACAACCGACGACACCACAATAACAAACTTCCACGAACCCTATGTAAGCGCCTGCATCCGAAACCCCTATGACGCGCCCGCCCGCTCCAACACGCTCCGCAGCCGCACGTTAATCCGCAACCAACTCCTCTTCCGTCTTGGCGTCATGCTGCTCGAAATCGCCTTCCAGAAACCCCTAGACGAAATGAAAGAAACCTCCGACACCGACGGCGGAGACGACAGCAACGCCGACTTCTGGGCGGCAGATCGCCTGCAGCATCAGGTCTCTGCGTGTCTGGCGCCGAGGTATGCGGAGGTGGTGAGGAAGTGTATCCATTGTGATTTTGGGAAGGATTTCGATCTCACGGCGACGAAATTGCAGGAGGCTTTCTATCAGGATGTCGTTTGTGAGTTGAAGAGATTGGAGGACTTGTTCAGGGCTGCTTCGATGGTGGGTTGAGCGGGAACAATAAGTTCTATTTAAGTGTTAACAGCTCAAATACAGATATATCCTTCTCTTTGACCTTTCTTCTTCTTCCTCTTCTCATCGTCGTCAAAGTCGAAATAACCTCTATCTATACAAAATGACTCCATGAATTTTCAAATTTTCTATGCTAACATGATGGCAGCGGTGGTGCTTGGCGACTATCTCTATATCGATGGAGGAGAACTCGCCCAGCTTGTGGACGGCGAACTGGAAATATATCCCCGTACATTAAGAAAGACATGAAGCATTTCGGCCGCAAACGTTGGACTGGCAATGGTCTCCAAGAAAACAATACCCTTTCAATCGATCTACGTTACTCTTGGACAAACGATAGCATGGCCTTCAATGTCATTACCAAGAACGCTCCCGTGCTGAATCATCTAGCTCTCCGGGCGAACGACAATGGAACATCCTTCTACCAATGGGGGTGGGAGCAAAGTAGTAGATTGAATACTTCAGTAACTCCCGTTGCAGAAAACAGGCTCTGGCGCTTTGACGCTGATGGCCAAGGTGCCGGTTCCTGGACAGCATATTCAATACCTTCCGGTGTTTCGCGTATTTCGAACGCGCTATATGCATCTGGCAATGGCTCTGGCTATCTTTTTGGAGGATATATCAGTTCCTGGACTGACCCACGTAATGAAGATATTGGAGACATGCCTTCGAGCCGTGCGCTGGTTCCTTATAACATGGCTACGGGCGCCTGGGCCAGTGACATGAGCTGCATGGAAAGGTCATGCTACAGACTCAACGGCCATCTCGATTTCATTCCCACCTTCGGCTCTAATGGCGTACTTGTAGCGTTAGGTGGCTGCGGCGCAAATTCTTCGTTCTTTGGAACCTGCAGGAACAGTCCCCCGAGCAATTTTAGCACCATCGATATCTACGACCTATCTCAGAAGCAATGGTATACTCAGACAGCATCAAATGGGCCAGGACAGCTGCCTGACCCCCGTGAAGGATTCTGCGCGGTAGGTCTCCTGGGAGACAATGGTACATACGAGAATTTCATGTTCGGTGGAGAAGTTCACTCGGCAGATTCTACTGAAGGTACGACCGTATAGAATTACCTGGAAGCGGTGTATGTGCTTTCACTCCTAGCTTTCGTCTGGCACAAGGCCGACTACACCCCCACTCGTGCACGAACAAAAAATAGCTGCAATATCGTTGGAAAGAGACAGATGCTCGAGGTTGGAGGCGTCAAACCTTCTGGGAACATCTGGCTACCTGCGGATCCATGGACTCAGGGTCTCAACGTTTTCGATTTAACGGAGATGAGGTGGGTGGGGGGATATGACGTCGAAGCTGAGGACTATATCACGCCAGCGGTCGTGGAGTCATGGTACGACGATCATGGAATGTATCCGGATTGGGATAGCTTCGAAATTCAAGATATCTTCACAGTCAACGCTCAATGTAAGTGAAGCCGTAGAGGTCGACATGGCCCCCATTCTTGTGCAATCCAAGAGGCTGACCAACATCTTTTTATAGCAACTCCACCGTCCAACACCAGCACGCAACCATCGGCAACAGGGTCGACTACTGCTAATGATGAACCTCCGGGAATCAATACCGGTGCTGTGGCAGGCAGCGTTGTTGGGGGTGTCGTTTGCCTGTTCTTAATTGCTGGGCTCTCGTTCTTTCTGATGCGACGCCGGCAAAGACGGTCGCGAGTATCAAACTCGCTGCGTCCTCTTCCGGAGCTTCACGCAGATGATGCTAGAGCCAAAGAGCTCCCCGCCTACGAACAGCCTTCTCATTTACATCCTCTGCAAGAAGTAGATGGCGGCTATGATGGGGTGGAAGCTCCTAGCTCACATAGTCCACTTATCGAATTGTCTGGCCGATAAAGATGTAATATCTTCTTTTCATCAATCGTTATTCTTTAGCATCGTTCGAGGTCTTCGGTTACCTTAAGACGATTCGGTCCTGTCGGTTTCTCTTTGGTCGCTGGGAAGAAGGCAGGAGATGGTCTGAACCACCATATCTACCCGAACTTGTCGCCACTTCTTGCCCGCTGAAGACGAAGCACGGGAGAGATTTACACCCTTTGGGACGGGATGTCTTTGGAGACTCATAATTTGCGGAGCTACTTTCGGCCAGGTTACATTCGACCTGTCAGGATCAAGGAAGTGCAAGGGCAATAGAACAGTATAAAGGTCCTTCGGTCCGAGGATTGTCATAATTGAGCGCAAAGAACTAAAATTTATGTACAAAAGGAGGGATATACATAGTAAGTACTCAAAACAACCCTTTAACGCGTAGAAAAACGTAGAGCCTGCAGGGTCCTCCTGGCGCTCTCTTGACGTTCTGGGCGTGCATAACCGTCTGTCCCTCTCGATGGTCTTCTCGTCCTCGAAAGGCTCTTGTATTCTAGTACGTGATTTCTGCCAAGGATTCTGTGTGGAGTTCGGTTTAGTATTCTGCCTCGATCCTGTGGAGGATTTATGGGGAATTCTACGGTGGATCCTGCGGTGGATTCGAGGGGATTTTGTGTACTCCGTATAGAGTTGCTATCAAGCGAAATAGCGCAAACATAGATACCAAAAATATACGCGGAGCCCATGTAAAACGCGTAACAAGTCTGTACCAAAACGGTGGTGAAATGTATAGCAAAATGTGGCCAAACTGTATTTTCAGAGTCCAACACATTCCAAATGAACACCATGGGGCGTCCTTCATGAACTCGAGTTGATCGTAAGCATGCCAAAGCCTTTCAACTTGGACACTGCTTGTGACCCATGCGGTGATCAGCCGCGTAAGCCCAAGCATAACATCCGTGATGCTGAAATGCTTGCACCTAATCAGTCTGAACACCGTTGGCCATTAATCTGGGTTTCTAAACCAATCAACATGATATGGATTAAGGTGTGTCATATCTGAGAATCGAATATGTGCGTCCAGGTCAGCCTGCGACTACAAATCACTGGTCTTGGAGAGGATTTGCGAAAACCGCCGAATTGAACATGGAGCTAGAGACCTCGATCCTATAGCTGTGAAATCTTTGCACGAAATCGATGCAAGTGCCTTGTAGCAAGTCATCGTCTTCCCACCTGTCTTTCCAGACCTATTCTCCGTAGACCAAGGCGTGTTTTGGGCTTGTGCTTGGAAATGTCGGAGCAACTAGGTATGGGATTGTATCTCCCTTCTTAATATCCTCGAACTGTTTGCTGCCACTTGACCAAAAGTGCGGAACCGTGCACCCAAGTGCAATACAGTGGTAATTATTGAATCCCATTCCAACACGAACTGTCTCTTTCGATGAAATTGCGTAGAGCTGATATCCTTCGTACACGATTTTCCAGCTTTCCTGCAAAAGAACCTGACAGACACTGCGTATTGTTGGATCAAGTCCGTGTCCACCAACCACAGTCTCATCCACTTCACCTGCATCTTTGCGCCCTACTTTTGCCTTTTCAACGGCCTGAGCTTTGGGCAAGTTGTACAGCTCCCTCTCGCCAGAGATGTGCGCTTCTTGAGTAGGTTGCAATGTATTTGTTGTCGCAATTCGTAAGGTAGCCACATAAGAGGACTATCGATCTGGAAATTGTTGGGCGGTCTGAACTGCATGTACCTTGCCTTTCGATAATGGCCAGGACGCAGCGGTTGGCCTTTGTCGAGGCCAAGTAATGCTATACGCACCATTCGTGACCTTTGAACTTGGTTGGAAAATTCACTCTGATCTTTGTGCGTTTTGCAGACGTGCTGAAGTACAAGCGCCTTTACCTAAGTTGAAATCGGATCCGCAGCTAGTTAGAGTTAAGCAGGCAAAAGTTGCGACTCTAAGAAGCTTGGAGAAGTCTTGAGCTGGGATGTGCGAATCATGCGGTAGGGCAAGAGATGCTTCTGACAATGATAGGCTCCACATTTCAGTTGCCAATTAGTGAAAGTGAATCGGTGTCAGAAGTCAAGTAGCAAGGTTCGGATGTTCTTGGCTGCAAAAGATTGAATTACCGGAACTCGAACTCTGTAACCATCGATGAACATGGAACGATAACACTTGACCTTGCCTACAGAAGTCCTCCAGCTGTGGCTATAATGAGCTGTAAGGGAGATAGTTGCAATTTGAATAAGGAGTCAACTTCATACAGGTGATGTTGATATGGGGACTGGGAACCCAGGTTCGGATCTAGATTGTTCTTGCTGAGCTGAGAGGGGTGAGAACAGACCTACCTCCCTGGCACCTGTTGCTCGTTTGATGTCTTCGAAGATTGGTCCAATAGGCATCATGTACGCCCATGGCACATTCTCACGGACAGCGATGATGTGTCCGCACAGTCTGTTGCCAGCAACGACCCAGGATCCCGAACTTCCGCGTGCTAAACATGTATTATCACCTGTGTCATCAAAGGGGGAAAAGGTTTTACTTACGCAATATATGATTGAGCACCACCAATCGCACATCGTAAGCCCTGCCTTCGCAAAGAATAGTGGACATTGACTTGCGCAGAACGCCAGAAAACGACCTATCACGGAAGAGCACGGATACATCATCCTGTGGAAAATGATCTACAGTGCCCAAAATTACTGATTTGAGCCAGGGGTTTCTTGGGTCTTTCAAGTTGGTAAAGGTCGATGAAGTACGGGGTAGATGCAATAGTGCCCAGTCGCTTTGGTCTACGGCCTTGTTAAACACATTCAGAATATCATGTTGTCCTGAAAACAGTTGATCGGGTCCGGAAGCGGCAACAAGTCTGGTTTCGTCGGCATTGTCAGCTGCAGCTTCTTCCATATGCTGCATTGGGGTGTTGTTGATGTGCTCAGGGTTCGAGATCCCTTGCTGTGACATATCATCGCCACTTTCCAGGCCGAACCAGAAAGCTTCCTCAGTATCGATGGCACAGTCGGAATCTTCTAGCTCCTCGTGTTGGCTCGTTTCAGAAGTAATAATAGACGTCAAGTTCGATGCCGGATAGGCATGATCAAGCGGAAAGACATGTCCTACTGTCATTCCATATATTTCGCCATCCACGACCACCACCCCACCAAGGGTACATTGAAGTGAGCCTCCATTTGCGGATTTGCTTATCGTCAGTTGGTGCCCGCATAGCGTGTCAAAGCTTTGATTAATGTCCAAGGTGAAGTTCATCAGCCCATGAGCGGCTGCGTTCTTCTCGGAGGCGAGCCTCGTCACTGATCCTTGCATGCTGGTGGTGGGGGTCGGCATCTTTGCGGTAGGAGGAGTAGGAGGAGGTGAGGGAAGAAATAATGGTTGAGCTGGAAATATGACAGCGAGAGGGTCTGAAGGCAGTTGGATAGTTGCATCCTGATCTGAAGGCATTCCGATAACTGCATGCCGACTCAGATGGGGAACGGCATCTTCTCCTGGAATGGAGGGGAAGTACACCATCTGTTCTTGCTCAACATGATATACATATTTCCGGTGGAGCCACCTGCGATATATCCATGTCAATATAAGTAAAGCGAAACCGCTAAACGCTGCTCCGGCTCCGATTCCAATTGCAGCTCTCTGTGAGGTGTTCAGGCTACTCAAGTGCGTAGGTTCCACAGCAGCAACAAATAACATGTCACTGGCCTTAAGCAGTTTTTGCAGCCATTCTTGTCTCTTGAACACCTTCTGAACGCGTTTCCTAGTCTTCATATCACCACATGTGACGACTATAGTAGGCTTGAGATGATCTGCTCGGCGCCCTGCCATCATCAACTCTTGGACACATGTTCCACGTGTGATTTCATGTACAAGGCAAGCGCGAAGTCGAGCTCTAATAGACTTGTCCCAGAGCAGTTCCAACTCATCTTGAACCGGTAATGAGGGCGCAACATGAACCTTCGAAAGAAAGAAGAGCTTACTTGTGAGCAGGATAGACGTCGCAGGTGTCTGAGTGCTCCCGTTCGCGCTCTGGGTTCTGCAGCTGAGCTGAGACGGATCGGTGGCTGTGGTGTCAGAAGATTCAGGAGCCACTGCCTGAGGGTGGTCGGAAGGTAGGGGGGGAATAGCTGCTAGTTGCTCTTTGATATGGTCAAAGACAGATACCGTAGTCATGTCCGGTCGCACAACAGCGGGAGGCGGCTGCGTAATCATTTGTACTGTCTCCATTGTGCTGCATGCGCTTTTTTCAGCTGGATTCTGAGCATTGCCCATCCACAGTCCCCTGGAGCTGCAGCAATGTACATCGACCAAAGATTGCACTGTTGAGCATCGGTTTGTGAGAAAACCGTCAGAGTGCATCTCACACGCAACAAAAGTGAGTGGCTTAGCTCAGCCAATGAGCTTCAGAGTGACCTTACGAGCAAAGAGCAATTCAGCAGTCTGTTACTGAGTACTTACTATGTAAGAGGCATAATTTCGTAGTAATGTCACCAGAACACTAGTAATAGCTTGTAACGTCTAGACAAAACGCCACAGCATGCTTGATTAGGACTAGTATCGAGTGTGCATTCCATTAGCATCAAATGACTGCCTGGCACCTTGCTGACATTGACTCAAACAGCTCTAGGAGATAGGCTGTTGGTACAGCATTCCAAGCAGCTGTTGTGGCCTCTCGTAGCTCATCGTAGCCCATAGCGTGTAATAGCGACAGCGTAGTCATAGCGTTAGGGGGGCTGTACGTAGTACATCGGGCGGAATTTTTGTACCCCTACTGGTCATAATTTCTTACCAAACGCCCTCTTTACATACACTTCCTTGTCAACATCCCTGTCGCTATTATGGACGCTCATCCTGCTCATCCTGCTCATATCCTGCGAATTCTAAGCGTTCTGCACATTTTGACAGCTACGAATAGCTGTTAAAGCTGCATGGGATGCTGTACCTTCTGATTATCTTAAGGAGCTGCTTCAGTGGATGCAGGCAAGATGTCAAGCACTGCAGTTCTAGATGCCAAGGGAATGGAAGCTCGATTATAAAGACTAGTCCTATTCGGGCCATTTAGTGGCGTCTATACTCAATTCTGCGTAATGAGTTATTTACAAATTACTAGCATTTTCACCCCAGGAGGTTACAAAAATTCCGCCTGATACCGCAGTAGGTTGGTTTCGGTGAAAGTGCGCGGAATAGCGGCGAGCTTAATTAATGGGCTTGACAACTTGGGTAGGCATCGAGATACAAGCCCTAGTTAGTTAAAAGTGGTGCACATGTCAGGTTGGGTAAGTCAGTCTGTGGAAGACCTTGCCTTAGGCTGTGGATGCCACAAAGCTGCAGCCAGCACATATGTTCGTGGTGATGACAACACAGAAGCTCTCTCGTCGACCACCATGAGCGCATCTGATATTGAGTTGGCGTCACCATTAGCACCAAAAGATCTCATTGTGAAGATTGTGGCCAGTAATGCGATTCACGGCTCGGAGGACAGGGCCTATGCCAGATATTGTGCTGAAGAGTTGAGCTTGCTGCATAAAGGTGTAGCACAGGAGACATGGCAGAGTCAAGCGATGGCAGTCAAAACGTATACAGATCTGAACACAGTCATGAGGCTCATTCAGCAGAGCCCGCACTTGTCGCGGCCAGAGATACGCCGCGAACTCTCGAGCACGTTTGCAACAGCGACAGTTGCCAGCTTGAACAGCTCCATCAACTTGGCACTACGTCTATGGTTGATGATCAATTTTCAAGACATAAGATTCGAGACGCTACGACACCAAGCGACTTGCATTGAATGGAACGAGTCTTCTACCTTGCACGCACGTGTTGCGGAGCTGTTTCCTAAAGCTCGGTGGGATGTTAGCGCAGCTACGAGCCGGCTCGGTCCATACTTCACGGCAGTCTTCCTGACCCAAGTATGTGGGTTGAAGATCGAGTGGACCACCAGTATATGCGATCATTTGCGGCTCGATCGATACAGTGGGACCTTGAGGATTTTCCCGTACAAATCCCACCTCAGTCATCTACTAACCAGCGATCAGGTGAACGTCAAGTAAGTAACAGCATCCACAATGCTCAAGCCGCAGGTGTCATTGACCGCCTGACATGTGTCCTATTCCCACAGACGTGCTGCGGGAAACTCTTCTCTCTCTCGACCTTCTATTTCCAATCCGGGACCATGCGACATCACAGCTGCTAGAAGACCACAGGCAAAGCTTCCATGAGAGTGGCCCATTCTTAGCCCAAAGCTCGACGTTGACTCTTGGCGATTTCGATTACTGGCGTGACAGGCTCCTCGAACTTCGTGAGGTCCTGGATGCGCCACCAGTGAGCTGGCAACAATTGTACAGAGACCGTCGAAACCCACAGCAATTCTGGACGTTCTGGATCGCACTGTTCATATTAGCTCTGACGTTGCTCTCTTCCATTGCGAGTCTTGTGCAAGCATGGGCTTCTCTCAAAGCTCTCAAAATGGCACAGCATCTAAGTGCATAAGGATTCACCAGGTTATCACTTTAGGGTTTGTCATGGAAGCACCGAAAGACGGCATCATACGTGCCTGCTGCGTGTGGCGTTTGAAAGGGTATCGCGAAAACCCGATAGTACTTTCAGTTGGCGTTGGGCTGAAGCTCGTACGTTTGCCGGTTTTCTGGCTCGCCGGGGTTTGCATCTAGTTGAGACGGCCCAAGTACGATGAGTCCAATAGATGTCGCCATGACCTGGGAATAAACAAAACCGCGGCATTTGGCCCGCGACAGCGAGGACGCTGCTGGATCTTGGACGTTGGGATCCGTGACTGCATGGGTCTTTCATTGTTGCATTGTTTTCTTGGTTAGATGCTCTGCTCCATCTGATGGCAATAGAAGTTGCGGGCTGCAACGCAGTGCGGGGTTGAAGTGTGGCTCAAGTATGGCTTGTACTGTAGAAATTGCGCCCCAATCGACTTTGCAGGCTGACATCTTGATCTTATCTCCTCACAGTGAGGGATGAAAAACGAAATGGGTACATTTCCTATTAGCGCGCCGATGGTTTAGTCGTTTTGCTCCTTCTTTCTCTCACCAGTGACGATCTGCACCAGGCTGTACGAGGTGTCTCCGAAGCTACAGCAGCGGCTGCGCCGGTATGAAACCTTCCCACAGACCTTCTTGCTTGTCAACCGCACGCCGAGCGAACCTCTCGCCAGAGGTGGTCCATGTGCACCAGAATATTCAAACCAGTGGTGTGATGTGTGTGCTGCTGAGCGACTGTGGTCGGCAGTGTCGACGATGAGAGTAGACGGCTCGAACCTCGATTACTTTGACAAAATCGCATAGGATCGCACGTCCAATATCGATCTTACGCGACAAACCATGGAAAAATTTCGGCTTGGGAAATGTTCCGTGGAGAGAATGATCGCCCAAGGAGGTGAAGTGTGTGGTAAGTAAAGAAGGGTTTGTATGTATGGTGGACGAGATGACTAAGAACATTGACTCAGGTTGTAGCAGGTGGCGCCGGCGTTGGCGTTGGTAATGTCGCCAATACCCGTGAACCCTTCTATCAACGTTTGTGGCAATCACTACCAGGGATTTAATGCCACTTAAAACTCACGAGTCCACGTAGGAGACCTGTATCACTATCACGAAGAAGATGTCAGGTTGAAATATGTGAAGGGAGCCATGTCCGATGCTTATGGCCAAGTTTATGAAGCCTGCCATCCTGCTACCCGGAGGAAACTGTTACATGAGATTCAAGAATGGGCTCAAATTCGTGGTAGCAAGAGCATTTTCTAGCTCAACGGCATGACGGGCACCGGCAAGTCGACCATCGCGTACACTGTAGCACAGTGGCTGACCGAGCAAAGGGCCTTCGGTGTCATGGATCTTGGGGCCTTTGGGCCAGCTTCCTTTTTAAAGGCGGCGAAGGAGGTCGAGGTACGGCGGCACTCTTGTTTCCCACCATCATTCAGCAACTCGTTTTAAAGGTTCATCGCCTAGATGTGCTTGAAGTGATCCGATCCAACCCGGATATCTGCAGCAAGGCACTGGGTGAAGAATTCAGGATGCTGATCAGTCCACTATCACAGCAAATCGTCACCGCTCCACCTCATCCAATACACATCATCGTGGTCGATGCGTTGGACGCATGTACGACAAAAGACATCAACAAAGTGCCTCAACTCTGATGCAGCCTGCCTCACATCACCAATATTCGTCTCCGACTCTTTTTGACCAGTCGGCCTGAGTAGCCTGTGCAGTTGGGATTTGATGATATTTTGTCCGACGCCCATCATGACATGATCCTCCAAAAAGTGCCTCGACCCATTGTCCAACACGACAGTTTCCCCTTTCTCACAGACGCATTCGCGAAGGAATGGAAGGGCTATAACTCTGATCCCCTTCTCGGTACACTGCTAGACCATCATTGGCCAGGCAATAGGGTTTCTGGGGAGCCCAAAAAGGCGCTCAGCCCACACAGACTCTTGCGGTCTATCCTCCCCTCCAAGGCTTTACGCCTGAACTACCCCAACATCGCAAGATCTGTACTTATCATCACGCATTCGCCGCCTGCACCACGCCTACCATGAACGTCAAAAAAGCCATCATAAACCCAGCAATTCCAAACCCACCCTGCACATCCCTCTTCAATGAACTCCAGACAACCCCCATGATAAGACTAACCAGCACAATGGCAAACCCAAAAAACCAGACCTTATTCCAATGCACACCCTCCACGAACTCGATTCCCCAACCAACAGGGACATCCGTCCCGGCCAGCTCCAATCTGTCTCTAACCCGTTTTGGAAACCTTGAGAGACACACCGTCTCGCTGTCCGCATCCTCAGGGTGATGGTAGATATGCATCAGATAATTCCTTCCCACGGGCGGAATGACCTTGGCAGGGATGGGACGGTATTGATATTCATCTCTTCGATCCTCGGGGGGGATGTCATCTCGCTTGCGGATATCGACTATTGATTTGCGGTGGAGTTCGAATTGGACGAATTCGATGCTGGTCAAGGTTTGGAAGGAGAGGAGACGCCGGCGCCAGTTTCGCCGTAGTCGGTGGTAGTGGGTTCGGAGGAGCTCGAGGAGTTGGCGGTCTGAGAGGATGGGGAGGGGTTGTTTGAGGTCGAGTTGGAGGAGGCTGGTTGCGAAGCGGCTGATGGTTATGCAGGTTAGGAGGAAGAGGCTTTCGTGGTTTGATGCTTGGGTTGATACATTTGGGTCGTCCTTCTGTAAATCGAGTTTCTCTTGGTCCGGACCTGGTTGTAGCATGGGAGGGGAGCCACGCGCATGTTGATGTTCTGAGGCTGCAGCAATTGTATTTGTTGCCAGTGGAGCTGAGGACTTGCCCAAGAGTTTGGCACTTGACGGAGATCTCTCCGAAGCCAGCGCGAAAAAAATCAGCGCGAGAAAAATCAGCGCGAGAGAGGCCAGCACGAGATAGACCGGCACGAGAGAGGCCGGCACGAGAGAAGCCGACAGGAGAAAAGCCGGCACAAAAGAAGCCAGCGCGAGAGAAGCCAGCGCGTAGTGAGCCATCACGTAGAAAGCCAGCGCGAGAAAAGTCAGCGCGTAGAAAGCCAGCGCGAAAGAAGCCAGCGCGAAAAAGGTCAGCGCGGGAGAAGCCAGCACGTGAAGAGTCAGCACGTTAGAAGCTAGCACGTGAGAAGCCAGCGCGTAGAAAGCCAGCGTGTAGAAAGTCAGCGCGAGCTCCAATCGAGCAGATTTTTTGCTGACCATGCCAGCAGGACATATTCCTAGATAATCCAGCATCTCAACAAGCCTGGTGGCGGTTATTATAAAGTCATCCCTACGTTTAGCTGCTTGTGGGTGGTCTAACAGCTTCGCCAAATCTTCTGCTGCACCCGGACGGGCCTCTTTGAAGTCATCGTAAAGCTGCCTCCCACACCGCTGATGAAATCTGGTTAGCAAGGTAGATATTCAGATTCAACGGGAGTACTAACGCATGTCCATCTCACTCTCACTTTCCCATTTCCTAAGGGTGGTTCGAGGAATGGCAGGTTTGTTCTACATGTCACGCTGGTCCAAGAAGAGAATTTCGAGATACATTCCACTGCCCGTGAAAGTCTTGAACGGATCGATTGAGTGATAATGCCCCGGAACGCATCATGGTCCGAATACCCTGTATAGATTCCCCAAAAGAATTTTGATAGAGGGCTCATTTCGTCAATGCTGCTCGGTCCTCGTTGCAAGAATGTTGCCCTCCTCCATCGGGATGAATGAACGAAATTATCGCCTAAGATCATCAGTTGGACGGGTCCTCCTGACTCGGTAGTCTCGCCTGGGGTGGGTTCTGGAACATGTGCTGCTCCAAAGGCAGGGGGTTTCTCAGGTGTGTCCTGTTCATAAGGCTCTACGGATTCATGGCTTGATGTTGATTGCGCCTCTGTTGTGTTGGATTTTGAATCTTCGTCCGGCGCTTCTGCCATAGAAACGTCGCCGTCCGAGGACACTGGACAAAGCGGTGTTATTAACTTGTCGAAAACTTTACCAATTCCCGCCAGCTGCTCAGAGTCAGGGGATGCATGGTGTGAGTTCACGCCAGATCTGATGTTGAGCTTGTGGTTGGAGTCTTGGCTCACCCATCTGGACCCAAGACTACCACCATTGGAAGTTATTGGAGGCAGCGTATGTCTGATCCCAGTCATTCCGCTGTTCATCTCCTCTATATCAAGCTTTATTGGGGACAGCGAGCCAAGATCTGGTAGGAGCGAAAATGAGAGACTGGGGGGATCTTGGCGAAGATTCGGCTCAGGAACGTCGATACTCGGTCTCCGCTCATTAATTGCAAACTCCGAGTCCAAGCCTGATGCTTGCGAAGGGAGATATTCCTGGATCGGCCCGGGATCTGAAGCCAAAGTCGGTCTCTCCGCTTTAATACCATCCACTACAGATGACGTTTGCATATATGAGGAGTCATGGAGAAGCATGTCCCTCTTCGCAACCTGTTGATGAAGATTTAGCAAAGAGGAGTGAAGTACTCTGAGGTCCTTTTCCTGACTAGCTCTTTCAAGCATATCGAAAAAGTTCCATCCTGCCTTCCCTTCATAGGTTGACAAGAGACGACCGTGGAGCTCATCAAGGATCTTCTCATGCTGCTTGTAAATCTTTTGCAGTATTTCTGGTAATGCCCACAGGCCAGCTCCTTTATCTAGTACCAATTGAAGACGAGCGTGATATAATCTAAGCTGCTCCTCGTAAGCCTTGTATCTTTCTTCGAGAAGCTTACAAGACCCGCTTGAGAGGTCATGTCGATGAGCCTCCAGCAGACACTGGTGAAGTATGTGAAGATCAGTCTGATGCTTCATGCAGATTTTCTTACAGTTTGCCTGAAGCCGCTCAACATGTGCCTGGTCCACAGCCCTGCTTTGCTCATGGTTGTTGTTGATTCCTTTGATCATATCGAGCAACAGATCTTGGAGCTCATTGTTGTAAGTCTGGCGCTGCTTGTCCTGACCGAGGTACTTGGTAGCCTTCGCACGGATCCATTCAACGGGATTTGCGTCCTGGTAATTGTAATCTCCAATGTCACGATCCACGGCTATAGAAGTATCGTCGTAGTCTTTATATTTGAGCCTATTTGGGTCGATATCTGTAAAAAGAGTATCCGGATCCATGTCCGTCAAATCCAATGCCAAGCCATCCTCGACCACATCCTTGAAGCTTCCAGCAGATGCAGACACAGGTTTGGGTTGCTCGGATGAAAGATCAGATTTGGGAGGTACTTTTGCTTGTGGCGGAGCATGAAACGACTCCATTGTATCCCAGGTACACCGTATTGATCTCAAATGCCTCGACCGCCTTCTCTACCGTCTTTGTCCTTGATATCGATAGTGGTGAACTCGCAATAAAGCAGTCATGCATGCCTTCGTTGATTTCGCCACTCAAAGTAGCCTTCCTCATTGCAAGGTAGACACCCCCGCCTTGGACAAGGCTGAGTGGCTGAGGCGGTGCATGATGTTCCATCCTTACCGATTACGTACAATACTGGCGAGGTTGGATCCCTGGTGTCATGTCTTCAAGGGCCATTCCCAAGAAGAGCTCGGCGTCATCGGGCGGCTGCTCACCATGATTCCTCAGAGGAAAAGGAGCATCTTGAGTACGGCTGAACCCAATATGAAAGAGCTCCGGTCTTGGTATCTCTGGTCTATTATTCAGGGCAAATTTACCCGCGGACCTCCCCAGGTTTCAGGCTATTGTTGCCGTTGAAGAGAAGCCGGTAGGGGAGTATTTCTTAGCCCTCCGGCCATCAGAAACCCACCAATTGATGCATTGAGCTGATATTTAAATAGCGCTCTCCACAGTCCTCCGGTCTCGTGTCACAGTCGGGTAGGTTCCCACCACTATCTCAATCGACATCTGGCTTGTGCTCCCCACGATTCAACGTCCGGACCGTTGACATCGGGGCATGCGACTTGTGCTGCGCAGAATGGCGTCCGAAACAGTAGGAGCAGCCAGCCCAAACGCTACTGGTATCAAATCTTGATCTGTCATGGAAGTTTGAGTTATAGACTCGAACCTGACCTGCGTTGACTAGGTCATGAGGAGGTTCGAGCATGGTCAACGCTCTGCAGCTTAGCCGACGGCGGGGCACATAGAGGTGTCACCGTCCTCATCCAGCGAGTAGGCAGATGGTGTTGCTTGTTTGTTTCAGCTTTTCGAGATGCAGATCGAAGACTCATGAACCGAGGACACGCACAAAATATAAAACAGCCCGATGACGGAAGGTCTCGGCTGCTGATGGTCGGATACCCCCGATCATCACCCCATGCATATGGCAGTTTTAGCCCTTGTCTCGTCCCCTCTATGAGAGTTGTGTCGTATAATGCCGTTGAATCCCGGGGGGGGGTCAGGAAAAGCTTACATCCTGGCCGCTGGGGGTAACACATAAAGCCCCGGTTGATCAGTTCAACCTGTGAACAAATCTATCTCGCTCTGCTGACCGAAAAACGAGAGATAGTAGAGCTTTTTGCTTGAGCATTCTTGTTACGATTATCACCTCACCTGCCAACATCCTCAAAATGCCGAAGGATACCTTCTCTGCTGCTGATGATCTGCTCGATGAAGTTGACGAAGCTGGCCTGTATATACTGTGTCGCAGGAAAAAAGGCGACAGACAACAATGGATGCTCGCCCTAATCATGGAAGGCGAAAGGTTCGGCATTTTCTATTATTATGAACCCAAGTCAGATGGGAATGGAGAAATAAAGGTCGCACCCGATCAAGTGTGGAACGACGAGAACCTGGTTTCCAAGCACTTCCTTAAAAGTCTTACATATCCACATTTGGTCGGACATAAAGGATTCCACAACAGCGCTATGTCGGTTCGTGCCTCCGGCAACGACAAGTCGTATATCGTTCGCGTCCTCCTTATCCTCGAACAGCGCTTTCTCGTCCCCGACAGATCCTACAGCGACTGGAACGAAATTTGGAGATATCCACCATCGTCAGATGGCAGTGATTCTGGTTTGGAGTCCTTCACGACTAGGGAATCCGAACTTTTGGCTAGATATCCTGCCAACAATCCTGCCACCAAAGCACGGCAATCTCCTGCCTCGCGGAAATCTCGTTCTCCTACTCCAGCGGCACAAGCGGGACCATCTTCAGACTTGGCCTTGAAACCGAGCCGCGCAAGCACCCCAGCGACACCCGCCAGACAGTCTGCAGCCCCTGTTAGGGACCGTCCTGGCATTGATACTGCAGAAGCCGGGCCCTCTTGTGTGCCAGCTCTGGATCCTTGCAGCCGCGCTGCAAAGAAAGCACGGTCTACGCTGCAAAATGGCAGTCCTAAAACAACAGCACCATCTACAGTCCAGAGCGGCCCTCTAGAAGTAAGACCACGATCTACAGTCCGAACCGACCCTGTATCACGGAGAACGCGATTCGGATTCCAAAGCCCCATTCCAGACGCCAGATTCCAACATCTAGTGAGAGGTGACACTTCCTCATCGTCAGGGCAGTCTCCTAGCTCTAGCTCTGGTGGGCCGGAGTCAGATCTGGCAACAATCGGTTTTGATTGAAGATCCGACTGTTCACCGTCACTGAGCTTGGGTGGGGATTGATGTCGGCCCTCTTCCCAACCAGCCGTTCCGGCAACACCAAAAGAAATACAAGCAAGGAAGTAAATGAAAGATGTGGAAGGTTTGAAATTTAGCTCTGAGTGGATGGCTTAGGCGCACACCGCTTCTCTCGAGTACGTACCAGTTCAATCGAGCGACGCACATGCTTGACTTTACCTACAAATCGACCATACTATCCGCAAAAGTTCTCGTTGGAAATCCTCTGATCAGACCAACCACCGCACCACGAGCCAACGTGCACCAATACCCATACCGAAACTCCATATCCCATCCCGTCCAGACGGAAAAGAGAGGAGGGGCGAGCACTCCGATTCAAGACCAGCATAGACCAAGACCATGCATCACTGCGCTACGGTTACTACAGAGAAGGTAGGTAGATAGATATCTAGCTCGTTAGTTAGTTTTAATGAATCAAGACCTGAAAAAATGAACGCTCGATCTATCTCCAGGTCAAAGCCATAAGCAATCCATTCCCCAAAACCCACTATGCGCGATCCACAGTACTTGAACTAGGTACGGAGTAGATGCTTCACCATTCACACCTAAACAACGCAGTCAGGGAGGGTATGGAATAAAATAGAACAGAGTGAAAAGGGTGACCAGCCCACAGACCAAACCTGGCCAGACTTCCCAAGGTAAGTAACTCGATGCAAGTAACTTCGCTTCGCTTCGCTTCGCATCGCATCGACTGGGATTTCGCTATGCCATGCCATGCCATGCAACGCTATGAAAGAAGAAGCAACAACCAACTAGTATCCGCTTGCTCACTCGCTCGCTCGCTTACACACTGTCTTACTACCTCCCTCCTCGACACCCAGCTTTCTCGCCCTGCAAGATGCAACGCAACGCGATCAATCAATCACTCACTCACAGACGACGCGACGCGACGCGACGACGATGGCAGGCGTACTTACTTCCTTCCTTTCTTCCCTCTCTGCACAGAAGCAGCAGCGCCGGGAGATGATTGATTCCATGCTATGCCCGCCATGCTTCTGGGACAAGATACACGTTCGCTCACTCGCTCGCCCGTTTGCTCGCGCCATAGCATGCACTGCACTGCAAGGACCAAAACCAAAAGCAGAACTAAAAACAAGAAACGAATTCTTTCCAATGCCTTCCCTCACTCCATTTCTCGCCCGCCCTACCGATGCAGATCCACATGCTGCATTCCATTCCTTCACGTCCAATCCAATTCAATCTATCAAGCCTTTGATTAATTCACCTCCCAGACAACCCTCCACCGAACCTCTCCCTCGCCTCCCTCGCACTCGCACCCCCGCTTCCGCTGCCCTGCTGCTGGACACCAAACCCGGCACTCCCCGGCTCACTTCCCATGTAGCTAGCACGGCTCGGATTCGGGCTCGTACGGCGACTGCGCTCGTCTTCCTGTTCGATGATATCGGATAGACGCGTGGGGTGGCGGTGGCGCGGGGTGTAGGAGGATTCCCATCCGCCGCTACCGCCACCGCCACCGTTGCTGGTGGGGCTGTAGCCTTGGCCTGAGTAGTCTGCTGCTGCTGCTGCTGCTGCCGCTGCCGCCGCTGCTGCTGCGGAGGTGGGTGAGAGTTCTGGTGCTTCGCGAAGAGTTTGAAGAGGTTGGGTGTAGGAGGGGCTCGAGACAGTTGGGCGAGTGGCGGTGGGTTGCGGCAGAGTAGCGCCTGCTACCGGGCCAGAGAGGGTTGCGGATGTAGAGTATTGTGGCTGCTGCTGCTGCTGCTGCTGCGGTACCTGCGTCTGCCGCAAAGCTCCCGCGCCATATCTCCTCGCATATTCCCTCTCTCGCTCAATTTCACGCTGGACGTCGTATTCATCTTCTGATCCTTCTTCACTAACTGGACCGTACCGCGGGCGATTTGTGGGATCACTGGGGTCACGCCATGGTATCCGTTGACCCTCTGCATCGAGTCGGTAATTCCCATCCGCGTCGATTTCGTATTCTTCGTCGCCGATACTGGAGCCGGCGCCAGAGGTGGTGGAGGCTATGTAGCTGGGTTCGTCGTGGGAGGAGAGGTCGGTATTGTGGGTTCCTGGACGGGGTGGTGCGGTGATGGAAGGTGCAGCAGCAGCGGCTGCGCTAAACGGTGGTTGCAGGGCAGCGCTGTTCACGGCTTGCGGGTAGAAGCGGCTGTTGCCTCCGCCATTACTTGTTGCTGTAGTCGCTTGGTGCGCTGAGCTGTACCCGCCTCTTGCTTCAGATATTGGGATGGTAGGATATGTCTGCGGCTGCGTGGCTCTCAGAGCAGCAAGTGCGGCCGGAGAGGTGATTGGCTGAGTCGGCCGTTGGTAGAATTGCAACTCTGGAGAGCGCACCGACTCGCGTGTGCGCGTGGTGGGCTGTCGTGTGGCTGCACGAGCTGCCTCTTCGGCGAAAGGATCAGTGTCCGTGGGTGATGCGGCCGGAGGCGGTTGATATGAGAACTGTCTCTCCTCCTCGTCAGGTGATTCCAGAGTAGTGCGGCTTACTGAGGTCGGGGCTTGTCCACCCATCATAGCTGCACTTGGCCCTCCTGCATACGGTCCGTCTCGGGTCTGTGGCCGTCCGGGGGCAGCGGTGGTCTGCCGGCTTGGCACCCCCTGAGTCATGGGCACGACCTGCACACCGCCCACCAGCGTTGGCTCTCCGCTGCGAAGAGACACGGTCCGGTCACGTTCTTCCTGTTCTCGCCTGCCCAGCTCCTCCCACGCCCGACGTGCCTCCTCCTTGCTGATCTGTAATTCTCGCCTCATTTCTTTCACCAGCTCCTCTGCTTTGAGCTTATCCGCTTCTGCTGACCCCGTCGATGACACTACTCGCGCACGTTCTTCGCGCTCGACGCGTAGAAGACGTTCCAGCTCTGCTTGCTGTGCTTGATATCGTTCCAATTCCGACCTCGTTTCGAAAAACCATCGCTGAAACTTTCTGTCCGATGAAGCTCGTAGGCGTTGAAGCTCAAAAACCGCAAGAAACAGGTTAGAGCCAGCCGCAGAGAGATCGACGATCTGTCTTGACATTTGCTGATTCAGCGGCTCGCGGTTCAGCTCGTTGCTGTTCTCTTGGAGGCGGCGGATCCAGTACGAGGTCAATCCTTCCCAGTGTGACGACAATGTTTCCCATCTTTCGAATGCGTTAGGGAAAGTAGTTCGGCCAGTCTGTGGATCAGTAGAAGGCTGGGTTGGTGCATGTGTCGCAGGTTGTGATGGGATTGCTGGATTGGCCGAGCTCTCATCGGTCATGGAGGGAAGATCGACTCGATTTGTTCGCGAAGGACCAGCGGTAGGCTCATCACTTGGCTGTCTTTCGTATCTGGATGACACTCTCGGCTGCTGGCTCACGGGTCTTGGTTGGCCTTGATCGAGGGTGGATGTGCGTGGCCTTGAAGTCACGCTGGCGACAGGCAGTATGTTCTCTTGCCTGCGACTCGAAAATTGACCTCCACTTGATCTTCGACTGCCATCTGGTACTTCTACACCCGACCGCCTTGTAGATCGGCGTCGTACAGGGGCTTCACCTGGAACGGCTGCTGCAGCTTCTGCTTCCTGCGCTCTCCTTAATTCTTCTTGCTCAAGGTTTCGCAATCTGGCCGCCTCTTCTTCTGCCTTCCTTCTAGCATCTCGCTCTCGCCTAGCTCGCATCACTTCGGTCGGTGTTCTGACGCCGCCTGTGGGTACGGGTGCTCCTCGCGCAGCCCGCGATGCGCCATTCTGAGCTCTGCCATTTCCGCTGGGGCCACCGGGCTGATCTCCAGCGAAAAGGTCTGACATGCGAGCACTCTCCTCCTCGAGGTCGGCAGATAGTTCTTTATAGTTTTTCCCGTCCCCAATCCGTATAGCCTCAAGAGCAAACAGGATAGCTTCGTGAGATTGGCGAGAGATTCGGGTGTTAGGAGGTGGCCAGAGCGATTCCCGACTGACAATGCGACGGAAGATCTGCGGTATGATCGGTTGGCCTTGGGTGAAGGGAAGATCGGCTTTGGTGAACGATGGGCGTGTAGGTTTCTCACGTCGATCTGCTGGTCCCAAGACACCTCCCTCGGTCAACAATCTCCCTGATACTCTTACACTGCGCTGAGAGGTGTTTCTCTCCTGCAGTCTTGGGGTCCTCCGCAAAGATCGGAGACTACCAGAAGAAGCGGAAGGCGGTCGACGCTGAGAGACAGGTGTATGAACCTCTCGTTGGGGTTGGCTTCTGGGTTCTGTGTCAGGGTCGTAATACTCGTAAAGGTCATCAAAGCCAGGAGGGAGTTGGGAAGACACCGTTGCAGTAGGCTCAGTCAGGGGAGATAGGCGAGCTGACCAAATGTCGAGTCGCGGGACACCCGCTCAAAATGCGATGCTTGAAATGCACAGCAGAGCTGCAAGGGTGGGGATCGGGATCTTGAAAGCAACAAGCTGCGTGGTGAGCGGAGCAGTATGAGTCAAGAGCTGCGCGCGGTGTTCCTGACAGCGGAACACATACACGTTAGAATAAAAGGTGGTTGGACTGTGGCTGGTCGAATGTCGAAGCGTTCAGGAAAATCCTGGTGGTTGGGGGATGAGATCTGCCACCATTCACCAAAATCCTTCGACAAATTCATCAATCACTTTTCTGAACCTGCTTTTATTGGTGAGATCATTGTATGTTCCTGTTTCAAGCGCTGTGAATCTGTCTGTCTGCCCCGAAGTTGTGGTGTTCAAGCGGGTCGAGAGCGCGAAGGAGTGCATTGAGCGCGGAGCGCAGGAAGAGAAATTCAATCGAGGTCACCGATCTCTGGCGCAATGCATGATTGTTGGGTTGAACTAGATATGCTAGAAATCATTCACGTCTCACGTTTTCAGGACTATCAATTGTGCAGGGTCTTAACTGGTGATATGGGGCATGGTGGGAGGTCGAAGATATGCGCAGCATATGACAGCATGGGGCAGCTGTAGCTCTTCGACCAGCTCCCGGGAAATTTCCACTTGACAGCTGTCTAAATCTTGCGCACAGCCACACCGACGACGGCAGTGAGGCGATAGTATGATCTCTCTGCGAGCTTGCGGCGGCTCGAGGTGGATTTCCGTGGCTCGCAACAGTGAAATTTGGCAATGTGGGATTGGGACTGGGAAAAGGAAAGTCGGGAGGCTGGCAGCTGGTCCCCCGACGGATGAGCTGTCACCACAAATCCTCCCCTATCCACTTCGTCCACCGCGTCATTCTCATTCTGGATGAGCGCCATCTGGAGTCGCCTTGGGTGTAGAAACGAGTCTCTCTGCTTTCAACATCTCGCACATCTCGAACATCATGGGAAGCTTTTCCTCATCTCTGCAAGACCCCTCAGCAGATGCCGCCGTCCTCATGCTTGCGGCTCTTGGGCTGGTGTCTGTGCCCTGGGATTGGTCCATTCGACTCGCAGTAGCTCCCTTACGGATCTGTGAGACCCATGGATGACAGGCCTCCCCGCAGCCAGTCTTGTCTCACTCCTTCATCCTGGTAACTCTGCGTCTACCTTCTCCGGCCGCATAGACACCGAAGTCAATTGTGATCTCACCTGCGGTCTCTGTCATTGAAATGTATCTGGATGATTTGACACCTTCCGTCGCTGCCCACCTGCGTCCATCTCATATATACAAGTGCCGAAACCCTGCGCCGTCATCCCGGAGCTCCAACGGCCAGTAAGTATCCGCATACAAGGGCCAAGAAACTGCATGGAAAAAGGGGAAAGGAAGCAGCCACCATGATCCCCTGTTCTGCTCGCAGCTCCGCGCATTGCAGACTGAATTTCACCAAGACAAATAGCTTCTACACGAGGGAGTACGAAATACTGGTCCTACTACTGATACATCGATCACAAGCAGTAATGCTGTTGCCCGGCTCACGGTCTGGTATGCTACGAATTACAAATCCTCTTCTGAAGCATCCATCTCTCGAAAGGAGGGATCGACAAATGTTATCTCTTGCCTTGCTGCGGAGAATAAAACGCCTGTCAATGGCGGGTGGAAGATCTTTGACATATCCGGCCGATGCAGGTCGCTCGCGGTGCATCAAGATATAGACGCAAGTAATCATTCTCTTCCGCAAACTGCTCGCTTAAAAGCGAGGCAAGTCCACCAACTAGCTGATTTCGCTCGATTGATCATCTCTTTCACCTTCATCAACACATTTCTTGTCTCTTCACGGAATGACCTCTTCCTTTTGGTTCTATACCACATAAGTCGGTTTCAGAAGTCCCACAATCATGCAACCTCTCTATGCATGCCATCCATTTCTTCGTCCTTTTCATCACTACTGCAAGCTAAGGTAGCTTCGTTATGAAAAATACCCCTGACTGGGTCCAGCCGTGGCTCTCATGCTTTGTTGCTTCAGTCAGGTGAGAAAAATGACATCCCTTCGAAGCTCCCCAGACGTTCGGATTCGTCTAGGACGTCAAGAGGTGGACTGTGCAGATCTTTGCTGCTTCTAGACTGTGCAATATCCGCGGACGCATTGGAGTTGGTATGTGCGTAGACCAGCATCTGGTGTCCTATACACGCTACAGTCGTTCCCAAGAGACCCACAATCATCCCTTGCCAAGTGGGATAAGCTTCTGACCAATTGTGAATGCTTGACATTGCTCCCCTTAGGATCCCTTCTGGGTGCTGATCGATGCAGTTTTCTGGAACCCACTTTTGGCTGAGGTATCTGATCCAGCTTTCTCTATAAGTATTTCCGCGCCCCTTACCAACCTCATCTCCACATCTCACAGCTCCCGTCAAACCAGGTTTCTGTCAAACAAAGTAACTGTGCTTTCTTCGGTGGTCAGAGCTTCGTGTTGACAGTTGATGGCAATTGGACCACTCAGAAACACAGGATACCCGGATCTGGACAGTAACAAGATTACAGTGCGATCAAGCGCTCTTGCGGAACCAATAGAGATTCACTACGAGGACGTTCCTCCATTACATCCACCCAGAGACCCAACATACTGGAAGATATCTCACCAAGTATCGTTGGACGGTGCTCCTGGCATGTTCAAAACAAGTACCATGTGTTCATCTGCTACAGTATACCAGTACGAAAGAGCCATCTACCCTGATCGCCGGGTTTCCGTTCTTGATCCTTCTTTTGGTTGCTACCTTAGTCCACAGATTGAACATAGCTTATCTCAGGCCGCGGCCTTAAATCACGGATCTACTGTAGCACTTCGGGATACCTACTGCTCCTCCAACTCATCCAATTCAGCTGGTTCAGCAGTATCTCAACGTCAAAGTCTGCTCCCGCCTCTTCCACAAAAGTCTTTATCCTCCTCAGTAAGACCTGTCGATGGGCAAAGCTATAATACTCCACGGCAAAGACAACTTCTTGCCACACCATTGAGTGAACTAGTTGGGCGGATGCCAGCTTCTTCGGCGCCTTCGAAACATAGCATCACTCCTCTTGAGCTTGAGCAATTGAAGCAGTCATCTTTACCACCTAAGCTTCGGAATCAGAGCCGCGCACCTTCGCATACTTTAGGTGTAACCTTAGGCCACCATCATCCCTACGGTCCATCGTCGTCTTCCGTCGCGACCAGCATTGCCTCCACTTCGCACTCTGCCATGTCTTTACTTTCAAAGTCCGAAACTCTGAGCCATCAGCCGACTGCCTACTCATCATTTCCTGTCCCGCCGAGAAATGGGTCGATGATGCAACGGAGGGAGAAATTGCCCAAGGCAATAGACATCGCTCAGCCAGAGCCCCTCAGTCCTGCGCTGCATGGGTGTTCCATTTCCTCACCATTGAAGACAAAATCAAGCTCACCCAGTGGAGTCGACTTCGATCTCGGTCTTCCTTCTCATGCATTTTTGACTCGGCGTCAGAGTCCTGCTCCACCTACAACTGATGCATCTGTCTCTACGCCACAATTGACTTCAACTTACACAGCCTCAACGGGCACACCAACCTCAGCATCATCTATCCAACCGCTTCTCTCGCCTTTCCATGAGCAATTTGTAGAAACCTCAGCCTTCGATTCAGACACAGATGACGAAAGAACATCATCACATGCTAGGACTCTCTATAAGAAGGTTTCACGGCCACTAATCAAACCCTCGTCGAGAACACGCGCCGAAACGCTTCCAGCCGTAAACGCTCCCTTTGCTTCTAGAGGCGCCTTACTTCAAAAGCGTATCTCAAAACAGGATATCAAAACTCCTGGCCTACGCTTCTCAAGCACATCAGAAAGCGGAGCCGGAAGCGATATGGCTTCGGTGCGCATATCAGACCCATCAGTCACCTCGCCTGTTGCCGCCAGATCTATTGACGCTCCAAGCCCACCAGTCACGTTGCCAAAGAAAACGTCATGCACGGGTTCACCAACGTCAAGATCGCGGAGAATGTCAAATACGAGTAAGGCTTCGAAGAAATCCAGCACTTCTTGCAAAACCACATCTTCACTTGTTGGTGACAAGGAAAATAGAGGCAGACGGAAGACGTCATCGGGCGGGCGCGTTCGCAGCTGGTTCTCTCGCGTTTTCACAAAAAGGAACACTCTTTGAGCGAGGCAATGAGCACCAAAGGCTGTTGCCTACTAGTAGCCCAGAATACAGTGGTTTATGATTTGATCTAGGATGCTTAGCATTTCCACACAAAAGCAGTATCTCACGGCCAAAACGAATGGAGGAATGGAGGAATCTCGGCAAGATTTGAAAATGTCACGATCTAATTGGCTCATGATGAGATACCCCAGGGAACATAGTTTCAAGAATGTGGACCATATACACATTCGCGAAGCGGCGATGAGACAAATGAACTTATGATTCTCCTTCCCTGCTCTTCTCTCAATTGCACAACCAATTAGATTACAACATGATTACTTCTGACAAATACAAAGTTCTGTCATGCGCCTCATTTCCTACTGACCAAGTACTGTACCAACATTCACTAGGTATAACACCAGCCAGAAATCATCTTGAAATAACTTATTTAAAATGCACCCCGTGCCGCCAAGACCTCACATAAGTATGTTAGGCGGACTTGGCCCTAAGTCCGTAAGAGTCCGTACTTTTGAAGCACTACTTCGTACATCCGAATCAAGCTCACCATAGTCAATTATGTTAGAAGTATGCCATGAAGCAGTGCAGATTAGATTAGTAAGCAAGAGAAAGTAGATGGAATGGATTGATTGACTTGCTATCTCAACTCCTGAGGAGTAGGATGACCGCTATATATACGCATAGAAGAGGCAAGCTATAGAATCACCTAGAAGGAGATCATAAACCAGCGTTGCAATGCTAACTGCAGCATTTTGTGAGTGTATGCGTTTCTGAGTAATAGCGCGTGGCGAACAGTTGCGGTGGTCGGAGAACTCCGTCTTCCGCTGACAAATTAAACAAGGTCGTCGTATCAACAGTCAACGATGGACTTCTTCAGGCATCATCCACTAGAAAATGCAAATACTCAATTAGGTATTCTCACCCTCAAGCCAGCACAGTCTCTACATGCGCCCCTGATATGCTCGATAGAGACACACAACTTCGGTGATCACCTGGAATATGAAGCTCTTTCATACGTCTGGGGCAGTACCTTGCAAACGAGCACCATCATGCTCAATGAAAAGAAGTTTAGTGTGACACGAACCCTGGAAGGTGCTCTGCGCTATCTCAGAAAGTCCTCCAATGGTCGACGTCTCTGGATCGATACGATATCTATCAACCAAAACGACTTCAAAGAAAAGAACGCACAAGTACTTCGAATTCGTGATATTTTTGCGGGTGCATTAGAGGTGCTTATTTGGCTTGGAGAGCCTGATATGGAGACTGAAGGCGCCCTGCGATACATCACAACTCATTACACTGCTAATGAAGATCATGATTGGCCAGACAGATGGGATCCAGAATTTATTCAAAACCTACCTTGCCTGCAGAAACTTTTCAGCAACCCTTGGTGGTCTCGCATGTGGACCTTGCAGGAAATCGTCGTGGCAAACTTTGATCCGATCTTTCTCTGCGGCAATGTTAAATGCTATTGGAGCGTCCTTCACAGCTGTGCCATGCATCTTTTCATGTTGACGACCCACACCTATATTCCTTTCAACGTTGACATGGAGCCGCTTATAGATTTGGGATTCATTGCAAACAGATGGAAGGATAGAGGCGACAGAAATGAAGGACAAAAAACAGGGGTCGCCATGAACATTGAAAATCTATTGATCACTAGTGCTGCTAGAGGTGCCACTGATCCTAGGGACCACATTTATGCAATTCTTGGCTTGTTGGAAGCGAGCGAACACAGCATCACCACAGACTATGATGCACAAATTAAAGAAATCTATTAAGAAGCCATGGTGGAAGCGATCCGATCAAGCCAAGACCTTAACTTACTTATGCATGCTGCTTCACCACGAAAACAAAATGAGCATGCATTGCCGTCATGGTGCGTGGATTTCTCTTCAGTAGGTTGGAATAGCTACACAGATGAGTACAGTACGTTCACGCTGCGACCAGGCGCACCCACGGGATCTGATCTCAGTCCACCCTTTCACCCTACTGGATCAGATTTAGGAGCACCTTTCAGCATCAAATACCACGCGACTCGTGCGACCCTAGCGATACTGGGATCGGAGATTGGGAAGATCTCATCTTTGCATAAAGCAAGTAGCAAAACTATAGGCAACGTGCCCAAGCAAGCCACCACTGCTATGGTTAGAGGAGCTGCGATAGCCATTGGTCCAGAAAAGCTCGCTGAAGAAGCAGCAGTGAACACCCTAGATTTATTAGATGATTATTCGATAATTGTGCTTTGGTTCTTGCTGGTATTGGCAGCACGCCTCGATTTCCGCAAAGCATATAAGCTAGTTCAGGCGGGTGCTGTCTGGAAAGTCCTCTCGGGAGGGGAGAATATTGAAGAGGCAATGCAAGAGCTCAAAAACCCGCAAGGAGAAAGTCTAGTGGACTACTTTACTTCAATGAGCTTGCAAATGCTTGCATCACAAAGACTTCGTGACGAAGATGGTAAGGGAGCAGGAGAGATGAGCGATCTAGGTTGCCACTCTCACATCGACGAGCCACCGAAAGGTATAGCAGAGGACAGGGAAGACGAAAGATACAGTGGGCCCTTCTCTGGAGCACTCTACAAAGAGTTTTTCTACCATTGCCTCGGCATCGCATCGACAGCGGTGGGGACAACATTCTTCACCACCGACACAGGCTACATTGGTCGTGCCAAACACGCTATCGAGCTCGGCGATGCGCTCTGTGTACTTCAAGGTTCGAACTATCCGGTTGTTCTTCGACCATGTGAAGACGGCACTTATCGCCTAATCACATGGACGTACACTCACGATGTGTTCGAGGACAGTGAGACTGCTTTCGACTTGACGGGATGCGAGAAGAGATGGTTTGAGTTGTCTTGATAGAAAGGAGTCCTAGCTGCTCCTGAGGCTGAAATTAAAGCACGATTTTGCGGAGTTGGAGCTGCCATTTGGTATCCCGGGGTAGTGTGAGTCCACTTTCAATGCTCAGATCAACGACTTCAATTGTCAGTCTTTGAATGTTTTTTTACAGCCACACAAATCAAACAATAAAGCTAAACGTCTGGAAAACGGAACGAGCACTTGACGAGGTCATTTTTGGCGATTGCGTACAGTGTTATACTTCAACCAAACCTCCAGAGTTCTCAAACATAACCCTCAAACCCAGACTCAGGATTACACCAGTGTGTCCATTTGAATCAAATCGAGTCAAATAAACCAAATCCATACTTTCGTCAATTCAACCGACCTCTGGGATTATATAAGCAAATCAAATGGTGGCCATGATTTGGTGTATTTGATATGATGGATACACTGGCAATCTGTGCAGAAGTGAGTGTTAGGGACGCTCTTGCCCTGGTAGTAGCAAAATGGTATGCTGCCTGGTTTCGCATCTCTCGCAGTAGACGGTACTGCCATGATCATCTTCATATGAGCAGATGCATTTGATGGTGTAATCCTCGCTGTCGTCTTCTACTGCCGTCTCTGGAGGAGAGCCATTCTTCTTGGGCGATAGTGCGGGTGAAGGAGTGACTGGTTCGAAAGAGCAAGAACTAGTGATGTGGTAGAGAGTTGAAATCTGCGTGTGGATGGGGTAAACAGCGTGCATTAGCTGGTGGATTAACTAACTATTTACGTTAAGTTAGTCAACAGAAGCGCCTCATGCGCCTCACAACTTTCGAATGGCACCAGTGGACGTAGTAAACCTCGCCCGCAGTGAACTTGGGCGGTCAAAGTCAGGCTTCAATGCCACGTTCCGGATGGTGCCGTGATAAGAATGCATCCATTCTGACTCAGGGACTGATATGTGAACAGCGGTTGTGTGGAACCGTCCTCCCAGCCGGTGGAGCTTCGACCAGGAAACGAGCATTGTCAGCATTGTCGAGGATGACAATCCACTTTCCCTTTTTGTCGTCGCGTAGTCAATCGGGAACAGACTTGAAGCTTGAAGATGTCCGGCTTTGGAATCTTCCAGCCATGGATCCTGACCCAATCTGCGATTCCCGAAAAACTTTGACAGCTAGCTTTAATAGACGTAATCTACTCACCAGAAACTTAATACTCAAGATCAGTAGTTAAGATAGAGCAAGATACAAGCGGCAGTGAGGTTTCTAAGCAATTTCAAATGATTTCTATACGTTTTTCATGCGTAAGGAGCTCTCAACCGCAATTTTGCCCCGCTGCACTAGCAATTCGAGGGTTCTGCCAAGAAATTGCAGCACTTTTGCAATGGGTACGAGGTGCCGCCCAGAAGTAACGAGATTCGCCCTAGAGGGTATAGGGTGTAGACCAGGTATTTGACCAATCAGATGCCGTAGATCCTCTTCGTTGGAGCTGAATTTGCTCTCTCTCCTTGTTATAGCTATCTGGTACAAATCCTCAGTGTTGTATCCTTCGCTTGGAGTTCTGTGTATAATATAAGAGCGATAACAACTTTCATAGATGAAAAATGTGCAATTTGAGTGATGTATTAGAAACGGAATTAATATCTAGAAAGTACCAGACTTGGTGGAACTTAGACAAAATGGCGTATTGCTTATCACAGTACGCTTGTATCAATCTAATCCAAATCTGGTTTCTCATTACTTCTGGGCGGCACCTCGTAATCCCAAGAGATCATCTCCTGAAACCTTAAATCTCCCTATGAGAAACAGCCTACGGAGTACTGGGAGAACAGGCTACTAAAAGGTTTTCTCTAGGGATCTTAGACGTCCTGAGAGTTCAACCTCTTTGGGAGATTTCCTCCTAGGATTTTAAATTTCTCACAACCTTATATGTCCAGAGAGAAGATTAATGAGCTTTTTTTTATTCATGGGCTGTGCAAGCCGCCCTAGTGGCACCTACAACTATAAATACAGGTGCTCCTACCTCTCGCTTTCAGAGCCTAAGCTGTCCCCTACAGACTGGTTTCCCTTCTGCTCCAATCAGTTGCACTTCTACTGGACTGGTACGAAGAGTATACTGGTTCGAAGAACGGACTAGCACGGAGACTAAGATTAGTATTGGTACGAGGGAATATTCTGGTGTCCAGCCGCGCTCTTATTGGGGATTCATTAGTGAATGTTGTCAGTATCTCGATCTACAACCTACCGGTTCTATTTCTTCCACGCTGACTCTTAAGAGCTGGGCTTAGGGACCTGACTCGGATACCAATGCATCGACCTCTCTGCAGATCAATGAAGTATATGAAACGGTCAAATTGATCCTGGATGTGGGGAGTAGATATCAGTTTCCTCGCACAAGACTCCCGATCTCCCCGAAACCCATTTCCCATCCGGTACATGTGTTCTCGTGACAGTAATTTGAGCGATGGAACCCTGAGTTTTGGCTAAGCAACCATATTCTGAGCATACGGCTCTGGTGATTCTCAATAGAGGTTCTCAACTGTTGGCCTTCCACTTGTTCACCATTGACCGGGTCACTTAATGGCGCCGCCTAGCAGCGTTTTGGGCACCCACGGCTGTCCAAAGATTATGAATGGCACCTCTGACCCACTCCATGTTATCTAATCTGCCTTTGAGGATGTCGAGTATCCACTTATCGTCGGCTTGTGGTTTGCGTCTATTTGCTGCAAGAATTTCATTGAATTTTTCCCTATATGCGTTCCGGGCGTTAAGATATCGATTCTCCAATAAGCGAACCTTAGATCTCTGTTAGAACTTGGCTCACCAACGTATGATCTTAGATGGATGATATAGAAAGGATTTGGTGGGGCTCGTACATTCTTCTCAGTTACCAGATTATTCTGGTTCAGGTACTTGACATCTTCACCCCAGTTGTGTTTATATCGCCTGTCAAGGCTATCGACGAGTTCTCTAGCAGTAACCATGGTCGAGGAATAATTGTCAGAGTGTCCGGGTAGGAATCTGAGCTTTGCTCCTGGAGCATGGGCAGCAGTCAGCTATTAGTACACCGCACTGTGACAACCAACTCTGCCGGTTGCCCAAGCCACAAACACGTTTTACATCATTATTGGTAGATGATAATGTATAGTTTTTCATAAGTAAGCCACAATCGGGTCTTCGGGCCAGATGGGTCCAGATGCTTAGGGCTAACATGGATGAAGTCTATGTCAACTGATAACTCGCCGGTTTTCATAGGCTAATCTCGGATTGTGAAGGGGGTCTGATGAGGGGCAATCTAGGCACCTTTATGCAGTATTCCTGCTTGAGTTGTTATCAAACCCCACCCCTCCCGACCCGTGGGCAAGAGATGGCAGCACTCCAATTCCACTCCAAGCTGGAATTGGGACTTGCAGACGCGGCCGGAGATAGTGCGAGATGTTGGAATTGTAGGAATGCAATTGGCAAAGTTTCTGTTACATACATTCAGAGGTAGTATGCATGTACCGCATATCCTATCTGGGCAATATCCAACGTGGCATCCGAGTTGCGTGGCTAGCGATTAACATGCGGAAAGAGGGACAAGATCGAGCTTATACCCTTCGGGTAAATTGAGTGGCACTTAGATATCTAAATATGGCTCCATCTTCCGCCTCTTCAGCGGTTTTAAACATGCTGTCAAACAGGTAGAAGAAATGGCACTTTTTTCTCTCAAACAGGCGCAGAAATAAGTACAAATTGCGGCAGAAATGGACCCATCGAAAACAGGCAAAACACAGGGGTAAGGCGTAGGAATAGCGCTGACGCGGCATAATGGACTGGTATGAAAAATGGACAGCTTCAAAAAAAACGAGATTGGACCTAAGACTGGACTAGTAAGTACGCTTTTTTCGGGTCTTTGCCGGTGGTTCTTTTCCTGAATGCGCTGGGGGCGGTCCGCTAATCCTCGCGGCCCGCATTCTTAAGCTTACTTACTGCACTTTTCAGCCAAGTAGGTGAGCTTGGAGCTGCTTTTACCTTAAGAGGGATGATAGAAAAAAGAGGGTGGTTTTGAGAAGTGCACCTCCGTGTGGTACCTCTGTTTTGAGGGTGGGGAGGAAGTCCCACTACTTCCGAGCTCCGGACCGGGCCACGTTTCTAGTGTTTACCTAGAAAACCCACCTCTTCTAGCGACCGCTCTCGAACCCGGAACAAGTGCTTAATGGCAGACTGCGACTTCCTGAAGCACTTATCGGCGGGGGAGAAGCGTCCTATCCCCTTCCGAATTCACCCAACCCCGCCAAGCCGACAAGCGCAGTCCTGGAAGCTGGCAGGGAAGTCCTTTCGTCGTCTTTGCAATATCTCCTCCGGCATTTAATTCTAAGAGGTGATATACATTGCCGTCATCGCTATGATCGTCTCCATGACGCCGCGTATCCTCAAGGCCAACTGCTAGTTTGGCGGAATCTCAGGATCGCCTCTGGGTTTATAGGGTGGCTCCTGGCATCGTCTCTGATTTCTCGGATCGTGTTCAACGTCCCAAATGAAAGAATGGCACCCACTCAGAAACATCCACGCAGTTATCCCCAGCATTTCGGTAACAGATGACGGCGGTAAGTAGTCCCTAAGAACTCACAAATTCTCGATCCGACTGAGGATGAAAGAAAGAAAGCAAGGAAGGGGGGGGAGGGAGGGAGGGAGAGATCCTGGTTTCCTTTTCTATTCATCTGAGCATGGCATTCTACTATACTATACCCAGAAGTGCTTATGCATCTATAACTACAGATAGTGGTAGTAGCTTCTTTGACAAGGTGGTGGGGCGAAGACTTGCTCACTTCGTACTCACGAACGTCAGGCCAGCTGCGCATGCCTTTATGGAATCAGTGTCTTGAATCAGAGGCATTGATCTGTTCACTTTTTGACGTAGACTCAAGGACGAGCAGCCAAAAGAGCGTGACAAGCAGCTGGGGAGGTGGAAGGGACAGTGGTTCCATATATGTTACTCGTTACGTATACCACTAGCAGCAGCACCAAAATAAGAGCTCTACCTCGGTATGGAATGGAGAAGATTGATGATTTTATCTAGATAGCTCGACCCCGTCCTCGTGCCCTCTCTGTCCGTACTGCTCACCAGCCCCTCCTGATGCTCATTCTGTTTCCCCGCTTGTACATCAATGTTCGTCTCTTGTTTGAAAGCAAAAGTCGAAGATACACCATAAATGAGGGCCGGAAGCTCCAGAAGCTTTCAAACAAAGCATGACTTGGACAACTACTCTCCACCATCTTCCTTGAGGTGAGATCAACGATTTTGCCGTTTTTTTGACTAGCAGACAGGATAAGATGCCCCAGGGTGACAAGTAGGCGCTCCCTAGGATGTGTCAGGAGTCTCCGCCAGGGCATGCAGGGTTCTCGCCAAATTTCTGTGGGTACACAACAGTACTGTGGTAATGGACGCAGAAACAACTTTTGTAAGCCTCATTCCATACACCAGCCGTTCTACTGCGGCAGTGTATTTTACTCCACTCACGACAGGGGTCCATCTTATGAGACTCCGCACACGTTGGAGCTTCGTCAAGGCTCCCCGAGTTGCCACTTTCCTCTTCCTGGCTGACCACATGCTCTGCGCGTGGCCAGTAATTGGTATTAGAAACGATTACTGGCTCTTTGATACCTGTGCGGTATACCACGCAATAGCATTGGCCAGTCGTCTCGTCCAAGTAAGGCTCCGTCTTTCCCTGACAAGTGTTGGCCATACGACGACATGCCTCGGGGGTTGGTTTTCGAAGAACACCACTTTGATCGGACACGGAACGTTTGAGGAAGCTATCAAAGCTGTTGTTGGGTGGATCGAGTTTCTTACAGTAGCAAGTTTTGAGGTAGGGATTGAAATATGGTCGCTCACTACCATCATTACTGCAGGTAATTGATCGACATGTCTCTTCCGAAAGGGTTATCGATGAAGATAGGCCTGCGATGCCACGCTTCGTCGTGGTGAGCGGAGCGGGCCGTATTGAAGGATCTGCTCCTGCATCCTGAAACCATGCGTCACGTTTTACGTAAGATAGACTCTGGCTGGTAAGAATGGACAGGCTTGGAGGCGCGCTGGGGTCGATAAGGTCGATGTCGTGGACATACTTGTCTCCGTGGAGCTTGAAGACTGTGCCGTTGCTGATTTGAACGTGATACGTAATACTGTCACCAGGTTCGAAAGTAACTGCAACGATCAAGGCAGTCTCTTCCGCAGCTGTGGAAACCCTGGTCTTCATGTTCGTCGGCATAAGGACAAGGTTAGGCGCTGGATCTGTGCCAATGCTGCTAGCTGCGATGGTTGTGCTGGCATTCAAATTGAAGCCATCCGGTGCGCCAGCAAGCTGAACATGAAAAGAGATGACATCATCTAGAAAGTAGGGCTGCACAGAATACACCCTTGCATTGTGCTCAGCAATCCGGTCTGTAGCTTGGTGAATGAGCCAGGGAAGGCCGTATTTAGGCTCGCACAGGCATCGATTGAATACAGAGTCGTAGTAAAGTTTGGTGGTGTTGGGACATTTGAGAAAGCCGCATGGTGTTGTAAGCTGTTAATGTCAGCGCGGTGGTCAACGAGATCAAAATGAACCAAACATACATCTTGCTTTTTCCACCGAGGACAGATACAATACCCAGTGGCGTTGCTCAGAGTAGCGAATCCATCCCAGCATCCTATTTGGGAGCAGGGAACAGACTCGTTGCCATCATGCACAATGATGTCGGCTGACTGTTGCACACCCAACTCCGTCTGATGGTATCCATCAGCAAAGCGTATCTTCACTTCATCTCACCTGGCACGTACCGGCAGGCCTAAGACTAACACCGAAGGAAAGAGCACAATCAAGGCAGAGCAGAGGGTTTTGAAATGCATCATCACAAACACGCGATGAAAGGAAACAATTCAGGAACTTGGGTCGCAGGAAGTAGAACGGATGCAGTACTAGGATACAATGTAGAATGTAGAGAAGGAGGAGAATCACACGGTGCTGGGTGGCAAATGAGAGACCACGGCGGGGTTGATGTGAGTGCGAAGGTGGACGTGAAGGACAAGGACGACGACGTGTTTGCTCCAAATTTGGCAAGCGCAGCGGATGGGAAGGACGACTGGAGAATTTGGAATACCAGTGTAAGTCTGTAGGTTGTGCAGTAGAACTGATCAACTGGCACTGGCATCAACACACTGTAACACAAGTCTCTACCCTCATCTCGTTAACATGCCTTCACTCAACAATACTGAAGCATCACTGGGTAGAAAAGCCTCTACCGATGGTCGCCTGTTCGTCCCTTCTCACAACAGTCCTCGAATACAACCCTATGGCTATAGCGCACCGAAGACCGAGTGTCTGATCACAATCAACCAACAGGTCGCAAAGTCACGACGGTGATTGGCAGGCCACATTCATCCATATGTGGTGTCCTGAAGGGGTGGGAAACTTCAATGGCGCCGTCGCTTTATCTGGTCGATCCGATCAATGATCCCATCCTTAGCCTGAAAAGGCACCGAATACTGCGGCCATATGAGAGAGTCATGTTAGGACAACTGTCCCTCCCAAGACCGGGCGAGGAGTCGAGAGTATGAAGGAAGCAGGGTCGGTGTCATGCTAGAGCCAGATGTGCGCACACAGAGAGCACTTCAGAGCCGCTATTTGCTAGTCGACAAGCTTTCGACCTGGGACTAAATTACTTTGTCACTGATGGCCATCAAGGTTGTGTTATGTTGTCAGACGCTTTCGCGAGACGGCTGGGGCAGGATCGGATACGTACGACGTATGCGAACTCCTCTTAACTAACTAGTTAGTGGCAAGCGGGGCGATGAATCTTGCTCTCACCGACAGTACCGAACCCCTGCTGCCTGCATCGCTTGGATCGACCTCCGCCATCACCACGTCTGCCAGACACCGCCTACATGGCACCACGTCTCGATCCCTGGAAGCTGCTGCATTTTACCGGCGCAGCTATAGTATGATGTGTTCGCAGGTTCGTGGACCGCACCCAACGAAGTGGCTGGGTTTCATGATTGGTTGTTCAATGCACCAACCTCCCTGTCCAGCCTCTCGGATTCTACCACCACACCCTCCACTATGCACATAAGCGGGTCTTTAAGCTTCCAACATGGCCCTTTTTACTTTCGATGCTCTATCCTCCCCACTGACATACTTTTACGACCGTTATGAATGTTGGGACTGCAAGATTGGACACTGTGAACTGTAAGTCCTCTCGAGGCACTGAGTATCAGCCGAACGTTGGAGTTGACATTGTAACAGCCAGCCAGCCTCAGCTTGTACATACACCCTCACAACGATCGCTTGCTGCTTCGGACCATTCTTCCTTCTCAGACTATGCATCGGAAGCATCGAGCGTTGAGCAACGAAACCGGTCCGTACAGTATGAGACTCCGCCGTCCCGAGCACACTCACCAATTGCCACCAAAACGGCCGACTCCGAGATGACCTTGCCGTCTCGACCTGTGACAGCGTACCCGGCTCCACTCAATGTCAGGCGCAGTCAAGCTCCACAAACGCGGATTCGAATTTCCGACCTGTACAGAGACATACATAATATCAGCCCTCCAACGCCTGGGGTGGATGAAACACCGTATATACGATTTGCCATCGAGCAACTCACTCGCGATGAAGAGCTAATGGGAAGGGCGCGGCAGGGCTCAGACTCTAGTCTTGATTACCCAGGCGAGCGTGGCATCTCAGACGAAGGATTGGGCTATAATGCCGCTCTTACGCCTCAGAAGCCAGCTGCACGCCGCCCACGAAGACCACGAATGCCGATTGAAGAGGTTTCGAGACAAGGTATGGACAACAGCTCAGAAAGGCAACTGACAGACTGACGAGATGTATAGTTGTTGACGATATCTATATTACCGCTGATCCGCCTGAGCATCCTCAATTTCCGCAACTTGGCTATCTACCACCACTTCTCAGATTACCTTTGCTCTTACTCTTTATTTGCGTGTGCCTACTGATGATTGCGGCCCTGATATTTTGTAATGTATACTGCCTCCAGAACAATGGATTGTACGATTATGACGGCACGGGCACAGCAAGGTATTTCATTTTTCAGTTCATGCCACAGCTTTTGGGCATCATTGTCATTTTCTGGATTTTTGTTCTGCAAGCGGCTGTCTATCGCATTATACCCTTTGCTTCTATGGCTACTCGGCGTTCTCAAGATCGTGTGTTGCAAGACATGTCCATACATCCTGCGAATTTTCTCCTTCCAGATTTGAGACATTTCCAAAGTGGCGAACCAGTTGTTGGAATGTGTTTGCTGGTTTTCTGGATTTCGTATATTACTGTACCATTACTCAGTTCCATGTTTCAGACTGGGCTGTTTGAGATCAACGGCCTCCAGCGGTGGCGGTGGACAAGTGTCCAGGTCGTGGTTTGGATTTTGGTCGCTCTTTATGCCCTGCTCATTGCGGCGACGGTGCTGATCGTGCTGCGCTTTCGGAGGCGCGAGTCTGCTCTGATGTGGGATCCGGTGTCCCTGGCCGATCTGATCATGCTTTTCCAAAAGTCAAACATCGTCACCGATCTCGACGGTTCAGAGATCTCCGAGTCCATACGAGCACACATACCGCCGAGGCCCTTACGACTGGGCTACTGGACCACGTCAAGAACCGCTGAAATCTTCCACACAATCGGCGAGGAGAACGCACCGCTTCGAAGACTTTCAAGAGGGCAGAATGCGAGCAACGGAAAGCACATGGAAGGCTACGACTCGCCAAACATCGACATCGAACAGCAGCGCTACTCCCACGCCGAATCTTTCAACCGCAACATCCACTCCCCCTTCTTTCGCTACCGCTGGACCCCTCGATTCCTCCGCGACTCAGCTGTCGTCGCCTGGATAGTCGCAGCGCTAACCCTCTACCTGGCATTCCTGATCGTCAGCTTTGTCAACTCCGCCGTCGAGCGCGGCTTCCCACCCGGTGGCGTCCGCACCGTCACCAACCCGCACGGATTTTCGCCCTCGAACTTCCTCTTCAGCTTCCTGCCCTCCCTCCTCGGGATGGTCCTCCTCCTCGCCTGGCAACCGATCGACACCTACTTCCGCGCCATCCAACCCTTCGCCAACCTGTCCTCCTCGCTCGACGGCGCATCCGCAAAAGACAGCCTCCTCCTCTCCTACCCGGCCTGCTACCCACTCCAAACCACCTTCGTCGCCCTCCAAAACCACGACTACAAAGTCTCCTGGATCTCGCTCGTCAGCGTGCTGTCCGCCACCATCCCCGTCCTCGCCGGCGGCATCTTCACCGCCCAGTTCTTCAACCAATCCGAAGTCCGTATCGCCGCCACCATGCCGGCTTATTACGCCCTCTGCGTGTTCCTGGGCGTCTACGCATTCTCGTTTCTGGTGGTCTGGTCCAAGAGGAAGAGGTACCTGCCCCATGCCATCAGCACATTGGCGGATTATCTCAGCTTTTTGTATGTGAGTCCGCTTTTGGCCGATCCGGTGTTTGTTGGGGTGAGGTCGAAGGAGGAACTCAGGGAGAGGTTGGTGGGGCGAGGGGGAGCGGGAAAGAAGAGGCGGAGGATAGAGGTCAGAGGGGAGGCGGGTGAGGAGAGATTTGTATTTGGGGTTTATGTCGGGCGGGATGGCAGGGAGCATCTGGGTATTGATCGCTTGCATAGGGGGGTGATTGAGCCTAGGACTGGAGAAGCAGGGAGAGGAGGAAGGATATGAGGAGGGCATGGAATAAAGATAGGGGGATAGGGCGAGCGAAACAGTCACTTAGAAATTAAGTTCACCGTCAAGTCTACGCATATATCCGCTCCGTTGAACAACAAGAAATATATGGCTCCTGTGTCGTTGTTTCTCATTGCGTCGACTATCTGTCTGTCTGTCTGCCTGCGTGTCTGTTTCGCATGTGGCCTTTTCGGTGCTCTGCATAGCAGCAGCAACACAAGGACCTATCCGTAGACGCTATTAGGACATAGCCGCAAGCACATGACGCCTCTCACCAGGTGCCAAATCACCAAAGCAGCGGCATTCGTCGTGAAAATCCCGCGAAGGTTGAAAACTTGCCAGAATCCCCCCGAACAGTCATGAGCCGTCAGTCGTCATCTAGAAAAAATTCGTCACGACCCCACGGGATCCGGCTGCACGACGATCTCCGGCGGTGTGGCGAAGCTCAGCCCGGTATTCCTCTCCTGCCTTGCGACTTCGATCAGGGTCTCGAGCCTCCAGCGCCTCTCGAGCCTCTCCTTCTTCTCCGCGAACGCCATCTTCAGCGCCTCCTCTTGGTCGTGGAATTCCGCCTCCGCTGCCGCGACCGCCCCGGCGTGTTCGGCTTCGAGATCCTCCATCTCGCGGGCTTTCTTGGCGATGAAGTCGGCGTACTGCTTCTCCTGTCGGCCTCTGAGGACCTCGATCTTGGCGCGGTGCAGGCTCTCTATCGTGTCGCGCTCGCGGTATTGTTGCGCTAGGTTGTGGATGTCTTTTTCTGTTACGGTGCGGGTGTATGGTGGTGAGGGAGCTTGAGGTTGAAGTGGTGGCTGCGGTTGTGGCTGTGCTTGCGGTTCCTGGTGTGGTGATGGCGGTGTGGCTAAATCTTCGATGGAGCTACGATTCGAGGGGGATGAGGCGGGGGCCATTCGAGGTGGGGGGATAGGGCTAGATGTTGTGGTGGGACTGTGACAGTAGGCTTCCATGTGTTTGAGGCGAATGACGCAGGCGCGCTTCTCGGCCTCGAGGTCTTCCATCAATTTCATTTCGGCTTCGAGTTGGCGGAATTCGAGGTCGGTGATGGATTTCTCGTTCTGAGGCACTTAGAAAGGGGGTCATCAAGCTAGTAGCAGGGCCGGTCAATACCTTGATTTTTGTTTCTTTTAAAATAGTCTCCTTGAATTCGATTCTCCCCTTTCTGGATTTTTCATGCTCTGCCCGCAGAGAGACTAGGCACTCCCTCTGGTAATGTAGAAAGCGGTCTCTCTCATCGTGCTGCCGCGACTGCAAGTCTTGTACTGCAGCACACTGTGTTGTCCGCTCGATCGCCTCGCTATCTTCCAAGCTAGAATCTCCAGTTCTTATGTTGGCTATAGGCGGTATTGGCGTGGACCATGAGCTCTGCTCCGAGGTTGCAGATACTGGACTTTCAGAGTTTCCCTTGACGGAGTAGTCATCGAATGCAGCAGTACCACGAACGCCATGTTCATTGCTTGTAGGCGTATCAACCACCCTAGATGTTGCTGACCTCCTCTTTCTGAAAACCGACATTATTCTTATGCCATTTCGAAGGCCGGTAGCTTTCTTCTCCGTGATTGAATAGAGTGATGGTGTGATTGAGCGGGTAGAAAGAACTGGTGGCGGATGACCAGAAGAAGGCTGAAAGGTGTGTCTTCTATCACTCGATGAACAAGAGGTAGGCCCAGTAGATTGTGAAATGGCAGAACCCGGCTCTTCTGGATCGGATGCAACGGTCATTGCAGAGGTTGAGGAAGTCAGGAGACCAGCACCTGGCAGCCGATATTGTAAGCCGAGCACATGGGCTTCAAGTCCAAGTCGGTGATCAAGTTCGTCCTCGGTCACGTCTGGCGGTGATCGAAGGACGGATGAACGAAATGCGTCCTCGTCTATCATCTTCTGCGCACACCCTGCTTGCTGCATTTTGAAAGTGTTGTTCTTGAACAATGCCGTTGAATGAACACATCTAGTCCTCAGAGTGTTTGGTGCATCTCAAATGGTAACAAGAGCTGTGACAATCTCGCTTGTCATTACTGGACGTATAAGAAGACCGTGTGCACACAATCAGGACGCACGAAATCGTTGTGGGAGTGTCGGATCAAACGATGACACGAACAGGTAGGATTTCGTGCACCGATGGTGCTCTGCGAAGAGCAGCAAGCCGTACGCAGTCTCTAGAGTAGCACCCGCTGTGATGTGGCATATACAAACCCTGACTGAACAACAAATCCAATTCCCAAACGAGGTTTTCACAGGAGCTTGGGAAAAGCTGTGGATGGTTTTGTGGGAGACCGGCGAAAACAGGCACCTCTGGACCCACCAGTTCAAGCGGTCTCCTCCCTTCGAGGTCCAGAAGCAGCGCCACTTACCACATCTTCAAGATGCCCTCCCCTAAACGAGGATGAAGGACGGTACACTGCAGTAGTGGCCGAACTGACGCCATGCACGGACTGCCTTGTTCCGAATTGGTTCTGCGGGTGCGGTGCTGCATTCAGATTCTATCGTCTGACTCAGGTCGACTGATCGAGTCACACTGGTCAGGTCCAAGTTTGCAAGATTTGTGTTCAAGGCACCCGTTGCTCGAAGCAGACAAGGAACGAAGATTAATCTTCAATCATCTAGGAATTCAAGCATCTGGCGCCAGAGTAGATGACTGGATAGAACGTCTTTTAAACCTTGGAATCCTGCACAGTTGCAGGGGCCCATCGGGCTATGTTACCTCCTACAACGTAACCCATCTGCAAGTCTACCCAAGGGATTAAAATCTGCAGGGCACAGAATATCTACATATAGTTGATACCGCTTCGACAAGTGGGTACCTTGACTGGCCACAGAGCTTTCCTACACCTTGGGAAAGTCAGTCAACAGAACCCGCAAGTCCTGCTGCAACCCAAGACATCAACAGCAGTACCTTAGCGCACAATCTACATCCCTAGCTAAGTCATAATGCAAATTGGACAAGAAAACTTAGCAGATTAGATGCTGGTGTTGAATTCCACTGACCTACCCTGACGAAAACGTCTGTGAATGGCAATGCAAAACATGCGGCAGTCTTCCAAAAGGGCAAGCTGAATGTTGAGTTCGGGTCTGCCTTTGAAAAGGCTTAAGAGTTCTGCTGATCGAGGCGAGCTTGGAGGATGGCTGGATTAAGAGGATGCGGGCATCATCGTTGGAGCTTCTTAAATCTCTTTCAGTGGCAAGGATGAGCATTGAAGGTTACGAGGATGGATAGCGTTGGACTGAATAGAAGTGTGCTGACAGTTGATTCTTTGCTCATCTTGGTTCGACGGTCTTCTCGATTCTTTCCGTGTGTAGAGCCACTAATTCTGGAACTATCAAGCTCTCAATTTCCAATCTTTCTTTGACTTGACCACCATCTAGGTCGACTGGTGTGTCTTCTGCCTTCCCCTCGATCTTTCCAACCAGATTTTCGAGACCGGAGAAACTCTTCGATCGCCTCGCTTTTGGCACACGGATCCATTTTTCTCCTTCCTTGGAGATGAACACCACCTCCCACTTCCTCGTTGCTAGCAGGTTTCCGATGACCAGATCATGATGGTAGCGATGCAGAGACTGTTGAGCTTTGGACAGGAGTAGGTCGGGATCTGTCTCAAGCTTGAAGCTGACAATCATGCTGCCAGAGGGTGCCCATGCTGATACGAGGGTAGAAAGGAATTTGGGTACTGGGTCGAGATTGATGACCAATTGCTTACCAGCAGTCGGCTGATCAGTGATATTACCATTTGACTGCTCCGACGACTGAATCTTGTGTTCTTCCATTTTGTCTCTTGGGATAAAGAAATCGGACACTGCTGCTGCAAGGTAGAACATTGCTCGGTTTCCCAGAGGCTGCATAAGAGTGGCCAAGCTTCGTAACTCAAAGAGATACTCAGTCACAGTCGTGAACGGCAATAAAAGTAGCATTCGGTTCTTTTTGGCAGAATGATATTGCTGCAAAACGTAGTTCATCTTCTCCTGGTATTCCTTCCGGACAACAACACTGCCTGGTTTGCCCTCCAGGCCATCTTCATCCATGAAATCCAAGAAACAGTTGGTACTATGACTGTAATGTCTACTGTATGGTAGAAGACTAAATTGCCGGTGGAAGAATATGACGGCATAACCCTCTTGTAAGAAGTATTCTGCCGAGGTGGCTCCTCTGGTTCCTGCAGAGAAATTGTCGATGAAACGGACAGTTTGATTCTCAAGGGGAACCGTTGTACCACCCGATGTGACAAGCACTAACCTTCGATCAGGAGAAACGCCATGGTGATAATTGATGAACTCTCTGGCCAAGGTGGTGTGGCTCTGAAGGGATTTAGGAGCTGGGTTCGAGCTGAAGTATTGTGTGGCCGGGTCGGCATCTCGAGCAAGCAAAGAATTTCTTGGTAACATGTTAAATAATCTCCGAATGGGCGACGTCAGCCGCTCGAATCAAGCTCTCAATAGTGGCTGAGGACTGTTGCAGAGAGCCGGCAGCTGCGGATCTCCTTGCTGGCACTTGAGCAATTTGGACCAACCTTCTAAGTTCGAAGCTGGGAAACGACAATAGAGCGAAGTCTACTCTCCGGCTACATGTGAAGGAGTAGAAAATACTTTCAGGGATTTATCGGTTGGCACTCTAATAGAAAGCACTCGTTGTTTGGCCTTTCATAGGCTGGGAACCTTTAAGAGATCGAAACCAGCTCTTTCTGTTTGGAAAGATCTGCGGAGTTGACTGTAGAGCTGAACATAGTGCTCAGACATTGTCGAGCCATTGAATACTGGGTAAAGTACTGGGTAAAGTAATGTACTAAGATTGAAGAAGCTCTTGAGTATCTAAAACTTTTCGTTACGGATTGGATTGCCTCAGAAGCTCAGACCTCACGTGATCGACAGTGGGCTAAAGCCGCACCTAAGCCCCTCGTCACGTGTCCACAGCAATGGGTGGTCTAGGAGTCCAAGGGTTGACCTCTGCCAAGCATGACTAATGGCTAGTGCTCGAGGACTACGTAGTAAGGCTATAAATCAACAGTACTACGTACTAGTAAAACTGACCGACCTCGACTGCGCCTTCTGCTTGCCTCAGAACCCAGACGGGCTTAGTGAGCTACGCCACACACGCCATGCTCGAAATAGGCTAGTGTTTGACTAAGCAGAACTAAAATTGTTTACCTTTCTTTGAAATCCACAGAAGACTTCCTGTTCCGAACATGCTATTGCATACCAGTGGCTGTTCGCGGACACGGGCTGATACATTCCGCTTGCTTTTCTTTGACCATATCCTGGTCCATGCCATTTCCGGGTCCAAGGGAAACATGGCTGACGTTTTTGGTGTCCACTGGCCCATTGATTGGAGCAAACCCACCGCTAGTAGTCGTCGTCTCCCCGTCTTATTAGCATTGTTTGGCCTAAAATCTATGACTCCCACTGCTGGGAACTTGCAGCAACCGAAACTAGACGGTCCCGTATTGCAACACATTCCTTTGCCCTCTGTGCAATTCCGTTGTTCTCCACATATGCACAAGAGAGGGGCAGGGAGAGAGGGTGTGGAAGGGAGAGAGAAGAGAACGAGCAATATATATCTTGCTCATCACTTAGCCTCCCCTTTAATTTCCCAGTTCGCCATCCTTACCTGCCCGGTTCCCCCACGAGAGCTCAGCGAACCCGCCCATTTCGTATCACCACTTCAACGTCAGCAACATGCTCACTCCCAAAAACCGCATCTTTGCTGAAGGCCAGTTCGTTTTACCCGACTACGAGGCCACAAATGATATCATTGATCTGGACACACGGCGATGGTACAAGGTGAGCGGCCCGCCCGCACTCGAGGATCAGGATCTCGCGAGGGATGCGGCACTCAAAATCCTAGACCTATTGGACCCTGCAGTGGTTACATTTGTCGTTTCTGAAAACGGAAAGCTCATTGCGACAGGCTTGGATCCGAGAGACGATCCAACGCCAGCAATCATATATCCCCGTTGCCCAGTCGAGCTATCACCCAACGATACCCTGACTCGTACTCAGCTGGTGGAAGTCGACCGCCTAGGCCGCGAGGTCGATCTCGTAAGCTACGAGTCAGGTGAGAATATGGTGCTGGGAGTATTCAAGTATGCAATAAGACCGAGCAACGTGCAAAGGGTATGGAAGGAACTCCACATCTTGAAGGCTCTGGCGGCACATCCATCCGTCATTCCTGTGGACCGGATCATTCTTGATGAAGTTGAGTCTCGAGTAGTTGGCTTTACAACGCGTTTTGAACCCGGGGGCAATCTGGACGTCAATAAGACGATCCCCTTTCGCTTCCGCTGGCTGGAGCAACTGACTTCTTTTGTGGATTATTTGAACCTTCGTTGTGGCATCATGCATGCCGATCTTCAAGCTCGAAATCTCCTGGTGAATGCGGCAGGAGATCTCAAAGTGTTCGATTTCAACATATCATCCAAAATCAATCCCGTCGATCTTGACTACGTAGCGTTCAAGAAGGGCAGCATGCATGATGTCCATGGGGTCATCTTCACTCTCTACGAGCTGCTTACATTTGATGAGCAATACCGAGATTTTCTCACGAGGCACGAGGATGTCTCGTTAGTGGAAAGTCTGGCACATTGGCCTATCAAGAGGCCAATTGAACCTGGGACAGACGTGGCGGCTTGCCGGAGATTTCTAGAGCGGTGGGTTGAGGATCGCAGAACAAAGCGCACGATTCAGAATCATTCTGATGCTACTGAGCCCCTTGATTGGCCGCCACTCCCTATCCCCGAACCCGAGGACCGAGGACCGTTTCAGGATCAAGATTCGAGGTGGTGGCAAAAACCTTCCTATCAAACCCGATATTCTGCCCTTCGAGAGGGAAAGTACGTAGTACCATGGGAGCGACCACCTCAGAGTGATGTGGATGCTCGTAGAGCCGAGCGTCATCAAGAAGTCGTTGCGGGGAGTGCTCGCTCGGAGCTCAAGGAATGAGATTCCTTGTGGAGAGGCATGTTCAGGAGTGAAGGGTAGTTTAGTCTTAATATACAAGACTGTTGCATCATCTGATGATTGGCCCACCACCTCGGACGTCTACTGTCGGGGCCACCACCATCCCCTGCCATCCTCCTCTCCTCTCTCTCCTGGGGGATTGTTCCGTTTTGGCATTGATCAACAAATACTGTAAAAGCGAATGACTTGCCCACTGAGATGGATCTTGGGCCATGAATGGCAAACACTTTCGCTCCGTGATGCCGATGATCAATAAGCTGACCCTCACGCCGATCTCCAAGACAATTCTTGTCCGAATATGTCCTCTTCCACCAAGGCATCTGTCGACTTGCTACACAGAAGAAGTAGAAATAGCAAGTTGTTCTATCTAAATGCAGTGCGTAGAGAGCGTATATATACGTACAAAGGCGTATGGCGCAGCAGGCAGCAGTAAGCAGTACTTACGAGAGTTGGTGCTATAATTACCAATAATACGCACTAAAACGCCTGCGAAACGTAAGCCATAAGCACCAAGAATAGTGCCAACAGCATCTCTGGTCATCTCCGCAATTCAATTTTGCATTGACTGGATTGATTATCTTGTCCCTTAGTATTATAGGGGACATCTGGCTATTTAATATAGCTAGTAAGAGGTTAATATCTAACTATTATGATAAGTGAAGTGTCAATTAATCCTTAAATTTAACACTCTCACTTGATTGATGTCATGGAGTTGACATAGAGGCCTCCTGGGGCCTAGATGGAGTCGTGGTCCGACTCTCTCTAGGGCATCTGGATAAGGATTAATATACTATTCCAACTGTGATGGATGGAGTATCTCCTCTGCCATGGCGCAGGAAATACACGGGACCAGCCACGCACTCGGATGGCAGCGCCGATGGCGTATCCACAACGGCACGCGGAACTCTTGCCGTCAAGCTACTATGCCGCCGATAGAGGCATCCGTACGGCACGTGGCTCCCCGTACGAGTACTATAGAACAGGAGATTGATACGACCCCTTTAGGGAAGTACAATCTCCTCCAGAGGGAAGCTACCGCTTCTGGCCCTGCAGATACTCCGTCGGATCCTCCGCGCAGGTTAACTAGTAGCACCCCTTGTGTTCGATGGAGGAGTATATAGAGTAGAGCGCTGGCCGCACTGTAGATAGACTCCTCAGCTTACGTTTTAGCAATCTATGGACTATTGACTTGTTCTAGTTTCGAGCCATTGCACCAACTGCATTCAAGTAACCAAAGTTACTTGGGCGTAACTCTTTTGTGAAGTTGGATCACTATCTCAATTGATATCCCTGAAATATAAAACTGAAATATCACATGATAGCTAGGACGAAAAGATGTTATAGATTCTAGAGCTTATCATTAAAACGAAATCAATAATAAAAACTAAAGAATAAAGAGTCTATATATATCGAAAGTCGATAAAAAATAGTTCGACTTTATCAAGATAAACATTAATAATAATTAATGATAAAGTTCAGACGCTAAGTTTAACTGTAATATACTATACTAGATGTAACTTTTTTTAAAATTAAAAGAAGGATAGAAGGATAGAGGTCATTCTGTGCATTTTTTCTGCAAATTCTGTGTGCGAATTCTGTGCGCCTTTTCTGCGTATTCTGTGTGTGAATTCTGTGTGCGAATTCTGCGCGCTTTTTCTGCGCATTTTGCGTGCGAATTCTGCGCATTCTACGTGCCAACTCCATGCCCTCTTTCTATGCACTCTACGTGCTAGTTCTATGCCCTCTTTCTGCGCATTCTACATGCTAATTCCATGCCCTCTTTCTGCGTATTCTGCGTGCGCATCTGTTTGTATTCTGATTTTTGATGGGGTATGGCTTGGCAAGAGCTCTGCAGCCTTGGCGCCCTAAAACACTGCTTATTTGCTCACTAAACTTAAGAAGGCAGAAATGCTCGACTTTACACCAATTACAACGCTGATTCTTCTGGCCGCATTGTTAAGCTTATTACCGCAACAGCCAATTACACGACCAGACCCGCGGGAAATCATACAACACCATCCATGACATAACCCGCTCATCCGACAGGTAGCCGCAGATGCCGAAGTCAATTTCTCCTCGTGGGTGGTTTAGGAAGAGACTGGACGAGAACGTTGACAAGGCAAAGAGTCTCCCCAACCGAACGGGTCTCGACATTACTACATCCTCACAATCCCTCCCAAAGCAAGAAGATGATGGAGCAGTGCAGGACACACATCTGAAAGTCCCTGATCTGACTCTGCAGGATGAGCTTGGACAGGACAAATGTGGCCTATTCTTGTTGAGCGATGAAGTCGGACAACAGACCCCTAAATACAATGTCGATATTGTGGCCGTTCACGGTTTGGGCGGTGATGCATATAAGACCTGGACACATGACAATGGAAAGATATGGCTACGCGATTTCTTGCCAACAGACATACCAGAGGCACGAGTCTTTACATATGGTTACAATTCGACTTTGCTCTTCTCACGTGAGACTGGCAGAGTGAGAGACTATGCCCGCGCACTTCTAGAAGATATTCGATCTGAGAGAACACTTGCAGACGTATGCAGCTACATTTGACCTTACATATGGAACAACTGCTAAAGACATAAAAGGAAAAAGCACGTCCATTAATCTTTGTGTGTCACAGCATGGGTGGGATTATTGTAAAACAGGTGAGCTGTATCTGCCTCGGATGAAAAGGTGCATTTTGCGTAGACAATAATGACGGCGTTTAAGGCACTCATAATAGCAAACAATGAGTCTACAAATTATCCAGGTTTCAAAAGCTCAGTCTCTGCAATCCTTTTCTTAGGTACACCTCACAGGGGATCGCCGTCAGCAGAATACGCCGACATCCACTTCAAAATTGCCAATGTCATTATTACCGGAAGTCAAATGTCTCGCTTGTCTGGACCCTTACGAAAAGAACTTGTTCATAGCCTCAGAACGAACGCGAAAGATTTGCTTCATATTGCTGAGGATTTTCGAGTTCATACTGGAACAATGAAAATTGCTTCCTTTATTGAACAACAGAATATGCGAGGTCTTAATGAAAGGGTACACAGGCCTCAGTGACATAACGGAAACTATTCTAGCTGACAAATGAGCAGATTGTGGATGATATCAGTGGGGTTACGGGAGCATCAACAGAACGGGTTGTGCCAATGCCAGGTTGCGACCACAGAGCGATTTGCAGGTATGGAGAACGAAACAGCAACTATAAGAAGCTACTTGCTGCTGTTAAGGATGGGATTTCTTCATCGCAACGCATTGCACCGAGTCTTGATGGTGTGGTCTCCTTCCCTGATTAAGATGATTGATACCAATCTCTCGGATTAGTATAACAACATTGCAGACTTCTCATTGCAGGAACAGTCAAAGTCGATTCGCCATTCACAGCTGAAGAGAGTGGTGAGGTCTATTACGAATATCACTGATTTGCCAGAAATATCTGATAGAGTCCTCATTAGATTGTCTCCGCAGTCTAGCCTTCCCTGAGCTTGACCACCGATTTCAGGGCATTTCCCAAGCTCTTGATGACACCTGCGCCTGGCTAGATTCATATCCACAATACCAAGAATGGCTTCAACATCAGAATGTGACTAAACATCAGGGGGTGTTCTATTTCAGAGGAAAACCGGGCTCCGGTAAATCTGTTCTAATGAAGCGCACGTTAAAACAGATTCTAAGAGATCACCCTGCCTCAACTGTCATCAGCTTCTTCTTCAATGCGCGCGGCAGCTCCTTGGAACAGTGTACACTAGGTTTGTTCCGGTCTCTGCTACATCAGTTGTTTCGACAACATCGGGAATTGCTAAGAGAGTTCCTTCCCTACTTCAGAATGAAACGGGATACTTACCATTCAGATTGGAAATGGTCTTTAGGAGAACTGCAAGAATTTTTTCAATTGCTTATCACCAGCTTTCGGATTCCTTCTTTATTCATCTTCCTTGATGCACTCGACGAGTGTGACCAAGCTGAAGTCAGGAGTTTAGTCAATTTCTTGGCAAGAATGACCACCAGAGCGTCCAGCTCTCACGGTCGGCTTAGTGTCTGTATGTCCAGTCGGGATTACCCACACATCAACGTCGACAAGTGCAGTGAGGTCAGGACAGATATCTCAAATGGTCAGGATATCATTAGGTTCGTGGAATCGGAGCTTAACCCTCTATTTCGAGAAGAAGACGAGTTCAAGAAAGAGATCATCCGAAAAGCTTCCGGGGTTTTCTTATGGGTTGTTCTTGTGGTAAACAGATTGGTTGACGAAAAGGATAAGGGCCAGGACAAAAAGACCCTGCAAGCCGTTCTCAAATCACTCCCCATTGACTTACACGATCTCTTCGCCCGATGCTTTGAGAATATGGACGACCCCTGCGCAACACGAACGCTGATGCTATGGGTACTCTTCGCAGAGAGATCTCTGGCTCCTGCAGAATTGGAATGTGCACTCAATTTCAGCAATGAAGCCTCTCACGACTCATTTCCCTTACGGCAAGGCTCAGTGGATGACTGCGGCAGTTATGAACAACTAAGAAAACGAATCAAGCACTTGTCGAAGGGCCTAGTTGAATTTCAGAACGTGTCAATTGGTACATGGGATAAATTCACTTTCAAGGTCATAGCCCAGCCAAGAGTGCAACTTATCCATGAGTCAGCTCGAGATTTTCTGCTGCAATACAACGGTCTCCGAATGATTGACAATACCCTTGGCACCTCTCCTATACCCAGGAGTCATGATTTCTTGGCGCGAGCTTGCATGAGATATCTCACAATGAAAGAATTTCAGTGGTTTCGGGAGAATTCGCATTTTGATTGTGAGAGGCTTATTTCCCAGAGAGTGATTATTAAAAATGAGCTGAACAATTTACGGGAAACTTATCCTCTCTGTGAATATGCAGTCCAATTCATGTTCAAGCATGCATCGAAAGCGGAGAAGGGAGGTATATTCCCGGTTCATCTCAATCATTCTTTTGGTGGGAATCAAGGGCAGGTTTTCTTGACTTTTATGCACATTAACGACATAATGAACCACATCTCATTCGATGAAATTCAAGGACGCGAGACAGCTTTAATGCACGTTGTTGCTGAACATGGTATTTTGAGCTGTCTAGTTGATCTGCTCAACGAGGGTGTACCAGTGAACTTGAATGGAGGTAGCTTTAGTAATGTCTTGATTGCCGCATCTTGGACAGGACATCCAAAGATGGTACAGATATTGCTCGACCGTGGTGCTGATACCAATGCTCTAAATAAACTTTATGGTAGTGCACTACAAGCAGCAGCTGCACAAGGACATATGGATGTGATACATATACTGCTTAAGTGTGGGGCAGACATCAATGCTTCAGGTCGAAATCATGGTGATGCTCTACAAGCAGCAGCTGCAAGGGGACATAGGGATATAGTAAAGATGCTGCTTGACTGTGGGGCTGATGTTAGTGCTTCAAGTGGAGGAGGTCATAATGGCAATGCTCTTACTGCGGCAGCTTCAGAAGGACATATGGATATGGTGCAGACGCTGCTTGACCGTGGGGCTGATGTTAGTGCTTCAAGTGGAGGAGGTCATAATGGCAATGCTCTTACTGCGGCAGCTTCAGAAGGACATATGGATGTGGTACAGATGCTGCTTGACCGTGGGGCTAATGTCAATGCTTTAGGTGCAGGAGGTCTTGATGAAAATGCACTACAAGCGGCAACTTCATCAGGACGTACGAATATTGTACAGATGCTGCTTGATTATGGAGCTGATATTAATGCTGAAGGAGGTCTTTGTGGCAGTGCTTTACAAGGCGCGGCTTATCACGGATACTCAGAGATCGTACGGATATTACTTGACCGCGGGCCTGATATCACTGTCCAGGGTGGCTACTATGGTACTGCTTTAGAGCAGGCAGCTTCTGAAGGATATCAGGATGTGGTAAAGATGCTGGAGGATCATATCACTAAGGTCAATGCTGAGAGCAGAGTTGGCTTACGTCGGGTTGGGGGAGTGGATGGAAGATAAGAGAGCAAGAAAGGGGTTTCAGGAAATGGGAAATGGCTTGAAAGAATATGGGGTCGAGATGTGAAGTTGCTGATGAGCTATGGTACGGAGTGATATCAGCTCAAGAGTGTCAATTCAGTGATGTGGTCTCGTTGACAGTCTGGAAAGGTCTTGAGGCGAGCTCATTGAGGCAGTGAGCATGGAATGGGTGAGCCTACGGCCACAGAAGAGTGTGGAGCAGAGTTTCCTTTCGCTGTGTCGCCAGGGACATGATCTAGCGTAACATTGTGCCATTCACATGTTCAAATCTACAAGTTTGATCGGGGACCAAACCAACTTGGATACTAGGACGTTGGTACTTAATCGAGCTGATCATTATTGACGAACCCTATGTAGCTAGCGAAACGCCTTGATTGCCACATCTCCTCGCAGGTATTCCTGACCCTTTCAGACCCCATACCAGCCTTAGGACGTAACCCTACTGCTCAAACATTGTCTAGCCATTGACGTTTCCAGCGAGAAATGCTGTATGGCAGAGTGAAGCAACTCTTGAATGACCAATACCTCTTTTTTACTGATGTCTCGGATGGGAATCTGGAGATGGTCCATGTCAAGAACACAATCTCCTATCGAATCTTGTGCATCCAGGGCCCATACTGGGATACGCAATGATGGAAGAAGATGGAACCACAAGGTCATTGAAGTTTGCTCAAGCTGAGAAGTATTAACGAACGTTAGCTGGCGAGTTGTCCATCATCAGCTTCTTGGTTCCTCACTCGTTTGCGGTTCCCCAAGGTGGGCTTAAATGTTGTCAGTCTGAGGCGGTGGCAGCTACTAAGTTGGTTAGATATCGCACCGTCCACTCGGAAAAGGCTTTGATTTGCCATTTTGGTGCCCTCAGTGTGATTTCTCTTACATAATTAAAGATTGAATATTACTCTCCTAAAAGCGACCAGACCAGTATGAAGAATCGATAGACATTCACGCGTAATAAGTAAAATATTTTTGAAGTTTTTCGCAACAGTCAAAAAACTGTAGAGAATCTTACATAACCTGTAAGACGCCCGTTTTCGGTCAAGCTTACTAGCTCCGAGCTAACAGTATTGATGCCCTTTCTGTATTGTGGTCCGGATATGTCCTTCTGACCCATAATTGCCACACGATATCTGCGCAGGCATTTTTGATCTTTTTAGACCCTGCCAGCCTTGAGCACATAACCGCCATCCACATGGAGCGTAACGCCGTTGAGGTATTGGTTGGTGGCCACAAATATCACCGCACTCGCCATGTCGCGCTCCGAGCCTGGTCTATTCGCCGGGACTTTGCCCTCGAACTGCTCCTTCGGAATGTGGCTCTTCTGATCCTCACCACTCTCTTGTGTTGTCATCTCACTTGGGTACACACCTATCACCAAGTCGTCAGAATAGTGCTTTAGAAAAAGGTACCATAACTTGACATACCTGGTGCTATGTTGTTGACACGGATCTTCAACCCAGCATCAACAATTTCAGCGCCCAGCATATTGGACAAATGGATTTGGGCTGCCTTCGAAGCATTGTAGGCTGGATGGTGTTGGCTGACGCGGACAAGGCCTGAGATGGAAGTAATGTTGATGACACAAGCAGAATAGCCCTTGTGCGTTTCGGTAGAGCGTTGCAAGAGCGGCAGACAAGCAGTGGTAAGGAAGTACGTGGCGGCCACATTGGTTTGGTAAGTCTCAGTCCACTCCTCGTAGGTATTGCTTTCGTCATCAAACATGTTCTTCTTCATCTCATCCGCATCCTTGGATTCAGAAACAGTGTGACTTGCTTTCGAAATACCCGCGTTGTTGACCAAAATGCAAAGACATTTCTCCTTTGACTCGATTTCATTGACGAGCCGGGCAACTTCTGATTTCTTACCAACGTCCGCACTGATGGGGATGATCTGGCCGTCGATATCTTTGCCGTACAGCTCGGCCACTTTCTCAAGCTTCTCTTCAGTTCTTCCGGTGATGTAGACTTTGGCTCCATTGATCGCCAGAGCTTGCACTATCATCAGGCCAATACCGGAGCCACCTCCAGTGACTAGGGCAACTGAAGGCACATTGAGTTAGTAGCAAAGGATGTGAATAATCTGCTAGATCTTACCTTTGTCTTTGACATCATAGAGGTTTGAGACCTTGAAGTCATCTCCACTGTATTGAGGAGCCATGGCTTTCTGGGAAGTAGCGAAATGTCTGTGGAACTGCTGTAGACGAGTAGTACTGGTTGTTATTTTGTTATGGTCAGATTGATTCTTCATGCAAAGGAGGATTTTAGAACTGGAGCGGGAAGTTGATTGGAATCTCAAGGGTGATGTCAGACATTTACGACCAACAACGCAGAAACGACGGCTTCGAACGCGCGCTCCGGTGTAGCATGATGCTAGAAGCGGGGACTGCAGGGTCAATGTTTCCGAGATCGTCAGCATCTTGCAGCTACTCTTCTAGTTACTTTCGATGCATTCTTCATCCGTGTCAATTGAGATCGCCTATTGTGTCATCATGACGGTAGGGATCCGCAACATAAGCACAGGCTAACAGCGGATAGCAATGCCGCCCATGCCAAGGCTGGCCTACTACCTAACTAACGTAGCCGGATTACGGAGTAGTACATGTGCAATCGATACCCATATGCAACAGAAATTGAGTGGCGTTTAGGGCTTCCGAACATATTACTACTATTCAGACGTTGCTGGCCCTATGCAGGAGATGGGTTGACTCAAAGAGCTTGAATGGGTATTATGTAACAAAAGATTACTTATTTCTAGTCGTGCAACCCATCTCTGTATTGGTTTCGACAAATACGTAGTAATTTGGAGAACGGCTGCACGCTGAAATTAGTGGCTTGAAGATTTTGGTGCGCATGGAGATATCGGCCTAAGAACTTCGGCGGCTAACTTACTACGTACTGGATTCCGCACCACATTGTGCCGAGGTCCAACAACCTCGCTGACTGATCGGCTTACTACATTAGTAGTGTTTGCCCAGATACGGAAGTGAAATGGCAGGATGAAGACAATAAAGATTAGGAACATCTCTTCCTGTTCTGCTACTCGCCCCAGAATCAACCCACGAACATCCTCGACTACAAGTTGCGGCTGAACATTTCGGTCTCCACATTGACGATGGCGGCCACGATTCACGATATGATCCGCCTTAAAAGGACCAACAAGAACACCCTCGAATCCCTAGCGTTGCCGGAACGTATGGACAACAGAGCGAGAATAGCCTTTGGAGGATGCGCGCTCTCAATGACCGTTTCTGCGGCCTTCCAGACGGTGGAGAGCCCATTAAGAGGGCGCATGGCTTTGTACTCCGTACTTGGTCATTTCCTGGGACCGACGGTGATAGATCGAGCGGTGTTCCTAAGAGTCACTGCGCTCCGTGACACGAGAACATTTGCGACAAGGCAGGTCATCGCCTTCCAGAAACAGGACGACGGAAAGGAGCGAGCTTGTATCTCGGCACAGCTAGACTTTATAGTATCGCCCACAGATGACCCAAGTATCCATTCATTCCTTCAATACTCTGTCTCCCCGCCGCAAACAGTGAATCCTGAGGCTCTACCATCATACAGCGAAGCACTACGAGATCGTGTCATAGACGGTGGTTTAGACCCTAATGTGGAGAAAGCCTACACCACCAACTTCAGGCTATTCGAAACTCTCTTCGAGTACAGAGTGCCCCGGGATGCACCGCTCAGCGAAAATGTAATGGGCATTGATAAAACTCGCAAAACAAGCCAGGACCATTTGCCTCTCACTTCAAAGCGGCATCTCGACTACTTTCGTATCAGACAAAACACTTCCTCCACATTCTCTCCTCCAGACCCTGATGCCCTTCCCATCTCTTCAACATGCTTGCATTTTGCAGCCTTGGCTTTTGCAATGGATGGCGCGATAGCTTTTATCCCTCTCAGCCTCTCGCACAACTTCTTACCTGACGTAGCCGCCTGCTCCTCCCTCGACTTTGCTCTGCGTTTCCACACTGACGTCATGGATGCCGGGAAATGGCATCTCCGAGAAATACGGACGGTAGTTGGGGACTATGGAAGAACTTATAATGAGGCCAGACTCTGGAATGAGGAAGGGAGATTAGTGGCAACCATGAATCAGCAAGATATTCTGAGGCCGCACAGCGGTCCCGATGAAAGGAGGAGAGGCGAGGCGAAATTGTAGGGAGCACGAGAAACGCATGGCGGCTAAATAGTCCGAGAGTTGTCCATCAGCCTTGGAATCGAGGACATGGATACCCAGGGTTGCAAAGAGCGTCTGGTTTATTGGTACTGTTTTTGGATAGGGATTCAGCCACAATGGTGATTGTGTACAGCTGTTGGAACGGCATTTCATAAGACTGGTCTCGGTATATGATGAGCGTGTTTGTTTGGAACTTGGACAAGAAGACGACATCGGTATTCGGGATGTTCATTTTGAGATGGCCATTATTGAAGAACGTCGATCGATCAAGAGCTCGAGAGCCGTTCTAAAAGACAAACTGACAATGAAAAAGTTCTTCATTCGAGCAGACCTCAATGTACGAAGTACGTGGTAACTGATGATTTAGCCGAACTAAAATGGTGTCAGAAGCTGTGGGAGCGCCGCGATGCAAAAAATCTCAATGTCTTGGCCTCTGCAGAATGTACTCTATGCATTCTCTTCCTCCAGTGTCCCAATCCTTGAACTCCTTGACCATGACAAACCCAAGCTTCTCCAGCACCCTCCGGCTTCCTACATTCGCACTCACCGTCACCGCCGATAACTTCTCGACCTGGAAGCCGGCAGCATAGGAGGTATAGTCTACAGAATCTTTGCACTGGTCACAATGCTCTTTCTCCACAACGATGCCTTCCTTCTCTAGATGGGATTCCACTTCGACCTCCCCCCTCTCCAGGTTCCAGTAAGCATTCAATACAGCCTTCACCGCCTCTGTAGCATACCCTCTTCCCCACATCTCCTTACGAAACATGTACCCCACTTCTGGTTGTTTCCCAGGGACAACACTACATCCAGCAGAACCAATCACCTGCCCGGGATTCGACAACTCCTCAATGCTAAAAGAGAAAGTCCTGAGATCTGGGCTGGTCTGGTGCCGCGCCATCCACTCCTGTGTCTGGCTGATCGTTTCATCACAATGGATGGCAGATGTCCATATCATGACCTCGGGCTGCTGGCGAAGAACATGGTATTGAGTGACGTCGGTTGGGGAAAAAGGACGAAGGAGGAGCCGGTCCGTTTGAATGGTCGGTGGGTAGGTGGGGAGGATAGGGAGGGTTGTGCTGGTCATTGGACTGGAGGTGTCATGCCAAGGGCCTTTAGGAAAGCAAAGGATTGTGGTCCGTACAGACCACCTATCCTCGAATCACTGCAATGGCTGTGGACGATGACACCCAAGGAAATGAATTTGCTTCGTCTTTAATTGCTGTAAGTACTATTCGCGAGCCCAAGGCATCCGAGGGCAACCATTTTTCGAGCCTGCGGTTATTATTTCCGAAGATTTGCTAAGAGCAAGCACCCTTGAGCTGAAAAGATATTTTCTCGGTGGGTCAGACTACTAGTAGTCCATGGCTGCCGGCGCTAGCTTAAGGAGCCAATCAGAAAATTCAGAGAGATTTTCAAGAGAAGAGTGTGAAATTGGGGACAAGAAAAGATATTCAAACTTCATTCTCCTGTCTTCCAACCACCTTGCAGTTGTCTTTTATCGTCACTCACTAAAACAAAATGATTTAATGCATGATACAACGGCTGTAGACATCTGAAACAGAAGATATCTACCAGTTATGCCATCTACGCACGCAGCACAACCTGCAGAACGAGAAACGGTGGTAAGTAAAACAATAATTGGAATCTCGAAGAGCATTAGAATTGATTGTTAGCATGACTTACTATTCAGAGGCTGCCATATGGCTGAAACATTCACTGTTGAGGAGAACACTGCTCGTGTGTATAATGCAAGGCTCCGGTATCAATGCTGGTGCAGAACACTTTTGTGCGCCTTTCTTTATCACACTAAAACATTAAAAACACTATAAATAATGTACAAGCCCTGGGAGTGCATGTCCTCCATTTCTTTGAGCTTGCTGTTGCTACTTCCACCATCTTGATCCTTCTCTGGCGTTCTGCATCATCCTTGAAAGATGAGGAATATTCAGGAAGAATGTGACAGCTCTCGTCATATCCCCATCTCTCCTACCAGAAGACCAGACGCACTGGTTCCTTTTCGCTTCTCCACGCAGATCATGGCTAATTTCGATGCTGATGAACACAAGCGCCACCTCGCCTTCATAGACACCATCCCTAATTTCGGCCAGCCCAAAAACGACGCTGAATCTCAAGAAATAAGAACCGCACCCCTATTCACCACAAAAGTACGTGCAGCTATTAAGAACCGCGAAGTTGGACCAGAGCGACTTGGTGAGCCAGCGGATATTTTTCCTCAATATGGCCTGCTTGGTCTGCGCCAAGGCACATACAACCGTGAAGGGCATAGAACTGCGACTATCAACACCGAAGAGAACATGGTTTATGCTAACATGAATGCACCTTGGTCTGCATTTATCTGCGGCTCGCAAGGAGGCGGCAAAAGCCATACACTATCTTGTCTCCTTGAGAACTGCCTTCTGTCGCCCTCTCCTGTGGGCGTACTGCCTAACCCGCTGGCGGGTCTCGTCTTTCACTACGACAAATTCACAAGTGCCGCTACCACGCAGCTCTGCGAAGCAGCATATCTCTGTTCATCTGGGGTACCAGTCCGGGTGCTCGTTTCCCCTAGCAATTACCACAATATGTCGAGACTCTACTCGAACCTTCCTGGGCTCCCACCGCACGGAAGACGTCCTAAAGTAGCACCATTATACCTACAAGAGCAACAACTCAATATCTCCAACATGTTGACTCTGATGGCCGTCTCGGATGGATCGAAGTCTGCGCCTCTGTACCTCGAGGTTCTCTTTCAGATACTTCGTGACATGGCTATAGAGAGACAAGGAAGACCAGGAGTTGATTACCGCGAATTCAAAGCCCGCCTCGACGACGCTGCGTTCACACGAGACCAGAACGGCCCTCTGAAGCTCCGCTTGCAGTTGCTCGAATCATTCCTTGACCCAAAGGCAAACAGAGACCATGCACTTAGCTCGAATCCATCGTCCAACATCTGGAACTTTGAGCCGGGATCCCTTACTATTGTGGATCTCAGTGACCCCTTTGTGAATGAGAACGATGCGTGCGCTCTGTTCAGCATTTCTTTGAGCCTTTTCAGTCGAGGCAAGGAGGCAGAATTGTTGCGCTAGATGAAGCTCACAAGGTCAGTGTCTCTTTCAATGATTACGTGTTGATTTTTACTAAAATGCCCTAGTTCCTTACTCAATCAGGAGAGGCTTTGAATTTCACCGAAGATCTTGTCTCCATTATTCGTCAGCAACGCCATTTAGCAACTCGTGTTCTTATTGCTACGCAAGAACCCACTCTTTCACCAGCACTGATCGACTTGTGCAATGTCACCGTGGTCCATCGTTTTCTCTCTCCGGCTTGGTTCGAAACGCTCAAAAAGCACTTGGCCGGTGCTCGTTCTACTGGCAGCAATGACTCAAGCTCGGTGTCAGATATCTTTCGGACAATCGTTGGTCTGCAGACTGGAGAAGCACTTTTATTTTCTCCAACAGCACTACTTGATATTGGTGTGCAAGATCTGACAAGGCCGTTCGCAAGACGTCCTCTCGAAAAGTTAACAGATTCGTACATTAAGCTCCGCATTCGTAAGAGAGTCACAACAGATGGTGGCAAAAGCATAATGGCCTCTGATGCTATGCCAGCTCCTATGCTTCACCCAAAGTCAGATTCTGGTGATAGCACCAATAACTCATCTCAAAATTCGGATTCCGAGGTAGAAGTTGTCTCCCTACCATCTTCTCGGTTTGGTCGTGTCGCCGATCCGAAGTCACGAGATCGACCAAAGGGACATGTCCAGTCCCAGCAATCAGCGCCTCAACCACTGAAGCATTTACCTCAGCCTGGTCAAGCTCAATCCCAGCAGTCGAAGCACAACCCGCAAGCTATTCAACCTCAGCCCAAGCATACTACACAGCCTGTTCACTCTCAACCTCAGCAGCTCAACCTCAGCAGCAAGCACAATTCACTGCCTGCTCAACCTCAGCAGCCGAAGCACAATTCACTGCCTGCTCAACCTCAACCTCAATCTCAGCAACCAAAGCATCAATCGCAGCCAACTCAACCCCAATCTCAGCAAAGTCCAATCCCGCAGTCGCAATCGAGTAAGAAAGTGAAGAAAGTTCTCCAGCAGGCAACCCCTCCCGCTCAATCGCAGCCTCAACAAGGACCGCAGCAGTTTACCAAGAAACAAAAGAAAGCTTTGAAACAGATGGCTGCGGCTTCAGGCTAGATGTGGCCCTCACGTAATTCTGGATAGTAAAATAGATGTCTCTTCAGAGCGATATTGAAGGAGTGGTTCATGATCAGGGCTTTCAGGTCGCATTGGCGGTCATTTGTCGGTGTCGTGATTCAGATATGGCAAACGTCCACCGTTCATTTGCATCCAAGTTTTTTTTTCTTTCTTGAAGCATGCTCGGGTAGTAGTCTTAAGCCTACTACTTTAGACAGGCAAAATCATACTTCTATCCCATCAGTCAATTGATAGAAGACTGTACATCATGCAGTACTTCATCTAGTCTCCGTTTCAGTCAGTATATTGCCGCATTGCTTCCTCTAGCTCTGTTGCGTAGGACTCGTTTTTGATACATAGCGCAATGTCTTGCTGCCACATCAGACAGTCAATTCTGGTCGTTAATCAAGAACTATAGTAGAGCGACCAAGTACCGCAGCGATGGTCACTAAACTTCAAGTATTACATGGCAAGAATCTGGACAGCGTTCACTCAAACTAATACATACGTCAACATTGATCAAGCCTGAGAAAACAGTGAGGGCGATCCCGCCAAGCACTTCCGCAGGTTTGCTGCTAAACTCGCGTCGATTCTTGGGGGATCCCATCAGCCTTCAATGTCATAATATAACTCTACAGGGCCACCAAGCCTATCACAAAACTTCATTCTCCGGAGCAGTCCAAATATCAGCTTTTGGCACTTTGATTATTTCCTTTCGCCTACGATTTCACACTGTCCATGCGCTCTACTAGAGTGCCACGTCTTCCCCTATGCTTCCAGATTTCAGCCTTCAAAGCTTTTTGCCGAGGAATTTGACCTTCCGGTGAAACAAGATCAGTTCTTGCGGCTTTGTGGGAATAGATTATGCGGCAGATCATCTATTACGGGAAAAGGAGGATTGTAAGCGTCTTGTGTTCAGCAGGCCTCACGGTCAGTGAGATTTGCATGAAAGTAAGGGGCAAAAGCCACACAGCCTCGAGCCATGTCTCTCAGACCGATACATAACAAATAAAGGAGGTTATTAAAACAGGAAGGATTGATTGGCGTTACAGCGAGTTGGATTGGACTCTGATGGTAGAAATCAATTGGGCGCTCGACAAAAATAGGTGAAGCCTGCCCCAAGCCTGCCAAGGAAATGGGTGCATAGAGCTGCAGCCCTTTGTTCCCATCCTCGTCAGCACGTGCAATTCCGCTGTCATACTGCGGTACCAGGCATTAGTACTTTTGGGCCAAAACACTGGCCGAACAGCCAGGATCAACATTGCTAATTCTTGAATGTCTTAGTCATAACTAAAAAATCAATTTGAATAGCTGTTTGAACGGATAAGCTGACTGAAAGCCAATGAAGATAATTGCGGTGTTGTGTCAGAAATAGTTGCTGCTAGCTCTGTACTGACAACCTTTATGCCTGATACTGTAGTAGTCAGTAGTAGTACGTAGTAAGTTCTTTGATGGAGATTGGCGTGGCGAAAGCAGCTAGAGCCTTAACCAATCATTGGGAACTCGTTTCACGAATGCAGAGGTATAAACTCGGTTCAGCTTGAGACGTGTGAGACAATGGCTGCGTAGTCAGCAACTAGCCCCATTCGAGCATGACGTGTGTGGCGTGCTCGCTGAGTCTGTCTGAGTAATTGAGGCAAGATGGACCGAAGATAATTTGAAGTGCAACGGGCCCAGAGGTGCAACACCATCCCCGCACAGGCCCTGGAAATCTTAACTACTACTTACTACGTAAATATTGTTAGGTTTGCGTCTCACTCTTTTGTCCCTTGTTGAGATATTAGGTATTCTATAATCTAAAGGATACGAAGAGATGAAATCTCAGAACATTTTACACAAAGAATCATCCAATCTTACCATACTTTGTGACTGAGGTAGGCAATTGAACAACCGATCATTTTATTGGAACTAAAATATTGCACTTCTGGGCCCGTTGCACATTTGGGTCACTCTAATTAGCAAGCCAGCAACCCTGCCTGCACATCTCGGATTAGCAAGTCAGCAACCCTGCCCCCTGCATTGACATCTCCATCGGGTGATCTCCACCGATAACCTCATTTTCATGCCAGGACGCGCAGCTTCTTCCTACTCCCACAAAGGTGGCTGCAGTAACATCAAAGTTAGATGTTGTATACAGCAGAATGGGCTTCTCTTTCAGACTATCATCTGGTATGTATCGATTATGACAACTTCGGAGTTATGGTCAGCAATTGGGCATCTCACTCCCATCACAGAAGCAACATTTTCCTTTTGTGCAAATAACTTCATTGAAGTTTTGCTCCTGAACATAACCAATCATCAGGATCCTGGACGGCCAACACAGGTCGTTGGGCAGCCAATCGCTTTGCCAGTTGATGCTCGTCGGTCTGAGAAAATGTCATCTTCCCAATTCCAGAACGTAGAAACCATCATTCGTGAGGGCAAGGAGGTTGATGATGAAGCTTTTCTTTGGTCTTACATTTGCTATATCGTCACTTTTTTATGAATCTTCTGCCTCATATACCCTCCCAAGAGGCAAGTTCGAGGCTTGGTTTGGGACATACGCACATCATTTCGAGAAGTCGTCGGTAACCATCTGTAACAGCACGCTTCAAATATACAGGGAACACAGATTCGACTCGCCGACACCAAATCTTGCGGTCGCACATCACGCCGATTGCATTCTAGCGAATACTACCGAGACGATTAAAGCCAATATGGCGAGTGCGGGAGTAGTTCTAGGACTGATGCCCAGCCTACTCTCATCCTTTGGTCCTACTCTGGCAGAGTCCTCGACGCTCGTGCTTGAGCGCCCGTTTCTTTCCTTGTTGCTTGCTATCGGGGCTCCAGCCTTCTATCCTTTCCGCGCTTTTGACGACCAGCATCCATTCGAGGCCTTAAAGCGACCGTTCAGAACGCTCCACCACATCTCCTCATCTCGCTGGCCTCATATCCTGATCAGGCTCCTCCAGTATTTATTGGCTCTCGCTGGCGCTATCAACGTCGTTGAGACCTCCCTTCAATTAGGTATGAAATCGGTTGTGACGTGGAAGAAACATCAGTCATATCTACCCCTGGTGTGGGTCCTTTTGCCCCTTGCGATTCACCTCTGCGCTGCGATCAGGCTTCTCTTGGTTGTGAAAAGGGTACGAAACCACTCCAGTCACTTTCTTCAAGTTACTAATGTCAAATACCAGAAAGAATCTCTAGCGACAAGCACCCGAACCTGTACATCACTCATCCATCTCATCACCGCCGAAATACGTCCCTGCGCTGTGTACGAAAAATATAAATATTCAGCCGGGGACGAGACACTTCTGGCATGCGTTCTTAGCGCGCTGCTACCGGTCTTAGTTGTGGTGCATCTCTTTATAGGCACGATGATCTTCTCGTCGCTTCTCTTCATTGGTGTCAATGACACTTGGCCACTCGTGTTGCGTTATGGTGTCTCGTCAGCGGTGGCACAGCTGATCAGGACCTTTGAGATTGCCGGCCTGCACTATATTTGAAGATAACCTTGCATTGCCGAGCAAGCGATGGACCTATTTCAGAACGTTGGACACAGTCTACATGGAAAGCACAATGCGTGAAAATAATACAACTAGAGTACGTTGATGGCAAATACCTGAGTTTTGTTGCGCTGAATAAAGTGTCTTTCAGCATTTTATGTTTGTTTGATGCTGGCTCTATCGCTCACCAAAGCCCTTGAGCATTTCTGCCGTGGCATGTTCTTGCCTAACAGGAGCTTTACGGTTCCATCCCTGATGCTGCTTGAGACCTTTGATGCCTCAATGTGCGATTCAGCATCCGTCCTCCCTTCCCTTTATCTGCACTCAAGTGACATTTCAGTTCATGCCTGACGCAAAGAAATTCTTCAGCCCGTTCTCCCTTCTAGTGTCCACCCCGATCACCCACCATACTGCAGCTCGGATGATGCTACTAACCTGTTGAAGCTCGGTGATATCTCTGGGACCATGTCGAACAGAACAAGTGAGAACAGCCATAGGACAAGTTGAACAAAGCTGAGCTTGACGAAAGGGACAAATAGTGAGGATGATGATTGAGTTGACAAGGATTTGATTTCACCATTCACGAAGGAGGCTGACGTGATGGCATTGTACTGGTGAGTCATTCTGTCCGAGAGAGCCGGAAAGCTGATGCTTGTGGTGTTAGCCATGGTCGTTTTCTCCTCTTGACTGACGCTTTAGACCGAACTGATTATCCAGCAGCGTTCTTTCAGTCTTGTAGCCACAATTTGGAGAAGATGCAGTGGCATGATTGTCCCGCAAACATTGGTAGATGGAGAGGGAGATCTTGATGAATCACTTGTGATGAACAGGCTGACCGAACTGAGTGTGTATAGAAAGTTGTTCTATCTAAGTAAGTGCGCAGAGAGTACATTTATATGTAGCGCATATATAGGGGGGTACTTAGCTGCGTAATCACGCCAGTTATTTTCAATTTCTTGAGGATGCACGCTAGCACTATCCAGTCAAGAATATACTTCTAGACCTCAATCTATATTAGAGCCAAGAGCACTGACTTAAACTAACTACTTTTAGGCTGACTTCTTTCAACCCTCCTCTTTTACGCTCATTCTAATAGCACTGAAAGCTAGGATAAATAAGATGCAGAACATGTGACGTCAGAGAAAGCTGAGCAATTACAAGAGAGACCCAAGGTTGTACTTGTGGTTCCAGACTCGCAGGAGAGTAAGGAGGTGGGAAGCGAGGATGAAGGGATTAAGTGGGAGGGCGTGAGGGAGGGCGTGAGGGAGGGCGTGAGGGAGGGCGTGGGGGAGGGGGCTAAGGAGGATGATCAAGAGATTTTAGAGGACTTCAAATGAATGACATACAGACGGATCACGTCTGTTAAACTCGTTCTGTTACGGCACAACCTGCGCTATGGCCCAAAGGGTATTAGGGCAGGGCACGGCGTTGGCCAAGCATTCCGCCGTACGCGTACAGCCAAGTGCTGCATGAGTGCTAACCGCATCCAGACTTAGGGCTGAGGGCTAGTGTAGGCTTGGCGCTCCGCGCTCATATCCTGCGCTACGCCTCCATAGCACTTAGATAGTTCATCCATCGCCTTACCACACAGTCATACAGTAGTTCATACGCAGCTATTTCGTGACTCTCCTGCTTCTATAGCACCCCCATACCCTGTTCCACGGCCTTCCGTTTAACACGTTCTATAAATTTACAGCCCATCCATTCATACGATAGCCCTTCTCGATGATAAGATGTCTTTTTCCCAAGATCGCACAACCCACATATATACTCGAATTTGACATGAAACGAGCAAAACATTTGAGCTAATATTGTTTACGTCACGATCTCCCTCGTTAGAACGTAATCACTTAATATTCCAGGCATAGCTCAGTGTAATCAACGTTGCCGGGAGCCACATTATGGTGAACGTCGTCAGCGGTTCGAGAGTTACAGGGTTCTTTATGCCCTTGCTAAACGATGGCAGCTGAGACGCGGTTTTCTTGGCGAATGTAAAGAGGTTATTACTAGTAGTATCTTCTAGATTGAAGCTCAAGGCTGTTCTGCATGACTTGATTGGTCCTCTGAAGGGATTTATTACGTAGTAAACGTTGACCTTCTAAGAGGGCCAATTGGCCGCGTTTCATATGCGTAATCCCTGCCTTTCTACTGCTTCTAATTGGTTAATTTCCAACGCAATTTCGCTTCTAATTTCGCTTCTAATTTCGCTGTACGGTACAGCCAGTTGTACTTAGATTTACGCTCTCTACACTTGTAGCTATCAATCAACTTGCTTCTCTACGCACTCTGCACAGCAGGTTGACATAAACCTTTGTGGTGTCTACTAGTGGACCACGCTCTACTATTTCACGATTTAATTCCTTTGTGGTACATATTTTGACATCTGCAGGTGTGAGAGCCTTAACTACCCTTTTCGATAGCATTCGCATCACTTCACTACAAGATTGATGTTGTTGTTGAAGAAGGTACAGCTGAATCCCCAGTAGCCGTCTCGATGACTGGCACCGTATAGAAGGACGACAGAGCCAAAGGGCCCGGACACGGCGGCGCAAGAAAGCTATCAGCACAAGCAATAACAATATTATCTGCACCCCACGAGGCGTTCTGAGGGAAGCCCGGCTGCTCCGTTTCAGTTGAACCCCGCCAACCGAGTTGGTTGCTACCGAAGCAGTATGCCATTGAGCATACTTGCATTGTGTCCAAGTCGAACTGTCCTGGGCGCCACATGTAGCTCCTGGCTAGAAAGGCGGTCTGGTAGGAGCCGGGCGCGTAGAAGATTTGGCTCCGGCCACCAAAAGCCGGTTCCTCCCAAATTTGCATGCTGAATTCCATTCTCGGGTTGGTGCTGCTGCTGGCTAATGGGGTGGGAGGGATGCTAGTATTCGACGATTGGACTGAAGACGTGGGGATGGACGACGTAGTCGACGAGCTGGTGTTGGTTATTATTATACCTGGAGTAGTGATGAGTGACGGTGTCCGGATCTGGTCTGCATACCTCCTTGCCATGGTTCCACCGACGCCTCCTCCTACTGCAGCCCCTACTATGACAACCGACGAGAGAATGACCAGAATCCAGAAGGTCCTCCTCCTCAGTCCACATATTCGCTGGGCACGCTTCGGCAAAGGTCCGCTGGGAGCGTCTGTGACCACGGGAAAAGAAGTCTCCGGCTGAACGGTGTATAACGGCGATATTAGTGCCGACGCCCCGCGCGCCTGACGGGCATCGTGGTCGGAGCCATGGTGTACGTGGAGGCCGCTGTCACTGGGAAGGGCGATTGGCGCGTTCTCGGCGCGTTGCCCATCGTCCACCGGTACTGGACCGGAAACGTCTTTCTCCAAGTACGACATTGTCCAGTTAGAGAATAATAGAGTCTCCCGTCTCTCTCGATGCAATTTGTAAGCCGAATTGGTACACGAATTTCTTGAGCTCGAATCTAGCAGATGTCAACATTTAAGTGGAGACAGCATTGCCGGTAGGGATCCTCCTGGCAATCTTCTCAGGAGCTGGAACTATGCTTCCCAAATGGTACGCAGTAATACGAGCCTTTTTTTCGTATTCGGGAAGTTGCGTGATGTTATGCAGCAGATAGGCGGCAAGCTGGATGGGCGCCTGTTGGCCCAAATTTTCTACGTTTAACGCTTGCTATCTGTCAGCATTTGATTAGTCGGTCTCTAGTGCAATCTCGGAGCTCAGCTGTACAATAGGTTTAGTGCCCAAGTGGCCCCCACTTCACTTACAGTGGTGTACCCTGTGAGCTTATACGACGTATATACTCTTTTTATCCCTTGTGACCCCGATTGGACCCTTGCGTGGTCATCCGTAACCTGAGCGATGAACAAGCAGCCCTGAGCATCAAGGGTAATGTCCCTTAAAGGGTTTATTACACACCAGACTTATCATGTGACAGTACTTTACGGGTAGCAAATCTGAAGCGCAACATTTCCCCAGCCTTAAAACATCCCTCAACGACCGCAAAAAGCTCCCCAAACATCCTGCGAGCAAAAATACGACTAACAAAAGTGTCGACGAAAAATCTCAAACCAAGCACCGCGTCGCGGCGTAGTCACTAAGTACTTAGCAGTAACACGCAAGGAATATTACATTAACGTCAACTCCCACTCAAGAAAGCAATACTAACCAGTTTTACTAACAATCAAAGAAGAGAACTGGGCCGTTAAGTTGGAAGTTGGAAACCAGAGGGCTGCGAGCTGAGCTGAGCTGAACCGCGCTCTACGGACAAACTCGTTCTGTAGACAAATAAATTAACGACGACTCGAAGATCCATATTTTGAGCTATGAGCATGCCAGAAGCGAAACTGTTTCTTTTCAAATCTGATAATTTTAGAGCTTATTACTTCTCGGATTGTTGTTCGTGATATCCACAGGATTACTAGTAGGTACCGACTACTACTCCCTTTGTTATTTGAGGATGGAGGGATAGTCCTGAGATGATTAGCCCCTAGCTCAGGAAATGATGCGTTGAGTGGATTGAGCTTAACAAATGCGGCTCACCCTAGCTTGGCATTATAGGGATACTAAGCTGAATAACAGCCGTACATACTTCTATTATCATATATATATTAAGCTTAATAATAGCTTTACTCACTTTATATCTAGCATGCATAATAAGCTTTAATATTAAAAACATTAAAACTTATATAATTACAGAGTTTTATGTATTCGAAGCTCCTGGCCCGAACTAACCCGGAGGCGCAAAATTCATCTCCCTCATATTATCCCTCAATCGCTGCAAACCAGACACCACGTCCTCCAAGAACCGGCGCTGCAAGTCCTCGTTATCCAGATCCGTCTCGCCCAGCCCAAAGTCACAGCCCAGGCACTTCTTGATGATCTTGGGGTACGTCAGCCCCATCTGATTGACGAGCAGCTGCGCCAGCTTCTCTGCCGCCTGGTAGTCGGACAGCATTTTCTTCTTCCCCTCAACGGCCGTCCTAGTTGGGGGCGTCTTGGCGACGCTTTGCTTAAGATCGTGCCAGGGTCGGCCGTACCCGATCTCGAGGAGTAGAATTCCAAAGTTGAAGAGCAGCTTGTTTCGCGCTTCTGTGAAGTCGATCGTTCTCTTCTCGCGGTTCTGTGGCGCTGACTCACCTGCAGGTAGAGGTCCTGTAGCAGTAGGGCGCACTGGCATCTTCCCCTTAGCCCGCTTACACTCCAGCTGCGCCATGAAGTACGGCCCTTTTAATTGAATTGCAGCAGTGGACGATTCACCCGGGTTGAAGTACCGCAAGGTCTGCCCTAGGTTTGTGGGAACTAGCCACGGCGTAGAGTAGAACTGCATGATGCCCTCGGCCATACTGCCGGCCAGCTCGACCAGCAGCGGGCGTGGGAGTGAGCGCAGGACCGGTTCCTCGGCAATCCAGTGAACAATATCGGAGATGGATTGCGACGTGCCTAATGCGGTCTGAGGCGCTGGCGGGGTGCAGAACCATTGGGCATGAGGGCCTTTCCAGGATCCGAGTAGGGATCGGTCTAGGCAGTCTGTTGAGACTTTGTGGAACTTCTTGCAAAAGTCGTCGACGAGTGACAGATCCGAGAAAGAGCTGGATTTGGCAAATTTACTCGTTGTTTTGTCGACGGGGAGCTCAGTGAGAGATTTTGGGGGATTCGGTAGTTGGGGGCCGGAGGTGCTGGGCCCCGGCTGCTGCTGTTTGTCCTTTCTGAAGCCCTTGAAAAGCTTCCGAACCGTGGTTGTCGAAGGAGTCGGCTTTACTAACTTGAATCGTTCCGCGTTGGTCTCAAGGACTGTAGTCAGCTGCTGCACGGTTCGATTGTCCTTAACCGCTTTCTTGGGACTTGTATCTTCGTCGTCTGATTCGCAGGCTTGCTCGATCTCCAGCCGGAGTGGCCCTCCGGAGGTAAACGCTGAACCGTCGTGTGTGATGGCGAGCTCGCAGGTGACATATTCAGCGAGGGAATTTTTGCCTTTGGCTGCATCACAGTCGAGGATGCGCACATCAAACGAGTGCGAGCGGTGAGACGTGCACATCCATCGCACCTGAAGGGTCGAGTATAAAGCTTTGGAGGCGTACCGGACTCGGTGGTATCTCTGTAATATGTTGAGGCTTCTCGCCGATTTGTGAGTGAGAGCGGCGTCACCCTTGTGCTCGTTTAGGATTTCTTGCAGCGCCTTTGTGATCTGCTCGGTGATCAATCCAAAGTCTCTGTTGGAATCCCGTAGCTCCTCAATGGCCCCTTTAATCTGAGGCATGTTCAGACCAAGCTTGAAGCGGGTTCTGATGTGCTTCAGCCATTCTGAAGTGCTCATCTTCTGCTGCTTGATTAGTCCTGCCATCTGTAGAGAGTTGACGCGAAGACGTACTTCCTGCTTATCGCCCACTTCGGCCCGAAAAGCGTCGGATTGATGGCAAAGTAGTTGCAGAGTGTTATGTATTTGCTCTGCAACTTGACGGCATGCCACGAAAGACTCATCGAGCGCATCCACTTGGTGTTGATAGACGGTGGCCATGACCAAGCCCATTCTGGCGGATTGTGATGAGGGATTGTTCATGACCTCCTGTACCCTGACCCTGTCCTTTGTTATTGCCGTGAGTAGGTTGATGGTATTATTGCGGAAGATTGTCCGTTGGGCGGAAAGCTTCACTTCGAGAGCGAGGACCTCTCTTGGATACTGCTTAGAGACTGAAAACACCTCGAACACTCTCCCGGAGCGGTCGTATGTCTCGAGCGCGATGGGCACCAACGCAAGGACGGTGGCCACGATGAACTCGATTCCGCTCATCTCGGCTTACTGAGGTGTTTTCTTCATAGAAAACAATCTTAACGGCGCCTCGAAGCGTCGAAGTCATGTTAGAGGCGGTAGAAGAGACCCAATACTCCCCGTGTCTCCTCGTATGTAGGGAGGTCGAGGCACGAGGTTCGAGGTTCGAGGTTGGAGGGCGACAATTTGAAGCCCTGCCAACATCCCCGCACCTCATCACCCTTCAACACAGCACACAACCTCGCTCTCAGCGAGGTCTCGTTCGAGATGGCCTCGTCAAGTGCCATTTCTAGTTCTATTACTGCCTACTGACTTCACTCCATATGGCGGAGCCTATTTCATCATGTCTGTGCCCTTCCTCAGTCGGCAGGATGTCGAGATCTGGGTGCCTGAGCCTGCGTCATTCAAGGGTGGAGCCGGCTTTGTTGCCAAACTCTTCACAACAATCGATAGAGCAATGGCCGCACTTGCCAGAACGCCCTCAATGACCAAGGATGCGGCGTATCAATGGTGCCGTAATGAGTACGAGCGGTTCTTTCTCTGGGGCCAGGGCCTGTCGCTCGTTGACGGCCATCTAGATGAGGTCCTGCCCCATTGCCGAGAACTTCGCTTCCGAGTTCTGTCACTTCTTCTACGTCTGGGGACGGGGGTCCTTCAAGGCCTGTCTCGAGATCAAGATCGCTCGTCACAGGCTCTGAATGAGCAATGTGACGATCTCCGGACAATATTAGACCTGACCGGTACCATGCTTCAGGAATTGGAGCCCGATCAATCTGTCAGACCATATACGCGGTCTGAATCTGATGCCTCAGAATACGAAGCGGCAGATATTTTGGAGGAAATTTCCACGTATATTGATTGTCTACTCGATCTGTCCCCTTCTCTCGATAATCCAGCCTTGGATATCATGGAGGAGGGTTTCGACGAACCTCCAACGCAGGCCCAAGAGTCCTTCAACGTACGCTCTGAAGAAGCCTTGTTATACTGTCGAAGGATCCGGGATCGCTTTGAGGTTCTCCCGAAATATCTCGTGGAACGCCTAGCCGAAGCAAATGTCCTCCGGGCAGCAATTCTCCGCGAGAGGCGATCTCAGCCTACCAAACATGAAACTCCGATCGACGACGATATCAGCGAAAACCTATTCTCGACAACCGATCACCGGGTCACTGAAACAACGAAATCAACCGCCCCACCGTCATCTGTCTTTTCTTCCGTCATGGAGCCAAAGGCCTCGTTCTCTAGACATGTACCTGAGCTTGGGATCGATGACAATGTATCAGAAGCTACCTTTGCTTCTTTCTCCACCACAGCATCTGCAATCAGCCTGGGCCGTCCACGAGTTCCCCCAATGCCTGACACTCAAGAGGAAGGGTTCAATTGCCCCATCTGCTTCTCGCGTGTCACCGATGTGAAGACTAGAAAAAAGTGGAAGTAAGTAATCACCTGAGTACGCTTTTAATATTTGCTCATCGGTGCAGGCAACATGTATTTGACGATCTGAAGCCTTATGTATGCATCATTGAAGGTTGTAAAGACTCAGCAACGCTGTACAATCATAGTGGATTGTGGGCTCAACATGTAGCCTCCCATCCACTATCGGCTTCGATATCATCCGAGTGCTCTTTCTGTTCTGCTATCTACCAAAATGGAGGCCTCGCTTACTACAAACATGTGTTGGCCCACCTCAGAGAAGTCTCGTTGTCTGTCCTGCCCCGGCCGGCTGATGATGAGGACGGTTTCAACACCGAAGATAGCGACCTGCCATCATCTGCTCCTAAATCTGAACGAATATATCCGGCTACTAGTGCTGATAAAGAGGCTGAACCTCAAGAACACCCAGCTGTTGGAGAGACGGAGTCGCAACAATATCAACGTCAGCCTCCTCTTTCACCAATTTCCTCTGTCACCTCGTTGGATCAATCCCCAACTCGAGCTGCGCATTATCGCCTTGACTCTCCACCAGAGACTGAAGGCGCAGGCACAGAGGCAGAGCCTAAGCGAAATACTGATTCAAGTGCCACTGGCGAGAAAGATGCTCCGAGCCCAGAAATGACTAAAAGCGATCCCGGAGCTGCACTGGCAGCCCTTGAAAGTGCGAGAAACCCATACGAGGTCGATTTAGACTCAATCATAGACCGCCTCTTGGCAGTCAGGGGCTCCAGGCCCGGGAAGAAAGTCCAACTCCTCGAGACAGAGATACGATACCTCTGCAACAAGGCCAGAGAGATTTTTATCACCCAGCCAATGCTACTAGAATTAGCAGCTCCGATCACGGTAGGGCAGGCACTATCCTTCCCTGGTTCCAAATGCTTACTTGACTGATATTGTTAGGTCCACGGTGACATTCATGGACAGTATTATGATCTTCTCCGAAGTTTCGAGTTCACCGGATTTCCTCCTGAGGCAAATCATTTATTCCTGGGTAATTATGTGGACCATGGCAAACAGTCTTTGGAGGTAATATGCCTGATCCTTGCATATAAGATTAAGTATCCCGAGCACTTCTTTGCTTTACGAGGAAATCATGAGTGTGCCGCGATAAACCGGGTGCACGGCTTTTACGATGAATGTAGGACCCGATATAATATAAAACTGTGGAAAATTTTCAACGATGTGTTTAGTTATATGCCAATTACGGCGATCATCGACGAAAAGATACTCTGTATGCACGGAGGGTTGAGTCCGGCTCTGGAAAGTTTGGAACAGGTTCGATGTATTATGCGACCAACAGACGTAAGTCATCCCTGGCCATCTTCGGTATACTTGACTAATAAGATTTGATAGATACCTGATTGTGGCCTCTTGTGTGACCTGCTCTGGAGCGATCCCGACCAAGATATCAGTGGGTGGGGTGAAAATGACCGGGGTCTTTCTTTTACCTTTGGGCCAGATGTTGTAAGCCGCTTCTTACAAAAACACGACATGGATCTTATTGTCCGAGGACACCAAGTTGTCCAAGACGGATATGAGTTTTTTGCGCAGCGACAGCTCGTTACGATCTGGGGCGCACCAAACTATATGGGTGAATATGATAACGCAGCAGCTCTGATGTCTATTGATGAGTCTCTTATGTGCTCATTTCAGGTACGTTCAGATCCCCTAACGTTTGTTATGAGGTAGGATCTTTGACGGCGAATTCGCTTTCATAGCTTCTGAAACCAGCTGAAAAGAAACCGAGCTTCTGGCGGAGAGATGGTGAACAAGGTCGTACTGCCTCTACCACGCCCTAACGGATCAGACTCCGGAGACTATGATACAACCCTAACCACCTAGAGTATACACTCGATAGCAAAGTCTTCTTGGCGACGGTCTTCCTCACGCGAAAAGTTGAGAACGTGAAGCACACTTGGTCACAGCAGACCGTGGCACAGCCCGCCGTGAGACAGCTTCAGCATCGGCCCTGTCGCGCTTTCAGACCGGACAAGGCCTATTGTTAGCTCGTTATGATGAACTAAGGCCCAAGCAGGATGTGCAGTCAGCCAGGGACGACGTCGTTATGAACACGGAAATGATTACGCGTCGTCGTCGGCAACGTCTCATCATGGGCGTTGCGTCATATTCTCCTTCTCAATAACATCCTCTCAAGCCTGAATACCCCAAAAAAAAAACTTTTTAAGGGCTTATCGAGCTACTATAGTGCAAGCATCGTAATCTAGGAGACCATAGAGAGCAACTAATCAAACCGGTGTGGTGTTGAGGATGATCTATCTATAATATCCGTTCAGGGAATAGATAATCTTACGCTATCTAGCCCGTGAAAAGGTGGTACCTTCTAAAGTTGGACTTGCCCCTGGCAAGTATAGTGATATTCCAAGGTCTGTGTGCGAATCTGGTCAGATTGGTTGATAATGACAGTTTTCTGCACGATTCGACAGCCTCCCCAAGTCGCACCATTTCAGACCATAGCTAGCAGCGCTGAGTCCTATCACGCCCAGCATCGCGCTAACTCGGCACTTGATGTCGGCGAGAAACGCCGAGTTCGCGGAGACAGGACGCACGTCTCGGCCGTTCTTATTAATATACCTTCTCTAGGGGAGAAATATCTCAAAGAGCGAGTCATCAAGCAACGGGGGAATCCTTCATCTCTCGAAGACCCACCGGCCATGCTAACTGGGGTGGAGGAATGTCATGGTCGTTGTTGGAGGATGAGATCGATTTGGGGGCCCCAAGTCCAAAAATTGGGCACCCTAGGCATCGTCGTCTAAACTTGACGGAGAAAGGCATGACGTGACGATGAGACCACGAGGGTGACAAAAGTCTCGTCAAGATAAAAACATTCGTACCCTCTTCTTTTATAGTGCGCAATGACAACTTAATAACAAGACGCCTTTGATGATAAGGTCGTCTGAAAGATTGGTGACTCGAACTACCAAGGAAAAAATCGGCTGGATTTCGTTGAAAATATTTCCTGAAACCTTCTATGTTACTCGTGACCTACCGAAAGGATGATTCACGCTTGAAAGTTGTATAATTTCACGTCAACTTAAGCAAGCTAAAGTGTGATTATGTACTTCTTGCCATCGCTAGGGCTAATGTCATATGTCAGTTACGAGCTTGACTGGGGTATTACACGGCGTGATAAGGTGGTCAAACACTTTCGGCCGGACGACTCTTTCCATTCGATGGGCTTGAAACAAAAAGAAACGTTCCATTCATTTACTGACCTGGGTGCAGTTGATTGGTAGTATAAGGATGGTCGATATACAAACTGCTGTCAAGCCTTCTTAGGTTTTTCTTTCTCTCTATATCACCTATATCATCTTCAATCCACCTCCAGTCCTGCTAAAAGCTTCATTTTTCACTTTTGAACGCCACTGCAAGATGGATAACTAGATATATAAAATGAACAAAGAACCGGCGACAGCCCGCGGTGGCCGTCGTGGCGCGCCCGACCCGACCGCCCCTCGAAGCGGGTCCCCGTCTTCTCTTCATCCCTCACCTGTTTCGGCCCCGACTTCCACCTCGTCCCCCGCTATCAGCAGAGTCAGCTCTACCTCACTTCTAACACGAACCATCCCTGAATTTTCCCTCTCCTCTCACGTAATCCTCGTGACAGGCGGTGCACGTGGCCTGGGCCTAACCCAAGCCGAAGCACTGCTCGAATCCGGCGCTACCGTGTACGCGCTAGACCGCCTCCCAAAACCGAGCGGAGCCTTCAGTCGGATCCAGGAACGGGCGCGCACCGAGCTCGGCACGGCACTGCACTACTGACAAATCGACGTCCAGGACACCGCAGCGCTGAACCAGACGGTCGAGTCGATCGCGAACAAAGAGGGCAGGCTCGATGGCCTGATCGCCGCAGCGGGGAGCCAGCAGGAGACCCCGGCGCTCGAGTACACGGCTGAAGATGCGAATCGCATGTTTCCGATCAGCCTGACGGGCGTGCTGATGACAGCACAAGTGGTTGCGCGACAGATCATTCGGCTAGACTCCCAATCTCCACCCCAGTCCCAATCCCAACCGATCCAAACCCGCAAGAAAAAGGCAGAAAGGCGGCTCCATCGTCCTGATTGCTTCCATGTCCGGCACCGTGGCAAACCGCGGCCTCGCCTGCTCGGCCTACAACGCGTCCAAAGCCAGCATCATGCAGCTGACCCGCAACTTGGCCTCGGAATGGGGCCCGCACTCCATCCCTGTCAACTCGACCTCCCCCGGATATATCCTGACGGAGATGGTGCTGGAGCTGTTTGAGCGGTTCCCCGAGCGGAGGGAGAAGTGGGTCGTAGAGAATATGTTGGGGCGGTTGAGTAGGCCCGAGGAGTATAGGGGCGCCGCTGTGTTCTTGTTGAGCGGAGCGAGCGGGTTCATGACGGGGTCGGATTTGCGGATTGATGGGGGTCATGCGGCTTGGTGATTTTGGTGGGAGGAGTTGAATGTGAAGGTTTATATTGGTGGTTGGTGGTGAGAAGGGGAGCAAGGGGAATTAGTTCCTGTGTAAAAGTCTTTGTACTCCCTACAATATTATGTGACAAATTGAAAGTTGTTTCAATGTGCCGTATCCCTTCTCACGCGGATCAGTTGCTCAAGTTCACTCCATAGAGCAGTAGCCCGAAGCGCTTCTAGACATAGATACCTACTAGACATTCTCGGTGTCGTCAGCTCCAATCTCGGCCTTGCTTCTACGTCCACCGGGCGTCTCCGCTGCTATCTATGCAGCACTCCTCACGTCTTTGAACTCATTGCACCATTTTCAATGCTTTGTCTCTCGATGTCTTATAGCTGCTTCGCTTGTTGGCATAGCCTTCATTCATCCTGCTCACAATCACCAGTTCCGGCCCACGCGGCTCCATGGCTGGTTTGACTGGGGTTGCCGGATTTGGTTCTGACGCGGGTTTGGGCTGCGGGCGCGGATCCGCCGTCTAGCGCGTCATTGGGATGAGGAACATATGTGCTCCCAGCTTGGTGGATATCACTTCGTTTCGTTTCTCTCCCAGAGTCGTCCATGGCCAAAGCCATTCTCATCCTCCAGATTTTCCGAGAGCCACTGGCCAGGGATCTATTTCAGGGAACTTTTCGTGAACAGGCTGGGAATCTGCTTCTGATACGCGCTCCAACTATTGTGATGAGAAGTATTCCACTACTCCCCGTGCAATAGCTCCTGGCCCTGGTGTGCAGATAGTGTGAGTTCCCGTATGTCAAGGGGTATCACGTAACCCTCAGGGGCTGTTGGCGCCGGAACGTGACTGTATGTACGTGATATTTCGCCGTACGCGAACGGCGAAATAGCAGGATGGCCCACAGGAGAATGGTGAGACAATGCAGATACTCTAGCTGTCAAACGAGCTGTTTGAGCATTGTTTGAGTAGAACAAAGCGTTTCGGCAGGATAAGACGCAAGGGTATTCTCTGTCGGATAGATAGCTGGCTATTGACCACAGGACAATGAGAGGAGTTGAATCAATCCATTTGCACGATCCGACACCGCAAATGTGTCAGAGGTTCAGCTACTGCTGCCGGGGTTGTGCATTACTTGCAGGAATCCGATTGGAGGAATTGACCCTTGGTGAGTATGTAAGCGCAAAACATGGCAGAACTCAACAATAGACCATCATGGAGCCAATCCTCCACAGGCACTTGACACGGATCATGGCTTCGTACTGCAATGTTCGGGAAAACTGTTTTTTTCAGTTGAGTATAGACCTTGCCACCCAGTAGATATAACCGGCTCTGACTTGGATGCCGGAGTCCACATAAAACAAGCCTGAAGACCAGATTTTCAACGCGCATGCTAGTCGCTGTTCACTGCCAAGTAGCTGTTCTCTGGCATAGGGCTATGGTAGTTGATGAAGTCTGTTGGAGGGATATCCATCCAGATCCCAAATTATCCCGTGTAACCATTTGGAGGGGTCTCAATTCCCTGAGGTACGTAAAGCAGGATTTATCTAAGATAGCGACATAAGGTTTGCCGAGAAAATTTTCTCTCCAGAAAGGTTGTCTAGGGACAGGGACCACAAAAATTTCGACATTTCGATAAATTTCAAAATTCTAAAGTATCTGCTTTGCGAATTAGTTCAAATTTTGTTTCGCTAAGGCTAAGCTAGTCCTGATATAGACATTTCTACTAGTAGTCTCTTTCAGGCAATATGAGATCATGTGATGTAAGTTATCTAAGTTAGTAGGACTAGCTGAAATCTATCTCGGAATCTGTTTTAAATTTCCGTATATTACAACAAAAATAGGTTTCATTTCAAGGATCTGAAAGATTCCCGCGACCCCTGCTGGTGGAATCCGGACCATTGTCTGAGATATGTCAGCTCGCAGGGCCATCTTGTCTGGGATATGTCAACTCTCGGGCCATCTTGTCTGATTATTCCCCTCATCTTGTGTAATCGGAATCTCTCGAGAGGCAAATATAGGATCTAGTCCCTGGTTGATCCTGCATCTTTGAGCGGTTGATGGGTTTCACTTCCTGCATGACTTCGGTGTGAGCTTTACTGCTACCTATCATCTCGTATCTTACTTAACAGGCTTGAGGGAGTGAGTGAACCGTCAGGATTTTCATGTTTCCTAATCTATTCATACGACTTAAACGTACCAAGTATTCTCTATTACTCTTGCACTTCAAGGAAAGCGGGAAAAGAAGGAAAGGAAGACAATTACAGTATGGCATCAGCAGCTTTGGCCGTTCCGGCCTCTCAAGTCAAGCAAGGAGCTCAAATCCTTCCCACAGCCAAGTTGCCAGTAGTGGCAGATCTATCCGATGCGGACAGCATTAATCCAAATATAGTTGTCCAGCAGTGGCTTGACAGATTCCACGATGCGCTGAAGAGTCAGAATCTCAAAGCTGGCTTGGCCAAGGTGTTCTTGAAGGAAGAAGCCTATTGGAGAGATCAGCTGTGCTTGAGCTGGGACTTCCGTACGTCTACCTCGTGCATCATTTCCTGCGTTGTTTTGGTAGATGAGAAGAACACAGTAAGAGAGAAAGCGGATGTTGATTTTCATTTGTTCAGACACTTTCAAAAACATTGACACCATCTCCAATTTTCTGTCCACCCAATCCACCAAACCCCGTCTTTCGTCCCTGTCTCTCGCCATTGACGCTTCGAATCCAACCCGCAAGCCCACGGTTACCCCCATTGATATCTACAGCCAGGTCAAATGCATCTCCTCCTTCCTGGCTGTGAAGAATGACGTCGGCCGAGGCCATGGCGTGGTAAGACTATGCAAGGATGCAACTGATGGTCACTGGAAGGCTTTTACACTGTTCACAACGTTGTCTGATCTGAAAGGCCACGAGGAGGCTGTGGGGCATCGTCGAGTGGATGGTGTTAAGCACGGGCAGATCACTGGAAGAAAGAATTGGAAGGAGCGCAGAGAAGCTGAGCTCGAGTATGAAGGGCGTAGAGAGCCAGCCGTACTCATTATTGGTAGGTCCTAAGGGAGTGACATGGCCAAATTGGCAGTTCAAAACTGACGGTTTAAGGTGCTGGCCAAGGTGGATTGACAGTAGCCGCTCGTCTGAAGTTGTTGGGCGTTGATACTCTGATCATCGATAAGAATAAACGCATTGGAGACAATTGGCGCAAACGATATCATCAGCTTGTCCTGCACGACCCTGTCTGGTATGACCATCTGTAAGTCATCAAAAGCACTCTGAGGCAAGGGAAATAATGGTTATTGACTGCGCCAGTCCGTACATGCCATTTCCAGCTTTCTGGCCCAAATTCGTGCCAAAAGATAAGCTGGGCGACTGGTTTGAGACGTATGCGGCGACCCTCGAGCTTAACGCCTGGCTCTCAACCACGGCTAAATCCTTCAAGTACGATGACAGGGAGAGAAGATGGACCGTGGAACTCGAAAGAACAAAGGACGGGAGGAAAATGCACCGTAAGTCACAACACTACAGTTCTCACCCCCTTGATCCCCCACCCATAACTAAGCAAAAACCCAGGAACTCTCCATCCTCGCTTCATAGTCCAAGCCACAGGCGCCTCAGGCGAGAAGAGTATCCCGTCCTCCATCACGGGCATGGAAACCTTCAAGGGGTCTGTGCTGTGCCACTCGTCCGAATTCACCGGCGCACGCCCAAACAGCAAGGGTCGCCGGGCTGTGATCGTCGGCAGCTGCAACTCGGGCCACGACATTGCGCAGGACTTCGTGGAGAACGGGTACGATGTGACGCTGGTGCAGCGAAGCAGCACGTGCGTGGTCACAAGCGAGGCGGCCATGGAGTTCTACCTTGGAGCGCTGTATTCTGAGGACGGGGTATGTCTCCCTCTCTTACGTTCCTTCGTTCTCCCTTTTTCCCTCTTGGCGTCCTCAACCGAACCCCACGCTCCTTCCCTCCCTCTGTTCCCCTCCTCCCTTTGTTCCCTCCCTCCTTGACATTCAAGCCCTTTCAATGTCCTAACAACCTCTCCAACAGCCTGCAACCGAAGATTCCGACCTGATCTTCGCCTCCCTCCCCACGCCCCTTCTCAAACGCATCCACATCGACCTCACCGCCGAGATCGGCAAGAAAGACGCCCGCCTCCGCGCGGGCCTCAAGAAAGCCGGCTTCGCGCTCGACTCGGGCCCGGACGGCGCGGGCCTGTTCCTCAAATACCTCTCCCGCGGCGGCGGCTACTACATCGACGTCGGAGCCTCCAAACTCATCGCCGACGGGCGCATCAAGGTCAAACAGGGCGTCGCCGTGCGCGCCGTTGAGGGTAACGGGCTGAGGATGGCAGACGGGACGCTGGTGCAGGCCGATGAGATCGTCTTTGCGACTGGGTACGGGAATATGCGCGAGACGTGTGCGCGGGTGCTCGGGAAGGAGGTGGCGAGGAGGGTAAAGGAGGATATCTGGGGATTTGACAAGGAGGGCGAACTCAGGACGATCTGGAGGCCCAGCGGACATCCGGGCCTGTGGTTTGTGGGCGGGAATCTGGCACTGTGTAGGTTTTACTCGCGGTTGGTGGCGCTCCAGATCAAGGCGCATTTGGAGGGCATTGTTAAGGAGGGGAGGGTGTCGGTGGAGGGGAAGCCGGCAGGCATGGCGCAAAGGTGAGCGATTCACCTTGTGCTGTGGACGGGGATTTGGTGAAAGACGATGTACGCCCAATGGGGTTGTCGGTAACGACGCATGGATACTGGATAGGTCTGCTCTTCACGCCACTTTTCCGTCTCCGTTCGCATCTCCATCCCACTAGCCACCATCTTCTACCTTTGAATCTCGCCTTCCCCATAGCCGTCCCCATTACCACCATTCCTCGCCCTACTCTCCCTCTCCCATTCCGTCGTCCCCTCTCCTCTTCCAACCCCTTCATCTCCGCCCCCTTTCCCCCCTCCTCGCTACTAAACCGATAAAACCCATTCCCTCAACCCCTCACCTCCACGCGGCATCACAATGCGTCTCCAGCAAAACCATCAGCTCCCTTTCCCGCTTCCCAGCCAACCTAGCCATCTGCTCCACCTTCCGCGCGTCGCGCATCGGGTTTGAAACGCGCGCGTCTGGATCTGGATCGTGTCGGCGCGGGTGGAATCGCGGGTTTTCTGGAGTTCTCCACGTATCTCCTCTGAGGAGCTCTGGGACTGCAGGGTCTGGTGCATCTGGCTGGATCTCAGAGGGCTCTTGCTTGGCTGTCTTCCCTGTAATTAGACATCGCTTGGAGTTCGATACGCTTGGAGTTCCGCTGTTGCTACCTGAGGGAGCTACACTAGACTTTGGGTCTCTTGAGGCTTGTTGGATAGCAAATGATTGTTTTTTTTGGCTGTCTTTTCGGTCTCTGGATCTGGCTCGGAGAGCGATGCCCTTGGATGCCTGCCAGTGCTACCTTCGGGGGCGACACGAACGCTTAGGTCTCTTGATGCCAACTGACTAGCAGGTGGACGCTGCTTGGCTGATCTCTCTGCATCTGGAGTTCGCTGGTAAGGTGATCGTGTTGTTCGAGAAGAGTCTTGAGTCGATGGTGTGACTGATATCTTTCCTCTGTAGATTGGATACCGACATCTTTTGTTTCCCGCCGGCCTCTACGAGGAAAACATTGGCAAGTCTTGCTCGATGACATTCTTGCAGCCGCTGATGCTGCGATTTGGAAGAAACCTAATAATGCCAATGTGAAGAAATGTTCTGAAACTTTGGAACGCAAGTGTGTATGGGAATACTCTTTGAATGCATGTAGAGACCTTTAGGGGTCTGACCTCATCCTACCTATCCACATCCTCGGCTTACTGTTGGCTACCGCTTGCTTACCCACTTTGCTCAGGCTGCTCAGGTCTTGTTCAGTCACCTTTTCCTTTCCGCTCCTACAAGCCAACTAGTTATGCATCATATTATCATCGTCGTGTCGTGTCTTTTCTGCTAAGTTTAGACGACGATAGACAGGGTGTCCAATTTATGGACTTGAGGCCCCAAATCAGTCCCATCCTTCACGATACGCCTCCACCCCCGTTCGTTTTATCGGTGGGTCTTCAAGAGATGAAGAACTCTTCTGTTGCTTGATGACTTACTCTTCCAAATATTTCTCTCTTCCTCTCTGCTGGTTTCGGTTGGGTTTCAGTTGACTTTCAGTAATGTAACTTTATTTTAGTTCATTCAGCTTAGGTCGTTTATTTCATTTCTCATTACTGATTTAGTCGTTTTTTGTTATTACCCTCATTGCTTTTCTACTCCTAATGTTAAAGCTAAACTCGGTGAAGACACTTTTCAGGTGGGCCTGTTCAAAAGACTCTAAAATAAGTAAAGTGTCAGAGGGCACCCCAAGGACGAGCGGACAGTAGAGAATCTTCTATCCTGCAGAGGTGTCGATCCATCAATGAGGAAGCCGCACAGCCTTTCCTCACTTCGCTTACTGTGAACGTCTCATAACCGGACTACCTCCTCTGGTGGCTTAACAAGAATGACTGCGCTTACATAACCAACCCCACGTCTTCCTGAACGCGTACTCTGGTGCATCCTCTGCTACGCGCTGGGGAGAGCTTTTTCAGAAACTCGGCTGCAAGGCTAAAAATATTCAACAATTGAAGGTTTATTGGGATCACGAGGGGCCTATCCATACAGGCTTGGGAACAGATCTATGCTTTGTCAGAGCACGGACGCAGCTGAAGATAAAGAAGACAATAACGATGAACGATTTCTATGCGCAGTCCTGGCCTGAATGTCTGGAGCAGAAGATGGGATTAAAGCCACTTGAAATACGGACGACTCCTGGGCATGTGTGACTAGACAATATCAGAGGGGAACAGGGGTGCTGGTTCCTTGAATTGGTCGTGAAAACTGATGAGCGTGGCAAGAATGCGTGCAACAAGAGCCCTGCTGTTTCCCTCCGAGGCATAACTTATGGAAAGTGTTGATTGTTTGCTCGAAGGATTGCTATACTTGTAGGTCCTAAAGGAGATAATGATGGTGAGAAATTTATTAATCCGTGGATCTAGGGGAATATCATGTTGGAAGTTTGCGGTGAGCGGTGTTAAGGCCTGATGCCTCGTCCCAAGTTTTATGCTCTCTCTTCCTCTCTCACGCCTTATAAGCTATGCGATCGTTAGTGGATTCCTTTCTGCTCAGGAAGATTTTAATATACTCTACGACTACTGTTCGTGCCAAGGATTCTTCGAATCTTGCACAACACAGTCCGATGTTTCAGTTGTATGCTAAACACTCGTTTCATGCGTCTCAAACTTTATTTGGTAAATCCCGCCATCACTTTATGAATGAAAACACACTAAAGATGGTGTAGGAGACATTGCTACAAGAGTCTTACGACAATGTGACGTGGTTAGCTTCAGAAGGATCAAGCTGATATTCCACCTCCCGCCCGGAGGGGTTTCAATTCTGCAACCGTAGAGACGAAAAACTGACCATATCACCCTTCTTATCTCAGCTTACCAGTATTAGGGATTCTAGCACTTTACTGTATCAATCAGATCCAGGATGAACCTGAATCGCTTGCTACTGTCAATCTAGCACTTCTACGTTCGCTAACACATATCTACCCTACGTTAATTCTCGAGGCAGCCGACGATACTTCAACAGCATGGCTGATGATAGTCTTAGATCGCACTCGTCACCATATCCTGAAGATATCGAAAAGCCAACCCCTCAAAAGCCTTGGCAAGAAGGGCTTTACGCACTCCGACGCCAACTTGCTCCAGCAAGAGAAGCAACAATCCGTGCAAAGGAAGCAGCACAGCATGCAGAGGAAGCAAAACGGTGTGCGCTGGCACAACTTCGTCAAGCTGATCAAGCACAAAGTTCTAGGCCTGGGCGAAGGACAGGAGCCAGGCCCCGCCATGTTGGAGGAGCCGGCCCGTCGTCTATTATAGCAGCAGACCCCCCGTCTATCAACCCAAGACTTCAAGCACCCGAAGATGCCGCAGCACAGGAACAAAGGCTACGACCAGATACAGAACGAAGGCTACGCGAGTCTGGTCTTTGGCGGAGTGAGCGACCTGAAAGAAGCGCAGCAATCATCCCTTGCGACAGCCGGAGTAGTGCAGATCCAAGACTTCAAGCACCCGAAGATGCCGCAGCACGGGAACAAAGGCTACGACCAGAAACAGAACGAAGGCTACGCGAGGCTGGTCTTTGGCGGAGTGAACGACCTGAACGAAGCGCAGCAATCATCCCTTGTGATAGCCGGAGTAGTGCAGATCCAAGGGCTCCTTCCATTGGGTTGAAAAGGACAACGACAGAAAGTCCGCAAATAGCTGGTCTTCGGCCGAAGCGAGCGCATGGGCTAAGCAACGGAGCTAGTCCAGGAAGACAAACGAGCCTTCAAGCCGCTACTCACGACGGTGAAAGCCCTGGACTACCAAGAGGAGCCAGTCCTCAGGGCGATAGAGCAGACCGGTCAACGAGAAAAGTGAGCCCTCCTCAAGCGAGCTCGGAAACCCGATCCGGACAAGCTAGACAGCGTAGTCCACAGAGAAGCGGAGAGGCCGCGTGGCTAGGCTTCGTCCAACGCGGTGAAAAGGGCAGAAAACAAGGGGAAGCTCGTCAAACCAGCGACGAAGCTGGGTCTCCAGCGCCGTATATTGTCAGGGGAGACCCCTATTTCGATATTCTTGAAGAGGCAATCCAGTCGCTCAAAAGAAGGCGCAACCAAATTAAGACACAGTACTCTGACACCGGAGGGGTCAGGGAAAAAAAGCACGGGGAAATTGATGAGAGAATCCAACAGTTAACAGATGAATTGAAACGCGTCAACAAGGCCCGTCCCGTTGAAACAGAAGCTGAATTCATCGCAAGGACAGGAAGTCAGCCCGAATATCATGGGTACATTGGGGCGGTGCTGAATCGGACCGAAGATCCCGCTAAGCGCCACCAAATTTTGAAGAAAGATCTTTCAAATTTAGTGTCAAAATGGGACGACAGAGTGCGCGATGAGTGCCTGATAGAGCAGTATCGACAAATTTTGATGGAATTGTCATCGAGGATCCAAGCTACGGAGCTACATCCAGACAGTGCCGAGAGGAGAGTTGATACTTTGCCTCGTATGAATACGAATGCTGCTGCTGCTATGCAATCTCCGCCTACTCCTAACCTATCTGCTGCTGCTGCGGCGGCGGCGGCGGGTGGAAGTGCTCCAAGTGACGCTGCTCCAAGCCAACAGGCTCAGAATGGTGGATCTATGAGTACATCTCCTTGGAGTGGCCGTGGTAGGGTAGGTAGACCTCCTGGGAGAGGCCGTGGGAGGGTGGGTAGACCTCCAGGGAGTGGCCGTGGCCGTGGTCGTGGTAATTTGAGACCAACTAGCAATGTTAGTGTTCCCAGTTGCACCGAACCAGGCGCTGCAACTGCGCCGCTACCAGCGAATCCGCTTCAAGGTGTCGCTCCTAGTTTTGTTGCTGCAACTGCGCCGCTATCAGCGAATCCGCTTCCAGGTGTCGCTCCCACTAGTGCTGCTCCCAGTGTTGTTGCTGCTCGTGATGTTGCTATCGACCGAAACCTGGATCCGAATAATGCCCTTGGCGGTTCTGCTCCGGATACTAGTGCTACTCCTATTTAGCCTGCCTTGGATGCAGGGTGTCCATTTGAATCAAATTGAGTCAAATAAACCAAATCAAATGCTTAGCAAATAAACCAAATCGTGCTTTTCATCAAATCGAATCAGGACTTTTAGATTTTGACAAATTAGTCAAATGGAAGTCTTGGCGGAAAAGTAAATCATTTTGAAATAAGTATTCAGGGTTATTTTTAATAAGAAAAAATGTCTTGGCAGACTCTTTTTGCGAGATGAATTTACGAAAGGTACTAGTAGTCCTCTTAACAAAACATTGCTTACTAACATGTGACTGCCATTTCACAAATGAGTCAAATCAAATAGGTAAGCAAATCAAACGGGGGCCAAGATTTGGTTTATTTGATTTGATGGATACTTACCCTGCTTGGATGTTACTAGTCCAGGTATTGATATTACCGCCAGGAGAGAAGCTGTTATGGATTCACCTTCTCCCAGCAGTAGCACAAGCATCGATACCATCAACACGTCCTTCAGCGATAAGAACTAGTTCTGGTACTTGGTGATGGGTGTTTTCAGGGCTGCTGTCTACCGTCGTTAGGCTGACCTACTAAAATGTTATGATCGTTTAAAACTAATGATTGAAACTTTTTAGAGTATCGAAGAGGACTTTGGCTACCTACTAACTTTAATATCAGCTCTACGATATAAGGTCCAGAATTCATTGTAATAGATGCACGAGACGAGGAGTAGAGGAGCAAGTTGATTAATAGCTACAGGGGTAGAGTAGAGAGCGTAGAACCAAGTACAATTGGTTGTACTGTCGGAGACAGCGGAATTAGAAGCGAAACTGCCGTGTAAGTTGACCAATCAGAAGCAGTAGAAACGCAGGGATTACGCATATAAAACGCGGCCAATAGGCCCCTCTCAGAAGATCAACAAGTGTCAAGAATGCATGTATGTAGCAGTGGGGTTACTATATACTACGGAGTATACACTATTCCATCGCCAGTAGAGCACTCCGTATCCCGTACTTAATACCCCGTACCGAGTACCTGTACCCAGCTAAGACGCGATAAGACTAAGACTAAAGAAATGGTTGTCGTTGTCGTTGTAGAAAGTAAAATTACGCAAGCGTCGTGGAGGTGGTGTTCATGAAGCGAGCGAGAGAGGGAGTAGTAGTCGGATGAAGGGAAGGAAGAGCGATATCTATCAAACACGCTCCCTCCGTCCCCTCGGTTGCGTACATTTCCATATTCTAATTATGGCTATCTTCTAGACTTCTTTGGTGTCGCTTTCTCTTTCGTTTTCTCCTTGACGATGATAGATCAAGGACTAGTGACTTGCTTTGACAGCGAACATAGCTCCGTAAACCCTCTCTCACACATACTCTACGCGGGTTAAAGGATAAAGCTTGATATATTTGCCAACATCTCTGCAATCCCGCCACCTCCTCTTCAAACTACGCCAGCCTCCCCCACTTCCCTTCCTTCTCCAATCTATTTATTCTCAAATCCACCCCACCCCACCCGGCGCAGTCTTCCCACCATACCTCGCCAAATCCTCCTGACTGAGCTTCGACTCCACCGCTCTGACTCTCTTCAACACACGACCATCTTCTACCACTACAGCCCTATCGTTCCTACCCTCTGCCATCACCGGAGCAGCACCAAAGACATCGTCACTGCTTCTTGCGATATTGATTCTGGGTATTGACATTTTCCTGCCGAAAGTTTCAGAGGAGGCTGTTCCGACTTGCGGTGCTTCTCGTAGGGGGCTTCTGGCCGGGGGAGTCGGGGTGTGCGGGATATAGCCGTCTTTCTTAGACTGGCTTTCTCGACTCCTGCATGTTGAGACATCATGCTTAGCTTCGAGATCTTGTGATGTTTGGCCAAAATCTCGGATGGGAGTTTCGTCATAAGACGTTGCTAACTTTAGACCTGGCCGTGGTAACGATTGCAATGAGTCAGGAGACTCATTGGCAAGCCCTGGACGCTGCGGAACACTCGTGTCTTTGATGTCACGACTGTAGATACTGCTTCCTCCTCGTGAAATGCTAGGCCGGAACGATCTTGGAATCTTCAGGGTTGAAAGTGAAGCATTAGATGAGCGTCTCTTATTGCTTCCCAGCCGAGCTAAGCCGAGTCGATTAGTGAAGGGGTTTCCTTCGATATTTTCGAATGCATAATTCGCCTTCGTTGCAGATAACGCATCTTGACTGCCAGGAAGGCAGAAGACAGATGATACGCTGCTGCGCCGCTTGATTTTGGGTGACTTTTCCCCTGTTATTGGTCGCTCTTCCACATGTTCGCAACGCAAACAGTCTTTTGAGAATGCAGCGTCTTGCTTACCGCGTCCAACTGGGGTTGGTGAGACCAGAGGAGGTGGATTAGTGACGGTGCGACGAAAGGTAAGAGGTCTTGGAAAGAGGTTTAGAGAGCCAGCCGATGAGCTCTGCGAATTCGCCGAGACCTTTCCAAGTAGACTAGGCATAGAAGTCAGTGTCGAGAGCAACGACATGCTAAAGAAGCGCTAAGTAAAGGCATGAAGAACTGAAATCCAGACTTACTGAATATCTGTAACAAAATCAAGTTCGGGAAGCGATGGATGGTCGGGCAGGTGCCCATCTATTCTTGCGATTCTTTTGCTGGAGCTCGGCGGTGCTATTGCTGTTATTAGTATTGTTGGTGACGGTAGGGATACAGCTCAATACCTGATACAGGCCGATGTCCACGCATGAAGGCATGATTGGACTCATGGGCCTCTCCAGAAGAAACCGAGCTTCCTTCTAGCACAACATCTGCACTTGGGGTTCGCCTCGCTTTCGTGGTTGCGATTTGGTGGCTGAATTTTCGTAAAGGAACCAATTTTGAGATGTCGGGATAAGGACTGATGCCATGTTGTTGCGGTTGGATGATAGAGGAATTGGGCCCCGTTGGCGGCGTAGAATTCACATGAATACAATGGGTGGACGAATCAAAGTGTGTCGTATTGGTTGTACCTCGCGAGCTTGGTGTTTCGAAGATATCATGGCAGTCAAATCCAGATCGAAAGGGTGTACATAGCGGGCCTTGCCTATGTCTTGACATTTGTTCTTTGATAATTCTGTCTTTAATACCTGCAGCTACGTTGCACCCGCATACCCTAAGACGATCCCGTTCGAATAGGTGCTGGTAGCGTGAAGCAGTAATAGCTGATTGTGTATCCTCAGGGAACGTGGTAGGAGCTCTTCGGTCTTCTGTATGGTGTCTTGACCCTTCTGGTACTTTGCTAGCGGTCTTAGACCTGGCAGGAGGAGCACCCGCTGACCGAGCAATGAGAAATGAACACCCGCCATTATTTGTGCTATTGTTGTGGACATATTTCGTGTTCGCATGCCGTACCGATGTGCTTCGAGAGCTAGGGAATGCACTACCATATACGGCAATCGGAGTATTGTGAGATTGGCTGCGCCGCAATCTAACGGCGTGCAGGCTTGTCGGTTTGGTCACTGGCACCACAGACTTATATTTCAACGAGATATCTGCAGTCAATGGTCGAGAACATCCAGCTCCTGGTGTGTTTGGGAAGGGCGACTTAGTACGAGGATCATACACTGGAATGGAGCTCGAACAAGGGACACGACCTGGGTCCTTTGGCTGTCGCCTCTTGTTCAAGGGTACAACAACGGCAGGATGTGGAGGGAAGATGACTGGCAATTCCAAGTCGTGGTCTGGTTGAGCTTGTTGATTCCTCCTGCCTTCAATGGAGTTGTATCTTGTTCGAACAGGCCTCTGATGCTTTCTTCGCCACCTGGGAAGCAAATAACCCCACAGCACGCCACCCACCAAAATGACTGAGCCCAGCACAGCAAAGATGATAGCATAGCGGCTGTTGGAGCTGCTACTGCGGCGCACCAGCTGGCCTCGAGGGATTGGTGGCATTATAATGAGAAGACTTTTGGTCGATGGGAAAGAAGGAGCTGCGAAGGAAGCAGTCACAACACTGTATGGAGTACCGGTCATCTGCTCTGCGGGATTAGCCCAACGTGATGGCGGTATCGCACACATAGTCTTACCTATCCTCTACCATAGCGATGACAGAATAAGTATAGTACGTCGAGGAATAGGTCCCGCAGAGATTGAAAATTCTCGCAACTCAACACAACATCATCAGACGCACGTGGCTAAGATCAGCTTCAGGACAGGCAAAGGCAATGGTACGTAGACAGAAGAGAACGTGGAAATGTGGAGAGCAAGCAAATTGCAATTGATATAGAGATGCTGAAGCTATGCGGAGTTGCATGCTTGAAATCGGCAGTGTTTCGTAAATTGTTCTGTGGCAAGAGTTCGTGTTCTTTCCTCTTCTGAAGTCGTGTTTTCTGCACTTCTGCACAGTACGCGCTGAGGGCCATCCGTAGGCGTAGAATCTTTCGCTCAGTCAAACCTGGCAGAGCTGATATGGATGCGGTATGCAAGAGTCGAGAAAAAGACATTCACACCTGCTATGGCTGGTGATCCAATGGTACCCAAATCTTAACCGTACAGGGCAGTTTGGTTGTACTCAGATGAGCAGTAATTAGTGAAGCTCGGGGCGCCTGCAGTTATCCTATTCTTCATGCAGCCCTCGAGCAGAGCCTCTGTTCCCGACAGGATGCGTAGAGCAACAAAAGCAGCTGCTGGGACCGGGGTCAGACCATCCCTTTGGACACACCGCCCCGAAGCGCAATGGGGATTTCGTTCACCATGACGGGATCTCGAAGCCGCATTCACCGGCCATTAGGTGGTCAAAATCACATTGGTGGGCGGATGACAATGTACGGCATCAGCCACTCATGGTAAGCATGGAATATTCTGGCTTCAGCGTACAAGACTCCACCCTAAGAGGGCGCCGTTCGCCCGACAATACGTGTCGAAAGAGTCACGAATGCTTTCTGCCCTCTAGGCCATTCGCGCGATAGGAGTCAAGGATGATATCTTCCTCGAAGAGCTTTATCACTGATCTTGATTCGTGTCGCTTGCCGGGCTTTGACTGTTATGGAAACAAGGGTGTTGGCGAGGAAGAGAAGATTTGCCATCAGGCTGACCCATCTGCTTTCGCAATTCTCGTTCCAGAACAGCAAAGAGTCTTTCCAAGATCCACTCGGCTTCATCCTTGTCGCCCATCAATGGCGAGCGATTCCCAAGCCAAGACCATTCCTTGATATCATCCTTATCTTTTGCAAACTGATTCTCCGATACATCATCCTGACTGCCTGATCCCTGATCGTCAACATTGTCAATGGATAGCGGATCTGATCTGTCCAAAATTGCAACCTCCATCCTATTCTTGTCCTTGATTGGTGCACGTCGATGATATCGTTGGTCATGCTCATCCTCACCCAACAACCGTAGGTAGTGTGCCCACTCTTCGTATGTAAATTTCTTGGGTGGTTCTTGGTTGACATATGAGTACATCTTTCTCATTTCCGATAACAGCATATGTCGGTAGTGATGCTCATCCTCCGCAACCTTGTCCCCTCGATCCCTAGCCGCCTGCTCGTCTTGCTTCTCTTCCTTTCCAAAGTCTGCAACATGCCGCGTACCTCCAACAACTTGTTGCTTCGGACCGTGATGTTCATCTTGTCGAGGTATATTTCTCATCATTGGTGGCTTCTCCTCTATATCTTCGTCACTCTTGACGCTCACTTTGTTTCCAATCTGAACCCCAGTGATTTTATACACGCCATATTTCAGCCTGTCACTTAGGCCACCTTGGTCACTAGGCAAAACAGTTATCTCGCCAAGGTAGAGGGTAAAGTCTTTGATGATTTTGACCACTGTGTCACCCATGTCAGAGATCAAAATAGTAAGAGCAGGCACCGCAAGCAGAGACCAAAATACAAAGAATGGTTTTCCACTGTTCGACTGAGGTGAGAAGTCGCCGTAGCCGATGGTTAGTAGAGAGGTGTAAGCGAAATATAGACTACCAAAATATGTCCAGCCCTGATTCTTCTCGGCTTCGCGAAAGACCACCGCGCCAATCACCCATAGCAAAACAAAAACGCCGCCAGACATCCCTAGGGAAATCCACTTCCGTTTCGCGGCTGCGAGATCCTGGACTGCTCGCATGGCTTCGAACTCTGCTCGTCTTCGTTCTATTTCTGAAATCCTCGAGCTCGTCGGATCCAGGGCCACCTTGGTGATGGTTTTATGTCTGAATCCGTATAGTCTTGATCCGGTAAATTTGTTGTCCATGTCACTGATCCGCTTCAACACCGACTTTCTGGTTTTCTCCGTCATCCTGGCATGGAGCTTTTCCTTCCCGCGGTCGAGCACCATGCTACGAATGCTGCCAATAACCAGGCCAAGGCTGACGATACCACCGATGGCATAGGGGAATAGAAGACTTCGGCCCAGATGTGTACTGGGAGCATAGTCGCCAATACCAACCGTCAGACACGTGAAATCAGCCCAGTATATAGCATCTAGAAATGTCCAGCCTTCAACATGGGAATAGATCGCCGCTCCAACTAGTAAGTACGCCATAAAGCTGATAGTCTGCAACATCAAAGTCCGCTGTGGCATTGTCAACTTGAACTCCCTGCTGTAGTGACCCTGGTATGCGCCCCAAACAGTGATGCACATCAGATAGCTGATCAATTGGTATAACCCAGCGGCAAATATTGCATAGTAATATGCCTGTGTCAAAGCTTGGTTCTCGACACCAGGGGCGCGGAAATGATGGCTTGCAACAGCAATGAGGGCGATCAGAAGTATCGAGGCGGTCCAGAAGCCAAGGATCGTGACAGGCTGCGCGGTAGAGAAGGATACACGGCGAGCCATGTTGAGCAGCAAAGAAATGTTGGCAGTCACGGCAAGTATAAGGGAGACAGCATTGACTGCAAGTAGCCTACTGCAAGGTCAGCAACGTACTGACGATCGCCTGCGGACGGACGGGCTGACTGACCATTTCGGATCTGGGATATCTTTACCATGCGCTTCTGTCCCTCCTGGAGGTATTTCGGTTCTCCAGTACTGAACCAGCGCGCAGACACTGAAGGTATTGGCCATTGGTCCAAACGTGCCGGCGAGGAGTGGAAATGCGGTGGAAGCATACCACCACCTCGCTGGTACCAAGAACGATTTCGCCCCCTCTCCCTCGTCCATGTTTTCTGAGTCCGACTCATCATAATGGTTCTCCACCTGCTTTGCACCTTCCGCTATCGGTTGGTGGAGACCGGGATCGTTCATTATCCAGGAGGATTTGGAGGTTTGAGTACGATAGCTGGCAGCAAGCAACAACGAGATCAATTCATGGTGGACGTGGCAGCAAAGCGTTCGCGTTCAAACCATATCTCTCCATCTTTTTCTCATGCTGCACACCAACAAACCCGCCTGATGCGACGTCTGATGCGAAACCTAACTTAGTTTGATGACAAAGTTCTTGGTGGGTCTAAAGCGAAGCTTGATTCGAGACCAGATGACTGCCTCCTCCTCGTGCCACGTTACTAGTACTACAGTGGCTTGCACCAAGTGCGGCTAGGAGATCGTAGCGTCCTCACCGGCTGCCACATGATCATTCGTAAAGGGAGATGCTTAGGGATCGGAGGGATACTCATCGTCAGAAAGAATCACATGGTACCGTTCTCCTTGGTTCACGACTACTGAAGGCAGGATACTCACGTCGTGAGTGGAGCAATGATCTGGTATTAGGACGACTAGGCGTCATTAGAAGCTACTGAGAACACAAGAAATGCAAGTGGTATCTTTCGCGCGCGACGAGACTGTCAATGGCAGGAAAAGGACCAAGCCTAGCTCCTTCTTCAATATCTCCCAGTTCTCTCGGTTGACCATCAGGTCATCGCTTTAACCTTCTCCTGCATAATTCAAACAGCAGGGGTAATTTGAGGGCCAGTGGTGCCGTCATGGACACCAGTTGCAGTACCATCGTTATTCACACCATTGTGATGTCCCTTCTCGTGCTGAGCGCCATGTAGATTCTCTCCGAGGGGGGTTTCGCCAGCGCCGCGAACATGAAGACCTAAGCGAGCAATGTCGGTGTGGCGATGACCCCAGAGGAGTAGGAAAGAGAAGACGGGCTTTGCCAAGAAGTCCAACACACCATAGAAGACAGCTTCTGAGTCCGAAGAAATGACGTTCCCACCTTCACCCAAACCCCAGGCGATTGGGTAGAGAAACCACAAGCCGATCGTCCAAACGCCACAGATAATGTATGTTCGATGGATGTCCGCTCCGAGGGCTTTGGCATATTGCCGACCTTCAGCGACAATGATGTAGACAACAACCAGGAAAGCAGCACAGCCAAAGGCGAAGAAACCCCACTTGTAGCGGGTTGCGACCAGAGTACCAACAAGACCGGTGACGATCATGATCTCATTCATGCAGATGGTGTATAAGATGGTCGGCCATGGCAGACGACAGGTGAGAAGAAGGTCCAGGAGAAGCAAAGGGGTGGTAAGAAACCAGTCGATATACCGGGCATAGAAGATCTGGCGCGTAGCTCCACCCACCCTCGGATTAGAGCGACGGAACTCGACCGGAATAGCGGCCCAGCCCAGGTTGGATCCCATTGTAAAGTAGGCAATGGCGGCGAAGAAGTTGATCAAGGCGCACAGATAGAAGAAGATGCGTTGCTGGCGAGGTTTGGTGCGTGACCAGCCAATGCAACCCAATGCCGCAGCGCCTACAATTCTGGTTAACAAGGGGAAACGAAGGTGAGCCGAATATGACACCTACCCATGACCGCAGCGATGGCAAAGAGGAAACTGCTACCACGAACGGTGATGTGGTTGTCGGCTCTGCCAGTACGGTTTTCGAAGCCGTTGACGTACACTGCGTCGTTACTAGGCATGTTGTTGGCGGTGTTGCTGAGCTGCTGGGTGGATGTGGTTCGGTCTGAGTATCGACAAGATACGATATCTGGTTCAGTAGAGGATGGAGTTTGTTGACTGAAGGTGAGGGTATTTCAAGGGAATGATGACAAGATTTATTAGAGTTAAGGGGGGGGTAATTCGTCACTGTCAAAGAGTGTTCTTTGTGGCTATGACGATGGCCTGCTTGTGTTCTGCTGTGACGCCAGGATTCTGCACCATAGATATATGCCACATGCCAAAAGTAGTCAACGGGTGAGTCAGTCTGTTAGAGGATCCGCATGCTCCGCAAACACCACGCATTTGGTGCTCTCATCAAGTTTTCACAAGCCTCCAGTCTTATACTGCGTACTTGGGCTGTCCTGTGATTAGCTACACGCCATCGGAAATGTGAAAACTGGGGTGTTTGGGCTTCGTCCAACGGCTACATCATCGTACTGAGTTCAAACGGCCCACCAAAGAGTCTGTCTAATACGCGTCTAATGTTCAGCTGATGTGCTGAATGGTTCGGTACTATGTGTGATAAAAGTGATGTCAATCCACAGATGCCCTACTGATGGGTCCCACTTATTTAGTCGTGTCGGTCCGAGTAATGATTGACGTTGCATTCCATAGAAGCCTTCTCGCCCCTCTCCCCCCTCTCCGAAAGAGCTTACTTCAACTGCATCCGTCAAATCATCAAAGGTAGTCGAAAACTAAAGCAAGGAATCTGCTGCACCTCGAACGGGTTCCCCAGCCAGACCGCTCCTTGGCGGCCAGAATAGTGAATAGGATGACAGGGCTGCCCTTGAACTCTCCCTCCAAACAATCACCGATATGACCACCATTTTTTCGATCGAAGATGATACGGATGGGTCTGCCAGCTTTTCCTGTGTAACGCTAACCCATATGCTTTCATCTACTCGTCCTCGTCAAACCATCTCTGACAATAATTATGTATGGTTGTGAATGCTGTCAGGATAGAACATGTCTGATCGTGGAGGGAATGCCTGATACGAAACCTCAGTGTGCAATCTAAATTTCTGGTCTGCGATGGTATGACATTATCCAAGAGGAACCTTAGGAAAGAGGAACGAGGTGTGCACGCATCATGCATCATGAGGGGACGGATGAGAATATCCATCGCTGATTGTGGTGTGAATGAATGGTTCTCTGCATGGATATTCGTACTCGTGTACTAGTTGATGAATCATGCCCGAAATATCCTTGTTCTCGAGATTCCGAAGTCATGTGCACCCAGGGAAGCAAGGGTAAATTGGTGCTTTCTCATCATTAGGTGTGATTAACGTGACAAGTTAGTTATGCAGAGAGGACGATAAAAATCCAAAGAATGTGGTGGCCCGTGCCCAAGCTCCCCTAAGCTCCAGCCCCAGCTCCAGCCCCCGCCCCAGTGCAGTACTATGTACGTAGTACAGAACCAGGCCCGCCTATACTTGCTCATGGGTGAATTTGGTATAGTTCCCGCTGCTGAATACGGAGTAGATCGAGTCTTTTACGCGGCATTCGAGTCACTGCCAATGATCCTATCCAGAAGAGCCGGTGCGCACAAAGATCTCTTCATACAGGCTACCCCGTTACTCGACGATAACGGCAGGCATCTCCAATACTGCGCGCCATATCTAACGCTCTACTTAACCATTATCCAATATGCCATTAATGTCACCAATACTGCGACCAGTAGCAAGCTAGTCGTTGACGGTCCACTTATGATTCGGTCAATGTCCTTCACTTGGACCTTCTCACTCTTGCCTCTGGGCTCTTGCCACCCGTTTCTGGTCCACGGCACAGCCATACGAAGTTTGTCCAAGATCTGCTCAGTGGTGATCTTGCTGCCTGCTAGACAGATTGGCACGCCGGTTCCAGGATGCGTGCTCGCACCGACGAAATACAGATCGTTGTACTTGGCATGTTTGGTGTTCGGTCGGAAGCTGAGCACATTGAAGAAACTGTGGCTGAGCCCGAGAATAGCCCCCTTGTCTAGGTTAAATTTCTCTTTCCACGTCCCAGGTGTATTGATCTCCTCGTGAAGGATGGAATGGCGCATCTTGGCTCCGGTCCGTGTTTCGATGGTCGTAAGAACTGTTTCCCGCGCTTTGTTTACCATGGCATTCCAGTCTTGTTGGCTTTGCGGATTTAGACCCGCGGAGGCGCGATTCTCGAGCAAGTGCCCCACTGGAACCAGGACGACAACCGTATCCTTGCCTTCCGGTGCCGCACTTGGATCAACTCGACTTGGGACATTGACGTAGAAGGAGGGTTCTTGCGGAATGAGTTGGCGCTTGAAGATGTCATCGAAGGACTCTTTATAGTCGTCGGCTAGGAAAATGTTATGACATGTCAACTCCGGTACCATCTTGTTTATTGCCCAGTAGAACGAGATGGAGCTGCAGGAGGCGTCCTTCTTGGAAAGTGATTTTGCTTTGCTGCTGGAAGGGAGAAGGTGGTTGTACGCATAAACGAGGTCGGCATTCACCACTACGATATCTGCAGACAACTGTTCGCCGCTGGAAAGAGTGACACCTTCTGCTCGCTTTCCATCTGAGGACAGATTGACCTGAGACACCCCGGTAGAAAGCCGGTATTCAACACCCATTCGTTTACCGACTTTCACGAGAGCGTCTAGCACCACGTGGAAGCCACCTCTCGGATACCAGATACCTTCTGCCAGCTCGGTGTATTGGAGCAGACTGTAGGTGCCTGGGGCATCAAATGGAGACATGCCCATATACATGCTGCCAAAGGTGAAGACGCGACGAAGTCGCTCGGTGTAGAAGTATTGAGAAGCGCGGTAGTAAATACTTTCGAAGGGATGAAGCGTGAAAATGTATCGAAGAAATGTGGGACGTGCAAGGTGTAGCAGGCTGGTAAAGTTCTTGCGAAGGACGTGGATGATACTTTGCTCATAGTGTCTATGTGATTCTTGCAGAAATCCAAGATATCGTTCGAATCCGTCTATGCCTTCCCATTTTTCAATTTCTTTTTTCATCCGCGACGTGTCTGTCGAGAGTTCAAAGGATTCGCCATCCCCGAACCAAAGATTGTAGTTGGGTTCGCACTTCAACAACTCTACGCCTTCTGCTTCGAGGGAGGTACCGAGATCATAGAATGCTTCTTGAAAGAGACGGGGTAGTAGTAAGAGCGAGGGACCCTGATCAAAGCGCTGCAACTGTTAGCGTAACACCACCAGAATAGATCGCTGAGACAACATACATATCCATTGTGGTGTATCAGCGAGCATCGGCCTCCGGTAAAGTCATTCTTCTCCAGGACAGTGACCTTGAAGCCTGCTTTGGCAAGTCTGGCAGCAGTAGCAATTCCTCCGGCCCCAGCGCCAACGACGATAGCACTTTTCTGTCGAGCCATGCTTAAGGAATGATGGTACAGCGAGAAGAAAAAAGTGACAGGAAAGTTATGGTAAGCGTTTCCATCACATGCATGGAAAACCCAAGTGATGACAACACCACTTTTTTTGGAGGCGCGCCAAACCTGCAACAGCAGGTCCGGTCGTTGCTCAGCCTCTCAAACCCGAATCCTTTGTTGAAAGGTCGAGCCATGTTGACACTTAACATGATTGTTCAGGAGGGCCGAAAACATGTGGAAAACAATGTCAAGATTAGCCTTTCGCTTCCTACATATCCAGGGGATAATCGAGATCTAACAACCCCGCATCTGCCATCCATGTCAAGCTCGGAGACTTCTCCAACCAGATGCGTGTCATCTGAGGCTCTTACGCAGGTGGCACAGCGTAGTACGGAATGAGTTGTGCAGTCACAAACGTCTGTCTATATGCTGTCTAATTGCGCCGATCTGATCTAAAACGCCATGCCCCAGTTTCACTTTTACAATTTTAGCCTGTTTTCACTTGCTTCTCTGGTATCGCGCCTGATCTTCGACCTGTCAAAGCCCCCCATCCGACAAGCAGCCGACGTGGCTTTGGTACGCTTGCACGATTGCGTCGTCCGCTACCTGATAACTCCTCAAGTGGCCCACCTGCAGCCATCTTCTCGACCAAAACTCTTCCGATTTCCATGTAGCTTTCAACAGCGACGCGAATGCCTGCTCGTGCATATTGAGGCAAATCTTCGATGGCTCCTCGGCTCTCTTTGTAGATTGCGAAAGCATTGTCCAGCAGGCGCTTCCTCGTTTCAGCCACGCCGTCTGCTCTGCCGTGTGTCTCGATCACCTGTTCTGGGGTGGTTCCTTGTTCACGAAGCCAATCGGTCGGTAGGTAGCATCTTCCATCTCTAGCGTCCACGTAAACGTCTCGAGCAATGTTTGTATATTGCAGGGCGAGGCCCATTTTGGCACCATTCTTGAGACATCTATCACGAATGCTCATGGAGGAAAACGAGTTTTGCTTGGTGTTTGAACCAGGCTCATGGTGATAGACCAGGTGAAGACACAGCTCCGCCACGGTGGAAGCCACACGAGACGCGTAGATTTCGAGGTCAGATGCTGTCTTGATTGGGAATCTGGCCGCTTCCTTGTTTGGAACTTTCCCTTTGAGCCGAGAGAAGTCGACATCAGACGTAAATCCTTCGAGAAGAGAGAAGAGAGGCTGCGAAGGCAAGGCCTGGGTTGGAAGGAGTGCCAATATCGCACGACTGGCTGGCGGAAATGGTGCCAGTGCTTCGTCAAGCTTCCTCTTGGAATGATCCGCCGAATATGAAGTCTCCAAAAAGACAGTAAGATGAGAAATCCAGCGCTCTGCTTCTTCTGCAGAACCAGCATTGTCAACCAGATCATCCCCAACGCGACAGAATGCATACAACAGAATGAGGTCCAATCGTAGACGACCGCTAAAAATCGAGCTTGCGAGATAAAAGGAGCGGGATTTGGCAGAGAGATTCTTCAGAGCCTCTCTGATGCCATTGATCCGTGAAGTGTCGTATTCTGCCGGCGAGAGGAACAATGCTTGCATCAGTAGGCTGGGACTGGGGAAGGTTGGGACAACTGGCACTTTGTCTGGAAATGCCTCCACCACTGCCAAGGCGTTCTCAAAAGCGGTAAGTCCAAAGACAACCAGCGTGTTTGTGACCAGAAAGAACAACGCTTCCTCAACCTCCAGTCCGGGCCACATCTGCAGACCAACTTTGGTCCCAGATTCTATGGTCCAAGTACCACGCAGTAATGCAATGGTGTCAACAATCCATAGATATGCTGTTGGCAGGATGATGGGCAACCAGGTTTTCGATCTTGGAAGCGTTAACAATGGTTGATAGGCAAGAGACCAGAGCGCGAAGACCACAGGACCGGCCCAAACGCATATCAGAGCAAGATACGTGCCTTTGGACGATGGAAGGGTACTGAAGTAGTAGGAGGACAGGGTGAAGCAGGCGAAGAAGACTTGGCCAAGCCTTTTCCGCCATCGGAAATATTGAACATGACTCTTCCGTGGGTCAGTGTCATCGAAGAGGTACGTCAGGTAGACGGTGGGTTTGTTGACCAGTATGTACAAGAGCGAGGTCATGTAGGTCTGGATGACAAAGAAGAACAACTCCTCGAGAGGAATCTCGCAGAGTGTGGGACCAAGGATTCCATGGGGCGGGTATGTCCATACTTTGGTGTGTATTAAGTAGGAGTCCCATGGGATGGTGTAGATGACAGCGACCTTGTAGAGAATGAGAATAAGGTTTGCGCGTGTTCACGGAATGTACATACGGAAACAAGGAAGACGATCTTGTACAGGTCGATTTTCGTGACCAAAGGACGTAGTATAATGGTTAGTATTACTGCTGGGGGTATCGTGAAAATCAGATGTCTGCAACACCATCAGTACCAACACAGCAGCCTCAAGAAAAAATCTGCTTTCTCACATCCACGCGTAGTCTAAACCCATAACTTGTAGACGTCACGACTCTAGAAGTCAAAATTCAAAAAAGCGCGTATTGAGTTGCCGGAGGACCAAAAGTGCTGGAGCAAAGACGTCAAAAGACTTTACCGAGTAGACCACAAAGCATACTTGCAAGGAAAACACAACCCTGACTCTTCCCACCTCGCCGTCGACACGGACGATATATATATCATCGGGATTATTAAAAGTCCGACCGGGGCTGAAAGTCGTGATGCTAACGTGATGCTAGCGCGATGTTAGATGACGCCCAGGAGACGGATTTGTTGCCAAGAGATCTCTGGTGCATTTTCGGGTGGCTTGAGGCAAAAGCAGCAGAGCAGCAGGCAGGAGCAGGAGCAGGATTTTACCGCAAGTTCTACTTAGCTTAGTAAGGTGAGCGGCCCCCATCTGCAACAGATCCCCATCCGCAACGGTTTACGGCCGGTATCTTAGTTCCTACCAAATCCCAGGCCACCACAGCTCGGCGCATTGTACAAAGATATGTCAAAAGCACCACAGAGATGGATAGAATGGCTAGAATCAAGTACTATTCGCTTATATGTTGTGTATTTGAGCGGTTTGAATCAACTCTATCTCCAAAATAGGGCCAGCAACGTTTGAATAATGGAAATATGCTCGGAGACCCAACCCGCCCAGTGATTCTGTTGCACGCAGGCATCTGTTGCACATGGGGGCTGGTCATGTCCAGCTCCATTCCCATCGTAGCTCCATGCTCCAAAGCTCATTTTCAAGTTTGCCATCAACATGGCATCATCCCTACAAGCAGACAGAGCTAAAGTGTGTAGTACAGCACTAGTTGGTCTCAGCATCATGATCGTCCATCTTCTCCGCTTTTCGTCAGGCAGCTGCACAGCATGCAAACCTATGCACACCTTTGTTCACTACGTAGTACTAGTACTAGCTGGCAGTTAGCGGGAAGAACCTGGGGGGCTGCCAACCGCCTCGTGCTTCAAGCTGTTGTACCAACTATGCATTCAATCAGAGCTTCCTCAGAGTCGCAGTATAAAAGTATTACAACAACTCCGTACCAGATGCAACAGGAATAAACCATTGCCCTCCGACCGTCAATCTTTGCACTTCGTCTGAATCCCTCGCAAGATGCACACGCATTGAGCTCCTCTTCGGTCCCTATACCGCCCATCAACAGCACCCCTTTCCCCGCATCTCAGTCCTCTGACGTCTACCGGCCGATGTCCCTCACCTTCGTTCTGCTACCACACTCATGACACCTGTGGAATCAAGAAAGAGGAAGAGAGAAGCACCACACCCATATCTCTCGGGCAATTTCGCTCCAATCCTGAAAACCCAGCCACTCACGCGCTGCAGCTATACTGGTGTGATTCCGCAGGAGCTGTGTGGAGGCGAGTATGTTCGAAATGGTGGAAATCCTGTGGTGAACGAGGACTTGGGCAGAGATGCTCATTGGTTTGACGGCGATGGCATGCTTGCTGGAGTCGCTTTCCAGCGCACCGAGAAAGGCGTGCAACCTCATTTCGTCAATCAATTCATCCTCACCGACCTCTACCTATCGAGCGTGTCGTCGTCCATCAGGACTCCAATTCTGCCTAGCATTGCGACACTAGTCAATCCGCTCACAACATTGTTCCACATCATCTTGCGGGTTCTAAGAGCTCACTTTCTTGTGTTCCTTTCGAGGCTACCCGGCTCTCCACAAGCCATCAAGAAAATCAGCGTTGCCAATACTGGTGTACTCTTTCATGATGGAAGGGCACTAGCTACGTGTGAGAGTGGACCACCAATGCGCGTTGCTCTTCCTGGACTTGAGACCGTTGGCTGGTACAATGGGAAGCGAGCAGAGGGCGACAGAGGGGGTGAAGATGGTGCAGGGTTTGGTGGCTCGGGCCTCTTCAGTTTCCTGAAAGAATGGACTACTGCCCATCCTCGAGTCGACCCCAATACCGGCGAGCTCATTTTGTTTCATTCAACTTACTTGCCACCATACGTGCATTATTCGTGCTTACCTGCCACCTACCCACCCGCCATACCCTCGACTCCTTTGAACGTACCAACCAGGCTTATGAACGCCCCTGTACCTGGGGTGTCTTCTGCCAAAATGATGCACGATTTCGGCGTGTCATTCGATCACACCGTCATTCTAGATCTCCCGCTGTCCCTCGATCCCCTGAATCTGGCTAAAAACAAGCCAGTCGTTGCTTACGACCCTACCGGCCGGTCAAGGTTTGGTGTCTTCCCTCGCTATAACCCCCACCAGATCCGCTGGTTTGAGACAGCTGCTTGTTGCATCTTTCATACAGCAAACACGTGGGATGATAAGGTTGTTGACAGGAGCACCGGTGTAATGAAGACCGCCGCTGTCAATATGTTGGCCTGTCGTTTGACCTCTGCTTCGGTGGTTTTCTCGACTGGAAACATTGCAGCACCGCAGCCGCTTCGGACGACGGTATCGCAAGAAGAAGAGCAATGTCGCTTGTACTATTATCAATTTGACATGGATCAACATGAGTCGCAAAACAAAATTCGCTACCAGTTTGCTCTTAGCGCGGTATCCTTCGAATTCCCATCCATGAGAGATGACATGTCCATGTCAGCTGCCAAGTACATTTATGGGACGTCCCTCTCCTACGGATCATTTGATGCTGCTCTAGGTCGAACCGCCAAGATTGACTGTTTGGTCAAAATACACGCGGAGGTTCTGATCGCAAGAGGCAAGGCAAGAACAGATCTGGAGCCTGTTTCTGGTTGTGTCGACACGCGATCAGTGGAGGACGTTCTTTCCTCGACCCTTGAGGACGATCCAATACAGATCTTCCAAATGCCCCAAGGCTACTATTGCCAGGAATCACGATTCGTGGCAAAAGCACAGGCACAAGATGAAGATGACGGATATCTGCTCACCTATGTTTTCGACGAGTCCCAGCTGGATGATCGTGGCGAATGCTTGCCCAACGCGAAGAGCGAGCTGTGGATCATCGATGCCAAGGATATGACGACGGTGGTCGGCAAGGTGATGCTGCCGCAAAGAGTTCCCTATGGTCTGCATGGCAACTGGTTCTCTGAAGATCAAGTCCTCGGCCAGAGACCGATTGAGACCATCCGGCAACTTCCTTCGGCCAAACCATCATCGGTCGTGCAAGCGGGTCCTGACATCTGGGCCCGATGTCGAAAGTTTATCGAGTCTTCCCTCGGCTAGCAAAAATACATGCACAAAGTAGTACTCTCAGTTATGGACAGCGTGTCAGGCAGGCGTTTGGAACCGAGACCCGAGTTCGTGTAATACCAGTAATACGTTTGATTGCCAAAAAATTATATACCTATGTTCTCATGCTCTGCTCTAATGTACATAATGAAAGCGTACCCGACGTTTACGACATCCAAGTAACAGTACAGTATCATCATTATCTTATCATGCTATTTCCTCTTCGCTTGAAGTGCCACAGCGGTAGCCTGTTCCCCGGTATCTGGCGTGAAGTGAAGCCAGAGCCCAAGCTATGAGGAATCCTGCTGCTTCCAGTCTCAACGCACACACTTGCTGAACGCCCAGACTGAGCACAGTCAGGATGTGCAGTGGCTGCTCGCCCGTGCCCCATGACATTGCCCCCTCGCCCTCTTAAGTCACCCGGCCGGCGAGCCGATGCCCCGAGTGAGTAATATTATTTCTGAATCTGAGTCCAGACGCATGAGCATAGTTGCTTCTTTGGTTTGTGTCTCTCTTCAGAAGACAGCCACTGCTGAATCCACTGATTTACGAGGAGAGGGGTGACACCCCCGTTCATGGGTAGTGTACCCAACCACCAGCAACATCCCGAAGAGCGCATCGGCAGTATGAGGACTTCCCGAGATTGTCAGAGCACACAGCTGTCGTGCGCATACCGTTTGCGGTGTGTGCTGTAACCTCTTTTCTGCGGTGTCACTGGTTGAGTGGCTACGTGAGTGGGGATCTTCGGTAGCATGTGGACACCTTTGGGGAGTTGAAGGCCTTGAGTGGGGTCCTGATCAGGCTCTGGGTTGTCGGCGGTAGACTTCTGTGGTGTCTTCTGCATTGTGTGGGAGCGAGATGGTTAGGGGGGTTTCAGTGTGTGATACGAGATGGACATGGTGAAGACAATTCGTCAAACTGAATACTGGAGAGTGCCATGCAGGGCTCGCGTGAGCTCTGGGTTGGTATATGCATGCGTCTGTCTTGTCTGGTTTGATCTTGTGAGTGGGAATGCCTCGGTCGTCGGCTGCAAGGGGAAGGGATAGCAATGGAAGAGAATGTGTGACTTCGGCCGGTGGGCTGGCGCGATATCTGGACATGAGTTTACTCTCTACCGCCAAGGCTCGAGAGCGAGAGGTCTGTCGTCCGGACCTTGGTGGCCAAGGAAACGAGCGGTAGCTAAGAACAAGAAGGAATGCATAGGATGCATTGATTGGGCAGACGGCTCTTTGTGGAGCAGCTGGAAAGAAATTAGAAATGCGTCTTCCAAAGTCACGCGGGCAGCTCCTGCAGGACAGAATTGTCCAGCTTGGAGGTCAAATGGCGCATTGCACTGTTCACAGAAATGCCGGATTGTCTCGAGGCACAATGTTTTGCATGAGACCAATGAGAGAGAGAATGTCAAAGCGAATTGGCTGTATATTAGGCCGCCCTGCAGATGTTAGTGAGCATCTTCGTGAGACGAATAGTAGATCACCACTTTGATCAGTCGAGAACGCAGCGCAGCGCACCAGGTGACTCGAGCAGAAGATGTGTAATATCATCTGAATAGGGGTACATGATGTAAGTTATCATTGGCTGGCAGTAAGTGCTAATGCAATTTATATCAGTGTAATGTGCGTCTCTACTTACATGGAAAAGATGTGAGGCTGCTTTTTGCTTCTTTCACGACGACCAATGATCATTTGCGGTATTTTATTGGGGTTTGTGGGATACACAGCATGGTACTTCTGCATGATCGTTGGGGTTACTCGTATAGGTAAAGGTGCTTTGTATAACCACATGTTCAAGGAGGGGGTTTGTAGCGGATGAGGGGCTTTGATGGACAGCTTGGGATGGTACGGTATAAGATGGTCTTATATTTGCTTGCGCTAATGTAGGGTGAGCAGCACACAACAGCCCTGGTAACGCATCATTGTGCCTACTACTAGTAGTTACTAGTAGCTGCCCCGGTGAAACAATTGGTGTCGCTCTTGGCATATCTTATTACGACAGATTATCTGGTGGTATCCGTCATTCAATTTAATGGTTATCATTCTCCTTTATTTTGTCACTTGTATCGTGGCGAGAGCGACACCAATTGTTTCCACGGGTCTCAGCCCTAAGGCCTTTAACTAAACCATAATTTCAGTCAAAGGTCTCTGTAATCAGTCACCCTATTTATGATTTCGGGTTTAAAACTTCATGGCCATAAGTGTAGATAGAAGATAGCTGATATATCATTGTTAAAACAGAACCATGAGAATTCACCTGAGTCTAGTATAAAGTAGCCGATTTGGTGTTCACTCTTTTTGGTTGGGTGCAAAGTGTTGTGCACGATACAGTTGCGTTACTGGTTACCCTGCGTTAGTCCTACCAGCTAGTGCTCTCCAGAAGCCGTTCAGAGAGACCGACGAAAGCACCACTCAAGAATTGACAACTCTTATCATTGTTTTAAGCTTGACTTTCCATCAGCCAGCTTACTTCATCCCCTGCTCAAAGGTCAATCCCGTATACACTACCCTCAAACTCAACTCGTGGCTACTCTTGCCACCCTGGCTACTGCTCGCGTGGTGGGTAGGTATCAGTCACGGCCTGTCTCCCCCATCCATTATCTTACCCATCTTGAGCGGTACATTGACCTACGTCTTCACCCGTCAGATTTCTGCATATCCCTTATAGACATAACCCTTCCCTTCGTCCATCCTGAGGGCGAGCCACGCCTTGATGACCCCACCTGTCACTGGGAAGGGACGGCTCCACTCTGCGAGCCTGATGCAAGTATGGATGGAGTCAGGTTAAACGGGAGAAAGGGCCGAAGGCAAGTGTTGTACCTTGGGTGGGAAGGTCTATTGCTGCCCATGCTATCCACCGGCTGCCGCGGGGGGACAGGACCTCTAGTTGCCCACGTTTCATACCTCTGGCGGGTGCCTTTGTTTTGTCATTCCCTCTTCATGTTTATTCTTGATTTTCAGCCTTCTTGATCATCTTCTTGCTTTTCTGGTTGATATCGCTTCTGCCCATATAGTACTGTCTAGTCTTGCCGGACATAGGTCATGAGCGCATCACGTACGTGACAATGATCTCCAACGGATGGATAGCTTTTCGACAGTGATGGTTGTTAACCTGGGCTTCCTTATTGACTCTCGCTTTATGTCCAGCTCTTATAGTTCAATATGTGTGTAGGTAGATCTAATTTAGCTTTCTTGTGAAATAAACAAGCTTGAAACAACGACTTCCTCGTTCGGACTTTACCAGAGCAGCCATTTCAGGGCTCCAGACTTTCAGTAGACAAGTCGTCAAATAGCAGTGTCATGTATGTGTGTCGGATTTTTCGACGGCTTTTGCAGCAAGAGGAGCTTACAGCCAGGCGAATATCTCCTTTTCTAGCATAATAGCAAAGCACAAAGGTTCGCGTTCATAGTAAGAACCAACACCTATCAGATGGTAGCTAGAAGCTCACTGGTCAATTTGCAATAATATGAGCAGGCTTGGCAAGATGTAAGCATTCTCGAGACATCCGCACCCTCCCATCTATGTTACTTATTTATCACTCACGATATTCCCAACTATGGCGTTCCAAGGGCCGTCTCTGAGTCGAGTCATGAGACGCTTTTCACGGTTCTCGCCACAGCACGCACAAGAAGCATCTCCCTGGAACAGCTCGGCATGTCGAAGACAGTTCTCCTCAGCTCTATCTATATCAACCCGGCCACACAGAAGGCCCCTTTCACCACGGTGTCTCTTCCTACAACATCCTTCCCGCGCTTTCTCCCACTCCTCCCCACGCCATGCAAGAACGATTCAACAGGCCAAAGCCCTCAACCGCACCGGCGTGCGTATTTTCCTCCGTGGTAATTACCGTCTTCCCCCTCTAACTGCATATTACAGCCATTCACACTAAAATCAGCCCTCATATTCTGCGCAACGGGCGCCGCCATGATATTCTACTTCCAATACGAAAAAGCGCGATTGGAGCGGCAGAGGATAGTGGAGATGAGCAAAGGATATGGGAAGCCGAAGGTGGGAGGACCATTTACGCTGAAGGACACGAATGGCAACGAGTTCACGGAAAAGGATTTACTGGGAAAATACACACTGGTAGAGAGCCGCCGCAACTCCTGGGACCGTTGATGCTCGTGTGCTAACTCTTGAGGGGAAATATGTAGATCTACTTCGGCTTCAGTCACTGCCCGGATATCTGCCCCGACGAACTCGACAAGATGGCTGAAGCTATCGACATAATTCAAGCCCGCGCGCCGAACGTTCTCCGATCCATATTCGTCTCCTGCGACCCGGCGCGCGATACCCCCAGCGTCCTTAAGTCCTACCTTTCCGAGTTCCACCCCTCTCTCATCGGTCTCTCTGGGACCTGGGAGCAAACCAAGCACATCTGCAAACAGTACCGCGTCTATTTCTCGACCCCGCCGGATGTAAAGCCCAACGAGGAGGATTATCTGGTCGATCATAGTATTTACTTCTACGTGATGGATCCAGAGGGTGATTTTGTCGAATGTATTGGGCGTCAAGATACACCGGAAAGTGCGGCTGGGATTGTGCTGCAACATGTCCGGGATTGGAAAAGGGAGGGGAAGAAGATTGATGAGACGCCGCTGCCGTATTTGAGTCAGGTACAGGGTGTTGTAGGGACACCAGCATGATACATGGAAATATTATATAAGGAAAGACGCAGTGCAGGGAGATGCGTATACAGTCCGGAATGAACCAATGAAGAACTCTCCAAACTTCAAAACCTGCTAGACTAGTTCTCTAACATTGCTATGGCGTGTGGATGTCTATCTGGCTCACAATCCGAGCAGCGTGATTATAAACCTTACAATGGACTGGGAAGCAAAACCAAAGACGTCGGATACCACCATTGCGGATCGATCACCTTGATCTTGAGATGGCGGTAGTGAGAGACGGGCTCAGCGCCGCTCTATTTTGAGGAAGACTGCTCCCATGGAGCGCAGAAAGGTACCTCACATTCTGGTTCTAATGAAAAGCCCAAGTGGATGAAGCCCATAGGCCAGGGCAGCTTACAAAATACGGCGACGTTGATACTGCATGTCAAAGTACTCCTACCTCGAGACTTTGTACAGGAGTCATCCCGACACTTCTGGCTGTTCCTGCAGCCCTCGCTCCTGATGCGATATATTGTCTCTCCGCTCGATAGTCAATAGAGGTAGTGGAATTCCTATTTGGGAAACCAAGTGTCGTAGGTCGAGCACTACGGCCCAGGACTTTGGATAACTATATCATCGTCTCTCTGGTGCGTTCGTCATCACCTCGAGGCATAGCAATGAGTAGAATTACAAATGCACAAGCCGGAATGTCTTTCAGGTCTATGCCGAGTCTGTTACCAACAGCAGCTAGTCCATGCAACCATCAGTCGGTCTCCCATACTGGCTTGGGGAGTCTGATTTCGTCGTATTGGCGCTGTTATTGAGATGTGTTATCGTCAAGGTCTGGATGCAGATGAACCTGTCCAGAAGTCATCACTTTCGGCCCAGATCTTACACCCACTGCCTATAGAGTAGCCAGCCACGTTACTCTTTTAAAGGCTCCTTGTTCCTGAATTTCTGAAAGGAAAATGATGATTGAGCCGGTTACTCGGCAACTACCTTGCTGCAATGCTGATCTATCAATGATGATCACCTCAGCTGAGCCCCTTCATTCGTGTTGGTTCAAGTCGACTGACCGGAAGACGTTTCGTACTGAGTTGCGTCGATTCGGAAGCAAGGTTTAGGGTTTTCCTCTTTCGAGTAACTAGCTCTTACAGAAGTAATGCATTTTGGTTTTCCGTTTGACGTCCCAGAAATCTCATTGCATTTGAGGATCCTTCGGTATTTAGGATCCAAGATTGATTCCACCGGGTCGCTGGTGATCGTGAGCTAGCTACTCTTTCTGATTAGTTGTCTCAGTCTCGGCCAAATCGGAATACGGCGGCGGAGCTTCCATGGATGGAGGAATTGATGCCTGCTTTGCCACCTTTGCAGAGAGGGCTCCCGCCCGCGAACTGATGACAAACCTCTCGGGGCTGATCAAAGTATCGAAGTACTTCTCTTGCACACGATCAATACTTCTGTGGAGTCTCTTTCTGGTGTCGTACAAGTCCGACTTGGCGATTAGCTTGTCCACTAGGATACGGTCCTTGACTAAAGCCGAGGCGAGAGATGCCCATTCACATCTGTCAATGAGAGGTTGAATGTCACTTGCAGGCTGGCCATTTCTTGCAGCCGCCGCACGAAGTTTGACTGCGACATGGTCCGGATCAAGCAGCATCTCATGTAGAGTAGAAGTCACATTTCCGTGATAAAATTTCTCCGTATCATCGAGCTTGATTCCCAGAAACTGTGCGGCTTGTTCGCGATCTGTCGGATCTCCTTGGCTTCTTGCGAGCCAAACGAGATGCGGACTGACGACATAAGGGATATCGAGATAGTCCTCAAGTAATTTGCTTGTCACAAATTGCCGTTGCATAGACATGCGAGTATAAAGCACAGCTGCGCTGTCGAAACTTGGAAACATTTTGGCCCAGTAGTCATCGAGAGCATCCATGAGGGCCTGGATGTGTTGGGTGGTTTCTCGGATGTTCGCAGGCTCCACCTTCATGATCTCGCCATAGATCTTGATAGTGGACTCTAGTTGCGCTATGAAGCGGGGGGTTCCGATATTGGCTGCCTTCAAGGCTGAAAGTCTACTGACTCTGGCCGTCAAAACCTGCTTCACAGCATCCATTTCTGCGAAGTTATCGTTGGGACGATTGTTAGAATGTGGGAGGGGGGTGAGGATGAGCTCGTCGGTTGGGAATTCGGTAACGGGTTGTTTGATGGGTGGCAGTCAGGAAATTGAAGCGAGGTTGTATGCCGCTGATGACAAGTTGCTAACTGATACTAGTACCTGTCACGGAGATATTTAGCTCCAACCCGACAAGTCATGTGATGCGGTTTCAACAGAAAACATGGGCGAAACTTCACTTGTACTGCCATGATCCTACCTTTGACTTCCCATTATTCGTCTAGTCTCAGCTCCCAACAGAAACGCGACACCACCGGTGCCATCTCACGGCAGAAATGAATTGGATGAGGGCACTCAAGTTTCTGCATCTCGCTGGCCCATTCTTCTGGCTCAGATGTCCCGTGATGCAGCTTGGTGAGACTCATTGGTGCCTTCTTCGGTTGCCTGAAGAGGCTTTTCAACACAATTCGTGTCAGGTACAGTGACATTGAACGAGTTTCTACTCAGAATTCCAGACGCGGGTGAATATGTTGAAGTGCTCCTTCTTCATGCTCTCTGATCCCTGAATTTAAGGATGAAGATTGCAAAGGTATAAAGTGATGAGTTGGCCCTCATGCATCAAAACCATCATTACCTTCAAGGCCATTGATTGAAATATTCAGTTAGTACTAAAGACTTCACTTTCGATTTGAGAAACGTTTCTTTGATCGAGTCAACCAAAACCTTCCATCGAAGAAGCATCCATAGCAGTCTATCCGATAACAACATCATGGAGACTTGTCCTGTTCAGACTTGTCCTGTGCAGCCTTCTCCTATTCAGGCTTTTCCTGTTACGACAAGACTCTTTGTTGCCGTATCGGTTTTAACATGCATGAACTTCAGTGGTGCCGTTGCATGGTGGTTAGTACGTGGGCCACGGTTCAGTAAACTTGCCGACGAAATAGTTGATGGGCGAGCAACACCACAGGGCGTACAAAATTTTCAAGACGATGTTCGAGATTCACGGGTGGCGGCTATATCAGTCCGCGCAGTCATCATAGTATTAAAGCTTGGAGGACATGCACGGGAAGCTAAAGCGCTGAACGAACAGCTGCGAATCGCAGGGCGCGGAAGACCAATGGCAATGGATCCTGAATCTAGGAGCGTTACCAGCCAAGTGGTTGAAGGAGTGCAAGCCTCACTACCTCAGACAGAAACACCAATGGTAGGAGAGAATGTGGTCCTAGGTAGGGACATACTGCTTCAGGAAAGGAGGCTGGCCCAGAGCCCAAGACCTTCAACATCCTCCGAGCGTCCTCCAGCTGCGAGCCAGCGTCCCTCAGCCTCCACAGCGGCTCTTGCAACCTCGAGGCCGAATACCCCAACTTCAAGCCCTCGACCTTCAACTTCGATCATCCGTCCTTCAACTCCCAACCCACGTGGTACAATCTCTACTTCGAGTCCTTCAACCCAGCCTCAACAACCTTCAACCCCAACTCAACGGCCTTCAATCCCAGGCTCACATCCCCCAGGCCCAACTCCACGTTCTTCCACCTCAACCAAGACAAGTTGGGAGACCGGACGGACTCACTGGTCTGCCGCGTCTGCTAGTCCAGAAAACCCGCTTAGCAACACATTTGACCACTCCAGCCCTTACGGGGCAGCGGTCAACAACCTGAGAAACGCTCGCAATGCTAGCAGCTAGTGTCCGAGACCTAAATGCAGTATGATCGCATGGTATACCCAGCATATATCATCGGGAAGAGGATAATGAGGATCAGATGAAAGAAGCTGAGTATTTCGCTTATGGATACTCAAAAGAAACAAGAGGTCATCAACATCAATTTCATTGTATGACTCAGTCTTGGATAAAAGAATCTGTCTCACGGCATTCACAATTAATTAGGAACCATGGCGTACAATGAAAAAGAATGTCTTCGAGTTAGAAGGGGTAAGACTTTGGGCCTAGGAGTATGAAGCAGATGCTGTGCACCGAAATGACTTGAATCTCTTTGCTGGACCGTTCCCTTCCGTCTTTGAGTGTGGAATGAATGATGGCGAGTAAAGTGACCGGAAACGAAATGATCCGAGTTCGAATAACTCAGTTCTTATCTGCTAGCCATGGTAATCAGTAACCATTTGTCCGACCTTTTTCTCAGTCCACCGAAAGAGTGAGGGTGAATGAGACACCCAGCCAAGTGGAAGCATGTCCCAACTCACATCACAAGGAAATCTCCAATGTGTTTCCAAAAACAGAAAAAGCTGGTAGACCACGTATGATAGGGAAGCGCACCTCTGTTGCCAGACGGCATGCCTCACCCGAAGTCGTCGCGCGCGGTGGGCATTGGCAGTCACCAGATACTTAATGTCCGGTTGCCAGGTGACTACGAGCCTTGAACTAAGTGTGCTTGGCCAATGATTCGGAGAGGTAGTCTGACCTAGTCTTAGCTTAAACGCAAATGCATATGGGAGAGAGTCGTCCGCTTTCTTTTGTGATAGGATCAGGGATCCAAGATCCGAGGGGCTGATATCAGTCACTGAGATTGGACGCTGGAGTCTGGCGATATGTAAAGGAGCGGAGAAATGAGGGAGAAGAGATGATGAGTCTGATTGAGAGATGAGATTGAGAGGGGGAGGGGGGATGTAATGCTCATGACACAGACCGATCAAGAGAGCAGCTAGATAAATGGAGGGGATGAGTGAGTAAGCAAGCAAGGACAGTAGATCCTCTTCCTTATAGACAAGACTCACCTGCATCTGCACGCCTCTCATCACCTCACTCGCCCTTCCAGTCCAATCGCTTACTCACTCACTCACCCAACTGAGCACTTTCCATTCCTTTTCCTTCCCCCTACTCTCCTCAAACCCATCCCGAACACGCCCCAAGGCTAATCCAAACCCAAACACTCCCACCCCTCCCCACCAACGTAAACAGAAATCAGATTCGTTCCCTTCTCCCAGTTTAGCCCCAGCTCTATTGGGTTTAACACGTCCAAACATCAGCTACCATGCACTCTTCTCCAGCTCTTCCTTTATCCTTAAAAAAGTCCTCATTCCTATTTACTGCGCCGCCATCTCATCCACAGACAGTGTCCTTCAATCATACCACCTTTACTTTATCAGAAGTCTTGTGCTCAGATCCGACACTGCCTTCACTATTCAATCCGACCATTGGCTTTTATAACACTGACATTGTCTTCTCCAGAATCAGTGACGAGTCAGTCAATTATACCATAACACCCCGAACGATACCGGGTCCTTCGTGTCTCTCCCGGCCGTCGGCTCACATGCTGTTGGCCCGGGCCACTAGTAGCGATTCGTCTAGACGTTGCGATGCTGCCTCCGTGGCTGTGATGTGTCATCCCTCGAAAAGCCCCTCATCAAGCCGGCACGAAGCTGCGAGACGGCCCGACCAATCTAGTACTAATCACCATGGTCGCTCTACCGTGGCGGCACAGCAGTCGCTGAAAAATCGTGCCCACAGGATTCTTCATGTAGGAGACGATGAGCGTGTCAATGCCGCTCTCCGGAGAGGCGGGAACATCTTCCCACTAGCATGGAGCGGCATTCGTAACACAGCTTGCGATCATATGCTTGTAGTGACCAGCCATTCCGAATTTCTTTGAGACCATCTCTCGCCTCAGCACTCTTCTGTAGCGCGCCTATATAAGTACATAACTGTTATCGAGTGCCAAACATCAACTAGTAGATAGCCATCTTTGCGATGGAATCGATGAAGCTGTCGGAGAAGCGTAGAGATGGGGCTTTGAGTCATTGCTGAATATGTTCAACGATGCTTGCGCTGTAGAGGATTACATCATTGAAGAGCTCTACTTTGTTCGTAAAGGAGCAGTGTGCAGCTGCAATGGCAAGTATGCCATCCAACAGCCTTCGGTCCCTAATTGCGTATTGCAGCCAGGTCTTCGGCATGATTAATTGCCACGAGAGAACGTTAAGTTAGTATGTGATGTACTTCTTGTCCTTTGGACTCAGGTTGATGGTAGAGGTTTCAATAAGAGCGCTACTCGACTCCCACCCACAAACTTTGGGACGTCAGAAATTGGTCAGACACACGCAGATATGGGAAAGACTGAATTTTTTGCATCAGGGAAGCCTTACCTGCGTTTGCAAACCCTAGAACCACGATGCTTAGATTCGCGCGTTTGCTGGCCGTGTAGGCTGATGCCTCGCCCGGGCGAAGGGCAGATTAGAGCAAGACTGCCGGTTGAGCAGATCGAGAAGAGCGGTGAGACAAAGCAGCGGGTTCACCCACCAGGGAACTGATTCGTAAAGTACCAAGCTGCGTCGGTGGAGGGACGGTGGAACAAGGCAACCAATGTAAAACATAACAGCAAACGAGAGACGTATATGTGAGTGATGGGAGATATCAGAAAACGCTGCTCACACATCATCACTGTATAAACATTAATAAAGCTTATTTGTCCCTGTCACCGCTCTCGTCTTACGTGGAGGGAGTACTTACAGTCTGTTCAGCACATTTCTCCATCAGCAGTTTATGCCACTCAGAGTCCTTGATTTGTCTGACAACAGTACTCACTCTCAGTTTAGTATATCTCCCAGTCAGCAATCTAAGCCAGTGTCCTTGATACGTCTCATGGGGATACTCACAGGGTGTTCAGCGCCTCTTCCGGTCAGGGGTCTATACTCTTTAGTGTCCTTGATTCGTCTGATAAAAGTACTCCCAAGCTGTTTAGCGTGTCTCCCCGGGTCTTGCCTCAAAATCAGTGTAGGGCCCCAGGCAGTGTGTTTCCGTTTTTCTCTTCTGCTGCCCGAATTACGGATCAGCGTGCTTTAAAGAGGTTCCTATCGAATCAGCTGGAGTGGAGCGATGTAAAACGAAGAATCTGCCTTGACCTTCCAGTCTGCGATTCAGCAACGGGTACTGCACGTGCTATGTTGCCGTCACTATACGCTCAGGATTTGAACGGATAATATGGAGGATACTGCTCCTCTCCCTCCTTACCGCTCCCTCTTCTCCCGCCCTGCTGTCCCTGTGCCCTGCCTCAGCGGTCTCCTTCTGTTCGCCAAACCGTTGACCTTTTGGGTCAAAATTTTGTCCTGCCGCCTTCTTCCTTCAGCTGCTTGCTCAGTAGTTCCTCGGGCTTCATCTTGACGAGTCGCCCGGCGCTGATCTCACCCTTCAGCACCCGCCCTTTGAGTTCCGAGTTGGACATGTTCCGTAAATTTGGGTACAGCGTTGTACCTCAAAGTGCAGTCGCACTCAAGAACGATCCATTTGCTCCAGATTTATTTTCTGGAGATCGTTTCTCAAGCAGTATCTTTCCATGATCTCTTCCATGCAGCCATCCTGATGGCCGGCATCTACCTTGCTCGAGGGCTTCCTGAGCAGGGCTTTGAATTCTCGAAGCAGATCTGTCGCAGCATCATTGTCGGCGACATTAGTCTTCATGATATGTTCAATCTCACATGTGACCACGGCAATAGCAAATCATCTTACATTTTCATCGTCGCCTTTAAGAGTCATTACGAAGTCGCGCCAAGATATGCTATACTGAGCTCATTCTTCAATTCTGTCTCGTACTCGGACAGCATGAATCCGATTGATTTGAGGTAAGGAAGACCACCTGGACGGCAGAAAACCTGAGATAACGATTATTACAGACCCGGATAAGCCGAGGGGGTGGAAACGGGCGAAACTTACGCAGCGGTTGCAGCAAAAATCTCAACCCGTTTGGTAAGACGATCCGGGATGATCAGTGACAACAATAAAGAAAATCCAGCTGTGAAGCAGGCAAGTGTGCCGAGCCTTCCGCCCATACTCTGGACATTGATAAGGATGACAATGGCGACGACGGGCAGAAGCGACGAGAGCACCATGGTGAGAACGAAGACTGGATACTGGAGATGATTTGAATCGTACTCGTATGGGGATGAGGCGCGCCTGTCAGGATCGTCCGGAGTTTTGTTCCTTTTGCCGATCAAGCGGTGGTACGGCTTATGGAGGTATCGGAGGAGCCATCTCGTGATCAGATCTTGGGGGGGGTGTGGATGTAGGCTGACGAAGTCGTCTCGGAGACGGTCTTCTTGCCAAATGTTCTGCTCCAGACCAAGGAGCCGATCTGATGGTTCTATGTATCGGTACAGAATATTCTCCAAGACGCTCCATCTACTTCTTTGGGGCTTTTGGAGTTGTTTGGTCTCGGCGTAGAGTAGGATCGCTTGATCTAGTAAGTTTCATTCATTAGCTTAGACATTCATGTCTTTCCTTAGATAATTGGGATGGTTTAATTCCAATTACTGTACTCCTTTATTTTTTCTCTAATCTTTAAAATCAGACGCATCTGCGCATTTACATCTGTACTTCTATCCGTACTCTCTTGATAGACTCTATCCAACGTTTTCCAATCGAATGCGTAATATTTGCGTTCTCCCTCGGTGCTTGTCAAGTCTTTGGCGAGTTGTTCTTGGAATTCCCATTCCAAAATATGTAGTTCGGCTTGCAAGTAGAGAAGATTCTGGGCGTTCAGGATATCGAATCGACGAAAGATGCTGAGGTCGTCATGTTTTGACATGGTAAGGGCTATTTTCTCGTAACCCGTGATCCGTCTTAGTGGCGTTGTCATCTTGACGGTGATAAGTCCAATTTCCTCCAATTTGAGACTTTAATGACACAAGATTTCAACCTGATGCCTAAGTGTGAGAGTGAGCTGTCAGGAAAGAAATAGCTCTAGAACAAGTCAACATCCTTTCTGATTATGTCAAACTTGCTAACGCAACCTGGATAAGTCCATACGGCCAAGTGGCCCTTTTTGGTCCTCCGGTCCTACTGCTGTTGAGGCAGATGTGCGGCTGGAGGTAGTTTGGCCCAAGGCGTCCAGACCGAATGGCTGCATTGCCGCCTGAACACGTCAAGATTCAAGGTCCCCTGACTAGAACCAAAATGAATTGGTGCCCCAATTTGACTCGCTTCCATCCAAGTAGTTGGTGAGTCTTCCTCGGCTCTCACCGTGCCGATCAATATTGCTGCCCAAAGGAGGCGAGATTTCAAATTCTGCCCGGCCCAAGGCTGACTACCACAGTGGAATTGGTGGCATATATAGCTGGCAAGATGCCACCTTCTCAACTCCCGAATTAGCATTTCCGCCGCCGCATTGACATTACAGCTCATCGCAGCTACAATCAACCTTAACTAAAACCACAGGATTGCCGCACTTCGCTTAAATGACCTCATCCTACCTTAAGTTAAAATATGATCCAAGGGGTTTCCCTCTTGAGGAGACGGCTGAATATGGCTTCGGCCCCAGGATGGAACGTCTATATCCAAGATCCTATCCATCACATCCAGGGGAAAATCGACTAGATCCAAGAACCAATGGATTATATCTAAGGGAAGATCGACTAGATCCAAGAACCAATGAATTATATCTAAGGGGAAATCAAATAAGCCCACCGTTGTCCAAGAATCGAGATACCAGGATGATGTTGCGAGATCGTGGGACGGGACTGCGAGATACTAGGCTGGGAAGTCAAGATATATGTGATGGAAACGGTACATCTTCAACAATTCCCAAACTCAAACAAGACCTTTGAATCAAAATACCCTCTAACTTTCCCTTAAAGCAGACGATAGGGCTACATACCTCAACCAGCCTTCTATCCCTAACACAGACACAATCAAATATATGCTTTCCCAGATTGAACGGTCCCCTACATACGCTTTCCAGCGTAGCGATGGATCCCTCATAAAAGCGCGAGTAACCGAAGACAGTGTAGCCAATCAGAACTTCATGTCGGAGGAATTTGTCCGTGGCTGCCTGGGTGTTCAACCTCGAGGTTACAATGGAGGCCCCATCAGCACTGTTGCAGGGCCCTACTTGCCATCAGAAACAATCGATATTACTCCACTGAGACAAGACCACTCCAAAATCTCGATCGAGTCGGTGGATAAGCTGATCTATGAAGACCTTGGACAAGAATACCGCGTCCGAGGCGTGATAAAAGCCGAGATAAGGGTTCCGAAGCCTGGCCATCCTTATGCATTCATAGCTACCGAGCGACAACCATTCCATCTCGCCCCGCCTGGTTCATACGGTGATGCGCTAATCGGTCAAGCCAGGCCGCCGAAGCCTAATGAGAATAGGTTCATCTACTGGACATTCCAAGAGATCCAAGAACTTAGGAAATTGTCCGAGAGTAAGCCCCTAAAATAACCTCGTCAATTTCTAGCCTATTTCTGACCGAAAAGCAGCGGCACTGCTGAATCTACTACAAGAAGAGCAGAATCATTACCAAGAATCTATGAATCGTGCTAGGCAGCACGGCTACCCACAACCAAGTTCGGCTTCATACCAAGCAGTGCTGACTGTGGCTAGAGAACGCGGCCTGGTTCCATGATACTGCCGACGGTACTGAACGAACAAAAGACCAGGGTAAATGCACTTGAAAGACTATGTGTCGGACATGGTTGTGATTGGCTGGCTCAGGTGACCTTCTAGTCTATGGACCCTGACTTTCATAGTTCGTTTATTTCTTGTCAGAGGGGAATACCTCTCTTAAATTCCGCGAGTTTCTGCGGCGTTATGGTGCGGACAGGATTGGGGAGGGGTTCCATTTTGTGGAGGTGCGTAGGTTGGTCGGGGGAGTGGAAGGATTCAATGGCTATGCCAACGGTGCGGGTGAGGTTGATGGAGAGTGGGTAACGGGGATATAGATATCATTCTTCTCGTTGGCGTTGTCGTTTTCGTTGTTCGGTTGGGGAGGAAGATGTGGAAGTATAGCGAGCCGCTTCTTCTGAATCCCAGCTTTCTGGGTAAGGACGTGCTTTCTCGTTGCACAAGGCGTTGTGCTGTTAGGGGGAGATGGTGAATCCGGGACTACCACTGTACACGTTGTGGAGGTAGTGTTGGGGGGTAGGGCGTCAGGTCGATGCATGCGTCGCCTAGCTTGGTGTCGAAATAGTCTGTACTTGTCACCGGCGCTCAGTTGACAGGGAAGGAATGAAATATTACGTTTCTTACCGTCGATATTGTCGGTAGCAATACTAAGTGTGGTCTCTCCATCTGTGATCGTTCCACCTCCGCTCCCGCCGTGATATTGGCCAAGGGCGTTCCGGTTTTGATCATCAAAAATGTCGATCAAGACTCAAGGGTGGACCGAGGGGTGGTTCTCGTGGGATAGAGTGAAGGAATGGAAGGCTTGCCCGAAATAATGGCTGGAATGATGGTAGCATTTTATTGCACGCTGTATCGATGAGACTCACACACACACAGAGAAAGAGAGAGAGAGAGAGAGAGAGAGATGTCTTACACCGAGTACGGGATGTAATGACTGTGGATATACACCGAGTACGGGATGTAATGACTGTGGATAGGAGAGAAGGACGCAGAACTCCAGTTTTGATAGCTATGACTTCCAAATTTAAAAGCAGACTCAACAGTAAAAGCGATCAGTAGGCCATTCGACTGATGACTTGATAGTACTTTCCACCTCTTTCTTTTTCTTTTCCGAAATACAAACCTCCAAGTGGCACAGCAGCCATAACAAGATGCCAACATAATTTATCATCCGCTTATCAATGAATGCCCATGTAATTTCTATCCAACATGACATCTATGTCATTATTATCAACAGCAATTCACGACACGTCTCCAAGTTTACTGCCCAGATCCGAAGTCCTTCACAGCCTCTTACCTTAAAAGAGACTAGTTGAATTGACCGCGTCTGCTATGCCGAGGATCGTGGTGGTAAGTGCCTGTTGTGGAGAAACTCCAAGGTGAGCCGGCGCCAGCAGGGTTGCTGTCGAACACGTAGGTAACGGCCGGACCACCATCGTGAGCAGATTCTTGTTGCCGCGGAGAATCTGGCTGTGCTACATTGAAATTGAATGGCGCCGTACTTTGCAACAGAAACCCGGTGTTTTGTGTAGGGCGGCGTGGTGAGCTGTGTTGTGAGTTTTGATATGGGGGAGGACGGGAAGGTGGAGACCTCCACTCGGCGGAAGTAGAGCCTGTAATGCGATGGCCAGAGAGTCCAAAACTGGCGACGGCACCATAATCAGGAGCACTGTGACCGAGCATCCCATAGCCAGTACCATTGAAGTCTGCAAGGGTATAGCTCGGAGCGATATAGCGATGTGAATCGTACGCTGGCGTATTTTGTTCATGTATACTTCGAGCTGTGATGTGGTCATATGCCAATACGGGTGGTAGCAGCAACCAATCTTGTGGACTTTGTGGCTGAGTTACAGTTGAAAATCTCGGAAGATTGACTAGCGGATGGTGGTAAGGACTATGGCTAGGGAAATCCCATGTCTGCACGAGCGACTGTCCTTCGACCGGCTGATATTGAGTTGTGGTCTCTTGATGTGGTGGTAATCGTGTATCCAGGTTCAATAAGTTGGGTGATGTGTAATCCGAATTAAAACTCACGTACTGCCTCCGGCCAGAACGGTCCCTATCTAACGGCCCAGATAAAATCGCACGAAACGGGTGATCCGATATGGAAATGGGATCTCTAGATGGGTTGTCTTCAATCATTTCAGGAGGAGGGGAGCCTTCGAAGGCACCGGAGGGCCGGCTGGAAGCCATGAAAATAGCGTCCAAGATCTGTATTGTATTCTCTTTTATCTAAGTCAAAGAGGCTTGACCGGCAATTGAGCCAGCGGCCAACCAGAAACCGTGCAACTTTATATAAGGCAGTCTCGGTTTGCAACCAGGCGCACCGCATTCCAACAAGGCTGATGGCGTGAGTGTTTGCTGTCCAAAAGTCCATCCTAAGAGCTGAGAAGATCAAACGAGGGCATTGTTAAGTCTCTTAATACGGCGCGGCTTTTGATGGCGAGGCTCAATACTGCCCATTGGATTTGACTTGATAGTTCTCCGTTCTGATTAGCTGCTAGAGAACGACGGTCGTACTTTGCCGTCACCAAACGAAGCGAGAATCAGCCTATGACGAGTGGCATAAATGACTCCCATAGCCATGGCTGTGACGCCTGTAAGGAAACACGTCCAGAGACCCAAGCCCAAATATACTGCTTTCTTGAAAACAGACTGTACGACCATGGCATCATTCTCGAAAGGGAAGTCAACTTCCGGAAGAGGCAATTGCAGAATCTCGCAGAGCGGGCCCCATCCAGTTTTGATATCATAATAGTGGAGTTTCTCCTTGGGAATAACTCTTTCCAAGTAGTCATAATGCCGAGAATAGCAATACGGTCCAGGAACTAGTTCATCGTTGGTATAATAAAGTTCACCATAACGGCCATAGCGGTTAAGGTCAACATGCTCTGCCCAGTGTCGTAGACCAGGAACCCAGAAAAAGAGCATGTTAGTGTAGGCCTTCTTATCAGATTTTTGAACAAGCGGGGCAATGCTCTGCCACCATTTTCTTCGTCTCGAGTAGTGACAATAATCTTCGCATCAGGGTATAGGTCCATCAATATTTCGGCGTACATATTGCAAGGTGCATCTGCCACTGCTACAAAACCCTCCAACTGTTTTACTATGAGGAACTTCTGATAGACCCGCTCTGCAGTAGACACAGAGGCTGGATTGTGACGCATTTTGTATGAGATACGGAGGATCTCATTCCACCTCAGCATATGAATGTCGCTTCCTGCTAAAAGATTGGCTCCACCATGGTAGGAGGGCCCTTGCAATAATATTTCCAGAGCTCCTGAGAATGATGCAGTACCAGTGCGGGACACTCCAAGGCCCAGAACCTGCATTTGTGTGGTAGGTGGACCAGGTTTGGAAGGTCCTTGACCCATGGCTCTGGCAACGCAAGACTCGGAAGGTTGAGACACTATCTGACGAAAAGGCTCGTAGCCACATCCAATTCCACCAACAACTGGGAACAACCAAGCTCTGATGTTCTTTCAGTGCGCTTCTTACTTGCCAGGGCCGTCTGAAGACAAAGCCGACAGCGATTTCCTTTTGGACGTGATGAGCAAGAGGCGCCTACAGGCAGGCGGCCGTCCAAGGGCGGGTCGGCCATCATCTTATCAACTTTCTCCATCCGAACTGTACGTGATAGTACAGCTGCTAGGAAATCCGAGCCGAGGTTTCAAGGAATCGATGCCGCAAAGACCACTTCGAGGGTGGGCCAAGAACGGACAAGTTCAGGTTGCTATTGGTGAAATCTGAGGGGAATGTAGCTGGCAGCTGCAGGCCAAGCCGTCATGGGTGTGTGTCCTCCGCTCGTGGTGGACATCTGTAAGAAGATACTCCGTACCTTGGCAGCCATATGCAACTGCTGGAGCAAGACATGACAAATACGAATTCGTTGTCATCCAAATCTGATTTTTAAGAGTTGATGCATGTTGTTTATGTTGTTACACGCTGTGGAGCAGAAACAGCTCAATGCATGGGTTGGTGATTCGACGCTGCAACCTCTTTGGTTATATCCACCTTTCTGGCGTAAATTTTGACATTTTTCTCATTAGTGGCTGAAACTCGGTGGTGCAGGTGTCTAAATTGGTCTCAACAAATGACAGACACCTATTGCAACCTTCAGCCCATTAAAGATGTTTGCTAGATCACCTCTGGGTTAGAGGTTCAGACTTGTTATTCTACTGCGACACTGATTGGGCACAATCCCGTGAGCCACATGTTTATCTGCCAATTATAAGCTCTTATCCGTCATCGCGTTTGCAACAACCAATTAGAAAAATGTCAAAATTTACGCCAGCAAGGTGGATAACTTGAAGTCAAGATTGGCCCGGATATGAGATGACAAGTTCAATACACTTTTTGTCGCTTGAAGACGGTAGAAGTTTCATGAGATATTGTTCCTGTCTAACTTGCCATTCGTTGAAGAGCAATCTCTCCTTTGATTGTGACAGCCACACGACTTTGGGATGTGCAATTGGCCCTGTAAATCTCCAGAGCTTTTTATCACTTGGCGTCATTGATTTGCTACGTACGTAGTAGAAATCTTCGCTAGCGTGCCATGAAAGAATCGTTCAAAGGCCGAGAGATGTCCTTTGCCCTGGACATGCTTCTACCGGGCTGTTCTTAGTCGTCAATCAGCTCCTCTTCATGATGTCTTATCGCATCCAAAGCCTTACTCGTATATCAACTTGCGCTCATGCCTCGAGTGAATTATTGCCATTGATACTCTATAACAGATAGTGGCATAAGCATGGTAGGAAGACGTCGTGCACTGGCAATGGAAAAAATCCGGCATAGTGCGCCATTTCTGAAGAAACCCAGTGAAGACAGGCAAGAAGCCGCCGACACTGCAAGTGACTATGATAAGAGATATGAATAACCTGCGAGAATGATAGAAAAGTGGTAAGGGAGGGACTAAAAAATGACAGGGAACACAAGGGTACACTCAGTACCGAATTCTTGTCACACTGAAAAGTATTTAAGTATGGAGAAATCAAAGATGGGCAGGACGAGAATCAGCATTTCCATTGCTCCCCAAGGACAAATGCCCATATAACAGCAGAAAGAACAAATGATCTACTATTTCTGTGGTCGATTGAACGAGGACAACTCACCAATGTAATGTCCCTCCGGCCGTGACGTGACCGCACCATCTTCCCACCTTCATTTTCCGCCACTTTCGGTGACAAGTTCGCCTTCCATAAACTCGCCATCCATAATCCCGTAGACGTGAGCTTGGCCAACAATCCGATAAAGACGTTCCCTGTCCGGACGAAGAAGAAAACGGAAACTCTAAACCATCGATAATCACAATAAGACCACACTGGGTGACGTTGCTACGGGCACCAAGGCCCAAGATGCCCTTCCTTGGAGACAAAGTATTTCCTGCCTGTGCTGAACATCTTGTATTGCTTCGACAAGGCGAATGGTCTCTGGAATTGGACGATACCAGTCCGGCGCCCACATAAGTAACCGGCGAATAGAGGGTAAGGCGGTGTATACTGGTCTATCAAAGAGGGATACGTGCTCTCTGGTGGATCAGAAAGGCTGCTTGTACCCCCATAATGCATCGACTAAGTATTACACGCTGCATGCTTCTTCCTCGGTGATCTGCAGAAAGACTGTCCTCACATGAGGTGCAATCAAGCAGCTCTTGAATGTTCAGAACGAGGATAAGCCTTACAGCATTTCCCGCCTCCTTGGACCAAGTGGTTGATAGCGGTCCACCTGCAACTGAGACACGTCTTAGCAGCCATCCAAGCAGATTGGAGCTGTCCATATGTCAGAAGACAGGATTCGGAAGGACGCCATAGTTCTGGCTCAGGCTCAGGCTCGCACGAGCAACTGACATGGTTGTGGCTTGCTGGGGATGTTGGTCATATACAAGGTACTGCGAGAGACTGAATGTAAATATTGACACAGTAATAGTCTAAACAGATGAATGGGAGCCATCAGCTCAATGAATGTTCAGAGCCCTCGGGGCAAGTAAAAAGCAACAGGGCCTGTAACGCCATGCTATACTGGAGGATAGTGAAGCTGTGTCAAGAGTCCAAAAGCCATCCGAACAAAATCAGATACATGTAAGTATATACAGCCAAAGTCTCTTGCTGGTGAGGCTGCATGGCGCAAACTCAATGCCGCTCATACCAATGCTTGCCCTTTGTCTTCTCGGTCGTCTTCCTTGTCAGGGCTGGTCGGCCTGCATCGCCATCTGCACCATTCTGTCTCCCGATTCCATTCGGCCTTTGATCATCATCAGACTTCTCGTTCACCTTCTTATCATTCCCTAAGCCTAGCGCCTCCTGACCCTTCTCTATGTCGTTTTCAACCTCCCGCTCTTCCACGGGTATCCCTTCAACCTTCTTGATCTTCTTTCCTTCTCTGAAGACCACTATTCCAGCTATGATGGCAACGATGCAGCCAATGGTGATCAAGAACCCTGTGACCCAACTCGGTCTTGTGAACCGGTTCAGGCCCCACATTGCGCCTGCAAGACAAGCCTGAAAGACCGTGTTGAGAACGTACATCCACACAACAACATCGATCATGATTGGCTTGGTTGGTGGTGCTCTCACACCAGTCAGGGGAGCCGGGGGCATAGCCGTCGCTGGGAGTGGGACTGCGGGATTCTTCTCCAGCTCTGCAATTTCTTCGTCGCTCCATTCCGGGGGGGAGTCATCTTTCTTTGGATTCTTCTTGGTGTAAACAGGTGGTGGACCGAGGAGCGGATCTAAATTTTCGGAACCGGGCAGGCGAAACCACCCGCGGTTGTGACCAGCAAGACGACGGAAGTAGTCATACTTCTTAAACACTCGCCATTGTATGAGGTAGTAGAAATCACGGAATCGCCATGGGATCAATCCAAAACCTGTGACGCAGAATAGAGCATTCAGGATTTGACTGTCAATCTCAATCCAGATCTGGCGAGCACTGTTAGGGTCGCTGCAGCTCGGATGGCACATTGCTGGAGCAGCTTGGAGAAGGACGAAGAAGATCATGGCGCCCCAGGCCACGACATTGAGGCTGTAGATTGTGACGAGAAACCCGAAAGGAGTAAGGAAGAACTTCCAGAAGGCTTTAAGGCCAATGACAGTAGACTGCCACCAGGTATGCTTTGGAGGGAACCGATACCCATTTGGGTATGTGCCTGTCTCGTCTGGGCCGATCGGTGGCGTAGAATCTGCGAGTCGTTGATCAGAGGTAGAGGACGACCGAGGAGACTCGGTGGTAATGGCGGTGTCGCCGGGCTTGTTATCTACAGCATGGTCCGCTCGGGATGTCTCTGGTATTGTGGATGGCACTCTGTTTGCCTCGTCCAGGAACTCAGAGTCAGTGGTAGCGAAGAAGTCTCCTCGCTCGTCCACTTTAGATGACAATGGCGATGTGGTGCTTCTTCTGTGCCGTGAAGCGCTGAATGAGTTCTCTCGTGACGCTTTTCTCCTCTGAATCTGGTGTGGAGTATGTCCTCTCTCCTCCATCTGCCCTTCTTCTGTCCAACCATCAGCGCAGAAGCTGCCTTTTCTGATCTCACCCAGTGTCGGAATCTTGGACGCAACTTCGGCAGTCGCCTGCCACATGCCATACGGAGGGTTGCTGCTGAGAAATGACTCGGTCAGTGACGTAGTCCGTCTTCTTCGAGGTGGACCGGAGCCATTGGAGTTTGTCCTTTTGAGCGGGGCGGACTCTGCTTTTGTGTGTGCTGGTTGCGGCGTAGAAGCTCCCGGCGTAATGTTTTGAGGCAGAGAAGGAAACGGCTCGGTGTTCTCATGGGAGGCCATGAATGGTATAAAGACTGTTCAGTGACGTGGATAAGAGGCAAAGATCACGTCAATTCGTCCGCATAGGTACAGAAACGCGCAAGTTGTTCGTTTGGAGCACACAGCATTGGTATAAAGGGCTGAAGGACATAGGATGAAGGAGTGGATGCCGCCTCCAGTCAAGTTGACAGCATCAAAATTTATCAACAAACATCGGCCGAAAAGGAGTCTTCAAAGATAATAATGTATAAACAAGAATTTGAAGCGTGTTGACAACAACTTGGTTCAATGCTGGAGAAGTTTGGCGCACCGCCAGCCGTGGCGTAATTATTTCTGCTACCGCCGACGTCAACAATTGCCAAGGGAAAGAGTCCGGGCGTTTTGGGAGCAGTAGGCCCCTTGGCCCTAATTCGCAGGGGGTGCGATCAGCGTTCCCTGCATGGCCGGGGCATGCGGCTACTGTAACTAACTAGTCACTTTGTCTGTGTCCTATTGGTTCTCCGGCTTCTTCATGTGTCAATCAGAGGACCGCTAGCCAGGCTCTGGGCCGGAATCATCCACAGTCAGGGTGGAGACGTCACAGAGATCAGTTGCTGCATGGCCCTGCTCCACAGTTACAAGCGAGTTATATGTGTAGATACGGTGGACCACACCGGCATCTATTCAATAAGGGCATTTGGAGGCCGTCTCGACTTGTTTGACCAATATGAGCGTGCAGATTCAGATAGCTAGGTACTTTAGGCTGGTGAGATCGCTGATCAACTTCTCAGTCCTGTTCGCCTATTACCAAGCTGTGCAGGGTGACCGCAAGCCCGGGACTTCTAAACTTCCACTCCTTGTGCACCCTTGTTTTTCTTCGATCGCCGTCTCTTTTTCTTTGTTGCACCAGTACGAATATCACCATCAACATCTACGTGTCTCTCTTTGGTATCCATGGTTTTGTCGTCGCCATTCGTAGCAGATGTTGTTGAAAGTATTGGTCCCTCTTCATTACCAAACGTATCCCTACGCCACTGTCTCAACCTAGCTTTCTTTCCCAAACGTTTCTGGTCTCTCCTCTTTTTGCTGGGATCCCTGAATGCAGCCAGTTTCTTCAAGCCCGCGTACTCGTTCAATTGACTGTCGTCCGCCATGAGGATATCTCGAGCGGACAAGCCGAAACTGACAGGCGAGGTCTCACGGTAGCGGAAGCCAGCAGCATCCTTTTGCTGGCCTGCAAGTGCAGTATCAAGTTCTAAACGGTCGTCCACAAGCTGCTCGATTATTCTTCGTTCCTTTCGTGCCTCCTTTTTCTTATCTTGGCGATTACTGTATTGCTCTGCTGTGGACTCACTGCGGCTATTGATGCCATTGATGCCGTTCGGTTGCTCTAAATCTTCTTCAGGCGCCTCGTCGGAAAGCTCGAAAGTGGGATTCCCATCTTCAAAATCTGGGACCAGGTCATTGATTTCAATATCGTCCTCCCATTTTGGTTTCTTTGGCTTTCGACCTCTCTTTCTCGGTATGTGTGGGCTCTCGTCACTGCCAACATCTTCCTGCGCGTAGTATGCTTCACCGAATCTCTTCTGCATTTCCTCCTCCCATTTGGCATCGTTCCAGTCATCATCCATGAATCTAGCCCAGTCTTCTGACGACAGTCCCGCACCGCCCTTCAGACCTGCTGCCTTCTTTATCTTGCGAAGCTTTTCCTCGGCTTCGTCGATCTTTAGCTTTCGCAGCCGAGCTTTTTCTTGAGCTCTCTCGCGTTTTGCTGCTTCCTTTTTCTCTCCTTCAGCTTCGCGCTGCTTCTTTCGAGAATTTTTCTCTTCTCGTCGGACCGAGTATCTTGCAGCTATATCACGGGCATGTGAGACAAGCTTCTCATTTGACTTTGCTGGATCCTCAAACCGAAAATTATAGGCTTCCTCGAATTCTTCGGCCCGGCGATCCTCTTCATCATCGTCCGACTCGAATGGTTGAAACTGCGCGCGTTCTGTCGGTACCCATGCTCTGGCAGCCATGAAGTTGGAAAGGAATGTGTCGGGATCTTTTTCTGCATCTTCAACGTCCAACAGTGGTTGCTCGGCCTTCTCCATGTTTCGTGGCTTTTTAACGAGGAAACCATCGTCAGCGTGATCAACTTTCATGTCGTCCTCGGAAGAGTCTGCAGAGTCTTCCGCCGTGGCAGCATGGATCTCACCAACGATTGACCGCTTCAGCGCTTCCTGCTCTTGGTTGTAGCTTAGGGTGGTATGTCGGATTTCGGTTGATTGGTCTTTGGCATCGTTTAATAGATTGTTTCGGTGATAGTCGCGCAAGAACATGGGCTTCTCCTTCTTTGCTTCAGTCTGATCACCTTGCTCACTGGATTTCTCTTCAATCTGTGTGTAGAAAGTAGTATTCTTGTCGTAGACCCGTGGATCTTTAGAACGAATAGCACTCAGGGTGGCGAGAATCTCCGAGTCCAATGCCTCTGTTGCCAACTCTCCGGCATCGTCTTCCTCTTCGGAATCAGATGTCGAATCCTCATTCGAGCTGACAGCACTGCCATCGTCCTCGTCTGGGCGCTTGCGCTTCAGTTGTTTGTTTGTAAGCTTGTCTTCTACTTCATTCCATTAAATCAGTACTTGGACGCCAGGCATTCGTAGACCGGTACACATACACCGTCGCAATTCTTCTCTTTTCTTGTTGTGAGTGAACTTTCGCGCATACTCCTCGTTGACTTTGAACTCTGTGCTGTTCTGAAGCTGGACTCCTCCATCCTCACTATCTGAGCCATCGCTATTCAAGAAATCCTTCACCATGGTGAGCAGTTCTTCGCCACAATGAGAATGGCCTGTGGGGGTATTTCAGAATCCTTCGACTTTTTTCCTTCCCAAGAAACTTTCTGTGTCACAAGTGTTCAGGGTCCAGAGCTCCCGTTGATGGCAGGTGTGCCGAACATCTGTGCTTCCGATTCTGGCCAATGATGTATGTACTCGGTGAAATTGTCCAGGTGCAGTATTGACGGATCTTGTATTAGTTGGATTTTTCTCTTTGTTTCGCTTTGTATATTGATTGATTTCTGCATATTATCATGATTGCATGGTATTCGCACTCGAACACTTTGTTCTCGCTCCGTCCCCAGGATGTCACCGACACAACAAGCATCTCTTGCCCAGGTGGGGAAGCTCATCAATCTCATGTATGAACTCTGGTCCCATGAAATGACCACGATTCTGACTCTACCTACAGACCCGTGGGCCTGAAGGAAGCCGCGCTGGACTCGCCTACCTTCCGAGCAACCACCATATACTTCTCTGAACAGGTTGATCTAATCGAGAAATGGGCCGAGGAGTATCTGAAGTCGACCAACAAGCTGATTTCCGAGTCCGCTACACTCGAAAATGTCATCAACAGCTTCATTGCTCATGCGCTGCTACCCAATTCGATAACCGAAGCTGTCCTGGACCACGACTACAGCATTCTCGCTATGAGAAAATATGGAGAGGGCGCAAAGGACTTCTGGATGAGCACATTCGCTGTGGTCAAAAGGTTGGCTGCATCGGTGGTTGACCCTATCAGGTTGTTTTTACAAAATGATTTACGTGCCTTCAAGGTTAGAAGCTGCTGGGGGCGATGCTCTATCCATCGACTGACTTTGGCTAGGATGTACGGCGAAACTTGGAGCTCTGTCAGAAGACTTTTGATGCCCTACAAACGAAGTATGCTTCTCACGCGAAGACTAAGGAACCTTCGTCCTTGCGCGAAGACGCTTTCCAGCTTCACGAGGCTCGGAAGGCCTATCTCAAAGCATCAATGGACTACTGTGTCGCAGCACCTCAACTACGTACCACCATTGACAAGCTTGTTATTCGAATCTTCTCCGACCAGTGGCGGGAGATGCGAGCCTCACGAGAAAATAGTGGTGCCACTTTCGCTCGAGGCGCAAATGAGATGGAACGCGTCACGGGGTGGGTTAGGGAGATGGAGAATAGCGACAAGACCTTCAAGAGAGAATTGCAAGCTGCACGGAAAGAGCTCGAAGAAACGGCAGAGGCTGTCACTCGCCCTTCGCGTGAGCTGGATGATTATGCAGTATCTACCGTGCCGTACCTAGGCCATGCACCCTCTGCTAGTCATGGAAATGTTCCTAAATCACCGAAGAAGGATCCAGTCAAGAAGTCTGAAAAGCAAGGCTGGCTTTATCTCCGGACTTTCTCGGGAAAGCCAGTCAGAACGGTGTGGGTGCGTCGATGGGCGTTCGTCAAGAACGGCATTTTCGGTTGGTTGCTACAGAGTGCTCGTGCTGGTGGTGTTGAAGAGAGTGAACGTATCGGTGTGTTGCTATGTAATGTCAGGCCTGCACTTCAAGAAGAACGACGCTTTTGCTTCGAGGTAAAAACAAAGAACAATGCCATCATGCTTCAAGCGGATACCCAGGCCGAGCTTACGGAGTGGATCAGCGTCTTTGAGAATGCCAAGTCTAAAGCTCTTGATGATCCAGGATCAACTGACTCCTTTGTTGGCAAGGCAGGCCAGCCAGACCCTGCATTCACCATATCTCCACCATCTGTCCCAGAGTTTGGAACTCTGGTCCTGGATTCAGTCAACCCTGGAAGCCGAGATGAGGAGTCCAATACTCTCGAACGAACAGGCACGATGCTCTCATCTAGCCAAGAAGGTGGTTCGGAAATAACTCGAAAGGGGACTGGGCTCGGGATCGAAGGTGGTGGCCTCCGTGACCATGCTGCAAGAGCTATGTCCAAAGTCGACCTACCACGCCGGTCTGCTGCAACAGGTACGCCGGGTTCACCAGCACTAGGTGGCATCGCAAGCCTCATTGCCGCCAGCCATGGTTCAATGCCAGTCGGCCCGGGCGCTCCTGTCAAGCCAGCTGAGACGGAGAAGCCCAAGAGCAGTTTCACACTGGCCTCGCGTGATATGCCACCAAACACACTCGCGCCGTCAACTCTGATCAACCCGCCTGCACCAACACAGCTGAGCAAGCAGGCTGTCATCGTCAGTGGCGAGCGTGGTATCAGTTCTCTTGCAGACAAGTCGGGAGGGATGCCTAGCGGGCTGCTCGCCAACATGTGGGGAAGCTGGAACTGGGGCTATGTCAACAGGCTTGAGCGGGGAGAGGTGAAATTGCCATCAGAGACCAGACCTCTTGAGCAGCCTAGTCCGTTGATGCTGCCGTCCGGTTCGCCGCCAGAAGAGCCAATACAGTCTTTGGCCAAAGAGAGCCTGGTTCCTTTTTCGGCGTCAGCTACAGATCTGACTCTCGCGGACGGGCGCTCGAAAAATCCTCCCCAGTCACCCGGGAAACACAACACGATCAGTATGGATCTCGAGTCTGCAAAAGCTCTCCGCTCGGCCATCGCTCCGCAAGAGTATCCCACCTACTACCCTCTGCAATTGAAGACGCAGGATGCTCAATTCCGCCTACTGTTCCCCAGCGTCAGCAAAGATGAGAAATTGGTGTTGGTTTTCCGAGCAACCTGGAACCCAAATGACCAGCAGGAATTTCCTGGAAGAGCCTATGTAACCACCCATGAGATTTACTTTTACAGTCACCACCTCGGACTTGTCCTGGCTTCCGGTGTGAGTCTATCCACCATCGAAGAGGTCACAGCTGCACCTGGACGAGATTGTGACTTCCTCTTTCTACACCTGCGAGATGTCAAAGATGACGGTCCCACACGGATCACAATCAAGACTTTCCTGGAGCCGTTGAAGCTGCTACAGCGGCGATTGAATTATCTGGTCAGGAACAGCGTCGCTGAAGAACCTTCCGACCTGGAAAATGTCATCAAAACATTGGTCAAGATGGAAAACCAAAGACGCAAACGAAGTACAAGCTCCGAGAGCTGGGAAGATGTGTCGATTAGCACCCCCATGGACGACGGCACATCCGGAGGAGCAGCTCGTTCAAGACAGAACCTGAGCGACCTGAAAGCTCCCGTTCGAGTCGACCGATCGCTGGAGAAGCAGCTGGGAAGGTATGGAGAAGCGAAGGAAGCCCCCAAATTCAAGCTCCCCGCTCAGCCTGTAATGTACACCCCAGCAGGAAACCTTCACAAAGCCGTGGAGAAGAACTTCGACGTCAGTCCCAAGGCGCTCTTCCACGTCCTCTTTGGCGACAAAAGCGCCGTCTGGCAACTCCTGCAGCATGAGCGTCGCGCGAAGAACCTCAGGCAAGGTCCGTGGGTCAGCGTAGGCGAAGGCCACTTACGACGAGACTTTGACTTCGAAATCCCCATCTCTGACGCCTTGGGCCGGACAAGAGACATGGCAGTGCGCGACTACCAAGTGGTCGACGTGCTATCCGACCACCTCTGCTACGTGGTTACCGACAAACGAACCGCGTGGCACCTCCCCTACCGCCGCAACTTCAAAATCGTCAGCAAGATCGTCATCACCCATCTCGCAAAATCCAAAAGCAAACTCGCCATCTTCACCAAAGTGGAATGGGTCCGCCGACCATGGATGCTAAAACGCATCATCGACAACCAAGCGATGGATGATCTGGAACTCGATGCCCTCGACCTGACCGATTTGGCCACGGACCAAGTCCGCCGTCTAGGCCCCTACAGCCGCACCAAGAAAGCGATCCAGATCTTCGGCCACGTGGGGCAATCCAGCAGCGTGACGCAGCTCCAGCTCGAGAAGATGCCAATCAACATCGAGATGCGCCGACGACTGCCGGTGCAATACCCGCTCTTGGCTTTGCTGCTGCACACGACAACAGCAGCCCTCGAAAACACGTTCATCTCCCTCCTCGAAATCGTTCTCGACACGCTCCGCTGGTTCTGGAAAACCGGGTCCGCCAACAGCGTCATCCTCTCCCTCCTCGTGATCAGTGCGTTGGCAAATGGCTTCTACTCGACGCGCGACTCGTGGCAGTGGTGGCATGAACGCTCCGCCACGAGGTTCATGGCCAGGATGGGCGTGCAGGCCGACACGGTGATGAGCAAGGCCGTGTTTGTGCGGGATCTTGATGCGATCGCTATTCCTACGAATCTCACCTCGACGGTCTCCACTGCTCCTGAGGGTGCTGCGAATAGTATAGGTGGCGAGAGGGAGAGTCCATGCTACGCCACCTTCCAATTCGCCCATCAGCTCGATGATGGTCTTGATACCGCCCCTCGACTACGATCCCCGCCACCTCTCACGAGGCAGAATGAGATCAAGTACCGCATCCACCACACGCGCAGGAAACTGGCCGCGTACCGACATGATCTGTTGGTGGCGATGAGGGTGGTCAATGCCGTTGAACGCGAGGTCTTGAGCTCGGAGTGGGAGGGCTGGGTTCGAGCGGAGGCGAGGAGGTGTAGCTGGATTGGCGCGTTGTTGGAGGAGAGTGGGAATGGGACGGTGGGGCAGGAGGAGGAGGAGGGGGAGGCGGGTAGCCTGATGTTGGACGGAAAAGAGAGGGATGAGGTGCAGAGATGGTATGACACTTACTGCGAGAGTTGTCGGAGGGACTGGGACGGGTTGCGGGCCGCGAGGTAGAATCTTGGACTTGGATCGGGAGCTTCTTGGAATTGTGATTTGGGCATCTGTTGGCCTTTTGAGGATAAAGACAGGTTTGTTTTGTATACCCCGTTGGATCATGGCAACACGGATACGAAGTCAGGGTAGAGGTTTCGAAAATGCAGCCGAGTCGAGACACGGTCGATCTCCCTCTTGCATGAGGATTTTTGTTGGGTTGGACTCGAGACTCCAGCCTTCCGTCCGGTTTGGCAACACGTATATTACCGATATGTTCATCGATTTCTCCAGAATACCAACAACACCCTTCTTCTTCACCAGCCCTGTCGTTGTTGGTTGGCTGGCTGGCTGGTTGGCTGGCTCCTGACGTCCTAGCTGTCCAAGACCGCACCAGCTTGTCTCCAGCACGCGCCAGCAGGCGTGAACCAGTGCACTGCACTGCATGCGATGAACAATCCTCTCTAGCCTTAAGCCCTAGCCCCCAGCCCCAGGCGCCTTCAATGCAATCTCCCCCCCTTGACATCCCATCTCCCAAGCCTAACCTCCCTAATAGCAATAGCTCTCAGACACCCCCCCAACCACGACCCAATCAGTTCTGCCTCGGTTTGACCTCGCCCTCCTGCACGATATAATACACGATGGTGCCATCCCCGCCTTTTCCCTCATGCGCCCTCATCGCCAACAGCACCCTCTTCGCATCCTGATGCCTGACCTCGCCTCGTCTGGCGCTCCCCCTTCCGCCTCTCACAGCCTCCTCACTCCGCTCTCTAAATCGCCCCTCCTCCCTCCCTGACGCAGACGCAGACGTAGACCCAGGCCCCCCTTCACCCCCCCTC